CAATTTTGCTATTTTTCAATTTTTTAAAGCAAACCTTTTGAGAATACAGAGTATGAAAGTACACGAAGGAAAACTAATAAGCATTAATGTTTTTCTCTGTGATCCACAATTTCCCAGAGAGTATAAAGCTTTTCGCGTTTCATTTCCGATACACGAAGCCTTTCAATGCCTTTTTGTATACATCCTCTGGCAACGTCACAGATTAGGGATATTACGATAGAGATAGGTGAACGGTAGGCGTATCAGAATCATTTGCATAATAACGACGCAGCTGGTTCGGGCGAGAGGTCCGGCAAATTATACTCGTTATTACTTGATCGAATGATAAGGCAAGCACTATCAAAATTTAGCAGTCTAATGCTTAATGGACACGTCGATTCGAAATAATTCCCGGCCACGAATAAAACGTTGGCAATCGCCGATTACATATTAGGCTAATGCGGATACCATTACCCTTTAAAAAGCACGATAAACGGAGGACATGGATAAGGAAATGGGTAAAATTATGCTTTTTGTGATAAGTAAAACTTTGATGAATTATATCAAAGTAATTAGCGCCCGCGCGCTTTAATTGGACAGTCCTTTTTTTCTTAACAACTTACACATGAAGCTTTAACCAACATTTTGGCAAATGGATCCCTTTAAAGGATTATTATTCTTTTTGGGACACCCTGTATACGCATGTGCAATCGACAATGTGTGTGTGTGTGTGTACATGCAACATATGTACAAAGACCTTGCTAACGGGAAATTAAACAACTTGTGAACCGTGACTAATCGATAGTATTTCTAATAATAAGGGAAGGTCTTGGTACAGGGTTCTTCGAAGGACACTTTCCCTCGGTTGAACCGTAACGCGGGGCCGAAAGTTGAAACTTTGAAAATGATGCATCAATTTCTATAAATATTTGTAATAAAAATTTTCAAATAGAAAAATGTGCTAATATTTCATTATCTATAGAAACAATTATCGTACAAATTGGAAAGTCCTTTCAGAAGTTACCTATTCCAAGGATATACATATATAAATAGAAATTCAATCTGTAAAACGATTTCTCAAAATCAAACATCGAAATAAATGATGTACTGATTCCCTGTAAATGGCCAAACGAGTCTGTATCTAATTTTTGGCAGTCAACTATTTGCTGTTGTTGTTTCATCTTTGATACGCCGTTTAATTTTAGCATACGATGCTCATTTACGACTTGGCTTCTGCCGAGGAATCTAATTTTATTATTTCTATAACATGCTTCCGTGCAGTGGGTTTCTTTGTAATAAGATGCATTTAGAATGCAGTTTCAATTAAAAACTACATTTTAGGCAGAAAGAAAATTTGTTTAAGTAGAATTTAGTTAAGTAGGAAGTGGAAGCAAGTACAAGGTGAAATAATTGAATGCAAATTACAGTCACCGTAAGAAAGACGACGGGCGGTAGAGTACTTGACCTTTCTCTTTGAAGGCTTTCATCTCGACAGAATGATCTTGATTACGTGTTCGACCCCCGCTCACCGGGTGACTGGTGTATATTCTCTTGTAGCGTCAGATTGAAGCTCGTCTGATAGGGGTAAGAATGGTAGTCGTCGCGAGAAAATAACGAAACTTCATCATTGGTGACATAGCCAGCCAGGTATATGTATTTACCTTGTCGCTCTAGCTTTGTTTTCTGATTCTGACCTAACAGTGTACGCTCCTGTTGATCTTTTGTGGTTTCGGTGTATCGGTATTATCGAACATTAGCTTCTGCTGCTTTGTTGCATTCTATTCTATGCTGCTTTTTTTCTCTTCTCTTTTCTGAACAACCAAAAGGCTAAGAGAGACGAAGCGTGAAAACTGGAGATCTTGAACTGTATATGTTAACGATGTTGTACAGCAAGTGTTGTAGAGCAGAGCTCAAGTATCTTATCGTTAGGTGTACCTTTTAAAACAAGTGGTAGGACGAGGTGTACTTGAAAAAAATAATTTTTCATATTCATTTTATTTAAATTTTATTTCACAAACCCGATTTGGTTTTAAATTAAGATCATAACAGTTATTTTATTATATTCAAGATCTTTTGGAATAACTTGGGTAGTTCTCCGTATTAGTCTTTTTTCTGGGAAATGAAAACACCGTGATTTTCCTTAAGGTTTCTTTGTTGTTCGAAGCGATGAGTCTTGCTTGTTCTTAGTCATCAGACTAGCGATGGCTGTTTCTAAAACTTTTTCTACCCTTGGACCGTGAGTCATCCGCTTTTGTCCATCCTTAGTTTTCGATGAAAACTACTTCTGATTAGTTGGACAGCTAATATTACCTAAATGATTCTTACTATACGAGGCGTTGAAAAAAAGTGAATCACGATAAATTTCATTTTCTGAATTTATAAAAAGATAGTAAAAAGATTTAATATTCTGAGGAGCAGTATTGTTGGAAAATGAAAATTTCATTCATCTAAACAACCGCGTGAGTCCAAAGAACTTTCGTTTCGCCTGTGACAGGAATGATACATAAACGATTTTTCATAATAACACCGTCTGTTACTATCCTATTCTGAAATAGTAAATTTCTTTTTCTGGTTAAATTGTGGTTCATTTAAAAATATTATCATCTCAAACTTCAATTTCCCCGTTACACGAAATAAATCTATTTGTTCCATGAAAGCGACGTTGACGTAACATGTAATAGGTTTCACCTGTCTCCATTCATGCGATGAAAATAATAAAGCACCGTTTCATTGAGTAGAACCTGCTCTTGACAACGCGGTATTATAACAACTCTTCGATTAAGTTTAAATTGTATGTTACCTAAAGTGAAACTTTAATTATTATTAGGACATTGGTTATTGGGTGAAATATTCTGGATACATATCTGGCAGACAAGTCTGGAACAGCAATGGCGAGCCTTCTTGGCGGCGAGCCAGAATGAAATTAAAAATTTTGTATAATTAAAACCCGCGGGTCAAGTATTTGGATTGATTAATTGAACAAATAAAAGCAACTTGTAATTTCAAGTAGAATAATTAGAAGAATTTATGCAACGGAAAAACATGTTTCATGCCGTGAAATTATCATGCGACAACTTTCTTCGTGTCTGGCGGCTTCGATGCGTCCTAGAGAAATCGATATCTAACGAACTCATAGAAATCAGTCGATGTCTATCGTTCCATTTCTCAGTCAGCTGTATTATCGCGTATACAATATCATTTGCATTGCAAATTTCGAACTCGCATAGTTGCAATCAATCGAACAACGTTCTATGTCAATCATAATAATTAAATCGCGTGCGCACTTAGATAACAGCATAATTTTCAATCGAGCTGAAAGATATCAAGTTCTAACAAAACACTGAGGTAGGGCGCGATTAATAATTTCAGTGCATCTTCCTGAAAAAATTTCACTGAAATTTCACGCAACACTCGATATGTTAACTTCCTCTTGAAATATCATATTTAAACGTTGAATGAAACTCTCTCAATCTTGAATTGCAGTCAGTTTTTCTATGCATCGTTGAAGAAATGCAAGGATTAACGACACCGATTTTTCCCTCCGTATTGTCCGCGAAAGAGGCGGCAATTTCAAGCGGCCTGGTTTTCAAGCAACAAAGCAGCATCGACGCCGCTTTGTTTCGAATTTTCTGGAACAAGGTTTGTCCCGATTCAACGTGTTCCTTCTGTTTATTTTTTTGCCTTTTGCCTTTTGCTTTTTGCTTTTTGTTTTTTGTCGTTGACCGAATTTTCTCTTGCGTAGTTCGGTTTGGGGAATACTTAAAAATCCAATAATAATCTGTGTTCCGTTATGCAGAGCAAGTTAATGATTGCTTTAATTCAATTTTGAAATAGTATTCGCATGTTCCTCGTGATTCGATGGAATTCTATTAGAATCGATCGTGGTAAGACTTGCATTGTCAGATTCTACGCATCAAAAACTATTACAATTGATGTAATTATGTCAGAGCACACAAGGATTTTGTTAACGACGTTCGTGTTCTATCTTTTTTATCTGAAGCTTTCTTTGAAGCTTCAGGTTCGACGATAAGCTTATCGCTTGGTAAGAAAAATCTCATTAACATAATAGTTTCTACGTTATCGTGGCTTTTCTGTTCGCGTGGAAATCCCTATATGTAATCATTTTCTATACGTCAGCTCGACGAGCAGGTATTTCGATTAAAACTAAAACCCACTCATCTTACCCGAATTCATTTTTCTTCGCGGATTGTCGTTGTTTAATTTCAAAGTCGATTACTATCGCTAAATAGGGGTACTCCTTTGTTTTTCTATAGTCGGGTGTCACTTTAGATAAATCAGTTACCATCCTTCATGGTACTTCATTAACTACTTGACTTTGTGACATGTTTTCATTCATCTAATTACCCGCTCTTACCATTTCTGTATTGATCCGGTTTTATCGTTGGTGTCAATAAACTCAACAATTAAGTAACCCAGTACAGTGACTTAAGTATCTACTTATAGTCCTTCTAATTTGCCAGATCATTCATTTACTAAGAAAGTAAGAACCTTCTTTTTTTTTTAATAAGTATCAGAATGTTTTCTAAAATTTTAGACAATAATTATGGTTGCATCACTGCCAACAACTATTATTTTCGTAGAAACGTGGTCTTGGAATTTTTTCTGAGGGGTATGTAAGTACTTACATACATGTTTATCAAGGCCAGCCGTGCATTGGCATTTTTCCTGTTGGCAAATCCGCGGCAAAATATCGCCTAAAAGGCACTCGTGCAACGACAAAGCCGGCGCCGCGCCGTTGCGTCGTTCATTTCTACCAGCAGAAATAAACCAAACGTTAGTTATTTGCTTGCGCAACACACTAATTTAACTTGTAGCTTCTTAACTTTCAGACCTGTGCTGTATGCTGCATCGATGTTCTACGGAACTTTGTATCTCCTTGCTCGATCAGGAAATTCATTACGAATCCCGTTCACGACTGGTTGTTTTCATTGTTTTCGCTTGTTTTACATTATGTTACGAAACATGCAATTAACGCGTTCACGATTACATTTTGATTGCAGCAATCACGCGAGAAACGTTTTTTGAAAGGCAACCTGACCGCGATAACTGCTATGCTGGTCGTTTTATCATGTTGAGGGCATTATGGTGTCCATAAAATTCCACAAAAATGTTTACAAACTTACAGGTAAATTAATTCTGAAACGGTCATATAACTTTATAAATATTAACATAGTGTTAATAGTCATTATTTAACCTATTGTTATAAATGAGCACAGTTGTTTATCGTATTGAAAGGATTAATTTGATGCGTGAACAGCAATCATCAATGAGCCAACATTGATATTGCAATTCTGCAAATTACTATGCAACTATCCGTAAAAGAGTAGTTTGCATGCAGTCAACACATTATTTGCGATTCACCACGAAAAAAACTCTGTAATAGCACGTATCTGAATCGTCCGCTATTAACCTACTTAACGTCATGTCGTTATCAACAATCTTGTACTGTTACGAGTCTTCAGATTACACTTACATACATGTATTTCCGATATAGAATCGTGTTTGCCTTTTCTCCTCCAGTGTTACACGTTTCGTGGATCAATCAAATTTCTTATTCACTATCGTTGTGCAGGTGCAGTAAACTCGACACACCGATAAAACGGTCACATTATTTTCATTCCGTTTGAATTATCGATCGCTTTACTTGAAAGCTTTCCACGTGGCAAATCGAAGCTTGCGATTCCATTCGTTTCGTTCATAATTAAAGGTTTATTCGAATCGCAATTCCTAATAATTACCTACTTCGTACTTGTTCATTCTGTGCTTGTGCTTCAACTGTAAATTTATCATTTTGTAAAATAATAGAAGAAAGTCCTGACCGCTATTCTACCAAGTACATATTTAAGTCCTCGAATGAAGATTACGGTAAGAAAAAAAATGGGTTAATCTAATTGGACGTGCTACTTCAGAAACAGCGATAAAATGTACGTAAGCTGCTAACACAAGGACAAAGGCATAAATAAACAACAGCAGAAGCATGTGAAAAGTCGAAGCGCATCGAGCAACGCAATGCACTAACAATAACGTGTCACACGAACAAAGCATTGCGCAATATTAACGCTTCGGTACGTGCACGCTTTGTGTAACGAGAACAGACCAAACGGGAACGCATATATCGGAAAAGTGTATCGCGTTTTTTTTTTTTGTTTTTTTTGTCATACAAAGCGTCACAGAGATGCGCGATGTAAATTCATTGCATTCATTTCTGCTCTCTTTTTTTTTTATTTTTTGTGAAGTCGTTTAAAATACTTATGTTGTGTATAAAAAATGTGATCATTTTATACATAGAATAATTTATAGACTAATTTATTTTCAATTTGAAAGCAGTCAGGTTCAAGAAAGAACCATGTCTGTGAACTGTAATTACATCCATTTACAGTAGCAAGCTTAAAACAGCCAGTATACATACATATATAGGTACATATGTAGCGTTTGGTTACTGTCACGCTTTCCGGATTGCGACATTTAAAGCATTGACTGCGAACGACATTTCCGCGAGGATTCGCGTGCAAGGTTCTGCACCACTCTCCAGGCGTATGCGGATATAATGCAGCTCGTAAGGAACCATGTTAACCGAATTTATGACCAAATCGAGGATCGACGACAAGGGTATTTAAATTTCTCCGGAACACGCGGATTTCACTTTTGATTCAATCTCTTTGATTAGCTATGCATCTCATAATATAAAAGTATCACGAAACTTCATTTACGGTATATCAATTTAAAGTTTAAAGTTGAATGAAAATAACCACATAAACGTTTCATCAATATTCTTAATTTTAACATATAGAATGTTTGCTATTCTTAAAAATGTAAGCCCATAGTAGCGAAAGGGGTTAAGAAGAGCAACCCTATGATAATATCGTTAAGCGTAAAATTGCGTGACACTACCGTTATGTTACATTTAAAAAACTGTTTGTTCAGTCAGATTTCGGATAGGTTGAAAAGCTCAGACTAAGGGTAGTTTAGTGAAGCAAGGAAACGTGCATTGTAGTAGATCGTTCGATAACATTCACGACACGCGAAATTGTACACACAGTCGTTGAAGAATCTAATACAGGGTGATTCTGCTAACTGGGACGCTTAAGTTGGTTACGTTTAAAATAAAGTTAAAACAAACTATTGCTCTTCTTAATAATTAAAGTTTCGATATATCTTACGACAGTTGTTCATTTTCTCTGCGCCAGGCACGTTATTCGCTATAACTTGTATAACTTCACTTGGAAGAGGATTATAGCCTCTGTTCCAGTTGCTAGAATCACTCTGTATTATACGTCTAGTTCTTTTATAGCGATTCGCGACAGTGGACAGCGATCGATTCCCGCTAATAATACAAAATTACTAGCAGGGGTAGAAAAGTGTATTGCATAATGAATGACAGCGTGCGACAAAAGAGGGTGAATTCAATGCGTTTCTGCTGAGATACGTCATGTGATTCGTGGAACCACTTTTGTGTTCCTTTGTACTTACAAAAGAAATGACTGGCATATCATTTTTTTTTTTCTGCGGTTGCAAATTAATCGCCACTCGCTCATCTTTTATTCATGTATCGTGGAATATATTATATTATTCAGAGGTTGAAATGATTTTCTTATTATACTTAATTTTTGATAGTGAAAGAGCGGCGCGAATATGCTTGACAATTCATGTAGAGAAAAACTAGCTAGGAGGATCAAAGCACGTAACCGGTAGCCTCGATACTATTAAAAAAATTATTAATCGATGTTTCATATTCTCAGCGTTAATTAGAAGCGGTGGTATAATGCTAATGAAATAGGTAATCGTATGAACTGAGAAACGGTGTGCGTGCTAAGCGGAGATCTAGAATGAAACCGAAACACCACCTGTGTAGTTGTAACCCCGCAGAATTATATTTAGCGTTCACCCCCGATCCCGGATCCTCGAGAAAATTACCTTCCTGTTTCCTATGCTTTTCGTTGTTGAAACAATGAAATAATTTAATTAATTAATTTTTTTTTATTTTTGCAAATCACCCAGTATTAATATCTCACTGAAATATTAATACTATGAAAATTTCATTCAAATCCATAATTAACTCTCGACTGTAAAATAGGTCACTCTTGGTTGGTATCAACTTCTACTTTTGGCCTTATCCTCTCTGCCAGTAGAGCAATTAAAAACTGGCCTTTCGTGCTTGTGCGTGTTCGTTCATTCGAGTCAAAGGGTAACGACTAACGTGTTTCCGATGACAAAGATAGCAGAAGGATTGCACGTCATATGTATGTACTGGATGAATCCATATTTCATTCGGCACGGCATCGTCGTGACGTCCTTAAACGGAAATGATTATTATCACTACTGTCTACCTACTACGTATGACCTGATCGATACCATTGTGCCAGCGTTTTTTCTTTAACATTCAATTTAGCCTCGTTTCTGAACCGAGCTGTCCTCGATTGTTTCGAAAATGTAAGCAATCCCACAGTTCTGATAGACCTTTATTCAGTGTTTCCCATAGAAATTTTATGCACCATTCAACTCGTCGATCTCTCAATTGATGGTCGTGATGAAACGTGAAGGAAATAAATAAGAATTAATTAATCGGTTATCGGAAAAATCTAAATTCGATCCCTTTTCATGTTCCAGGCTGTGCTCTTTGACCCTGACCCGACTGATAATTCTACGGCCATTAGGTTCCGATTTAACTTCCATCAGCATCGCCGTGAAGATGCAAAGCTCGAAGAGGACCCTTCGCTCGAACGAGATGGCCATACCAACTAGTGGCATGCTGGATACAGAACTAGAGCTTCAATTTGCCCTACAGTACCCCCATTTTCTCAAGAGAGACGGAAACAAACTTTTGATACTGTTGCAAAGGAGAAAACGATATAAAAATCGTACGATGCTCGGATACAAGACCCTTGCTGAAGGAGTCATCAATATGGCTCAAGTAAGTTCGATCGATTGCCTGTAAAAGCCTTTAACCTTTGAAATTGAAATTGAATTTCTAATATATCTGTACATACATATAGTACATTTAGATTTTTATATTTTTCATTGATATTAACTTTAAAAGACTTCATCTTATGTATAAAATTTCAAGAAATAATAGATAATTCGTAAATCATAAATTAGATAGATCTATGCTACATCTTTAGGTGCTACAAAAGCAAATGGACTTGGAACTCGAACTGGTGTCAGACAAGGCTGAAAAGTACGGTGGTCATTCGGTCGCTTTAGCTCGTGTGACCGTGATCGCACTGACCTCTCAGCCGGTCGACCAGGACAAAAGACTGATGAATGACCCGAACGAAAGGCTTTGCCCGGAGTACAGCGACGAAGAGGAGGAATTCAGCTCGGAAGGCGAGGCAGAAGGTAGCGACAGCGAGCCGACTCTCGAGATGCATAGGCGAAAGAGCCGAGCGAAGATTCCAGCGAATGCCAGGGTACGTGAAAGAAATTACTACGTTTTCTGGGAAATTCGTTCTGAATGCCCCGTATAATCGGCTTCGGAGCTCTTCTAAATTAACCCTATCCGGTTATAAATAAATTTACTTGTTACAGCAAAGAAATCTGAAGCAAAAGTTTATAGCCCTTCTGAAACGACGGTTCAGAGTATCCGAGGATCTGGATCAGGATCAAGAAGAGATCGGTCAGAAGCTTTCAGGTAAATCGTTGCTCTCGTAGCGTGCGAGAAATGCTGTGTTCGAATCTTTCACGGACGCTTTTGTTGATTTTATAGAGTCGTTAACCCAGTACGCTGGATTTGTTAAAGGCGGAGACATGGAGATCGAGGAATTGTTCGACGAACTCGAAGATTTGTCAGATAGCGGTCCAGAATTGGACACCATGTCCGTCAGTAGCACACCTAAACCATCCTTACGACCTTTCTTCAGCTCTAGTAGATCGCTTCTCGCGCCTCCTCATTCCGGTAAGTCTAAACAACTCCCATTTCGTCTAAACGTCTCACAGTATCTCGTAGAATTTTTCTAATATACTTGAATCTCGGATTGCCGATAGAGAGTATCTATGACGCTTCGTACAGTTCATTTAAATCAGCCATACCTATTGACAGCATGTTATGGCTGTTTATCATTTTTTAACGCCCTCTTTATTGCATATTAACACTTTGACTGTCACATTAAATAATTTTATCTACATATTATTTATAACGAGAATGAGGATCAATTTCATATTCCTAATTATATAAAATAATGTGAAACGAATAGAAATTTTAACAACTACAGAATCAATAACAGGTTTCTATCACCTGCAGAAACAGTTGCAGGTCATCAGAGACTTAACGATACCAACTAAGATAAAATCCACCACATAAGCTGATAAATAAAAATTAAGTAAAAAATGCTGATGCAAAAGTTACGCATATCAAAGTCACGAATACGCGACATCAGACGTCAAACTGTTAATAGGATCATTTATAATTGAGTAAGTAAGAATTGATTCTTGTAGAGATTCGTCCGTTAACCAAACAAAAAGATAGAAAGGTGACAGTCAACGTGTTAATTAAAAAAACATTCACATTATAAAATCGTCCCATTTGACGCCATTCATTCACCGTGATTCATTTGATTCACCAAGTAACGTGCGTCGAATAACGTCGTTGGCACTTGAAGAGAGAAGACAATTAGGCTGTTGAATAAAACTTAAGAATACATAAACGTTTACGTTGCCTATGTCGAGCCGGAGAATCGTTTAAACTAACTAAGTGAAAGTCTGGTGGATTGGCTTTGCATTGTTGCATGTTACGATTCGGTAGTAGTTACCAACGAGGAGACCGGAAGCACTCCTACGACAGCCGTAGGTCACCAGAGCGCAGGTCAGCCAGCTAAAGAGAAACATCGTATCGGACACACCACTCCAGGTATGTAAAGACACACCTGATTCCACGCGATTTCTATTCCGATAAATTAGCTAGCTGCTCCGAGGACTACGCTTATTCAGTATTATTCACCAAGCAAGCATGGCTACGCGAATTTATAGCATGATTTTTCTTTTTTTCTTTTTTTCTTTTTTTCTTTTTTTCTTTTTTTCTTTTAAGGAGATACTCTTCTTTCTTTGCTCGACAATCTATGCTTAATTAAAAAATCTGACAATTATTCTAATTTTTTTGTTTCATTTCTTATTGTGTTTTCTTCTCTTTTTCTTCCTGAACATGTGCATAGTATAATATGTTCTGGGTATATTTCTTTGAGCAGTGCTTGGAAAGTGCTTTTTATCTATGGAAATAGATAAAAACAATTAGAAGATTTCTAAAATTAATGAAGTAACTTTTATTGTTCACACGTCATTCTTAAAGTCCAAAAAGTCAAATAAATCAGAAAATTTTAACAGAATATCGGTAAAATGCAAAGTATGTATATTTCTTCCACCACGAGCTTTGAAAAACTATTGTATAATACCTAAGAAGCATAAAGAAAGATGAAAAATATTCCGTGCAATAGATGTTAGATAGTTTAGCCAGAGAAAAAAAAAAAAAAAATTGAAATACATATTCCAGTGTACGAAATTTTGTAGATTGGAGAAGGAACTCCACCGCATGAATGACCTCTGCTAATCGGCAGAAGCTTGCTGTTTCGTGAAAATCAAAAAGATTCGGTAATTAGATGCCTGTAGTATCACGGTAGAGCATTTTTTACAATGATCTTTCGGTTCTGTTCGATGTTCCAATGTTTCGTTCTATGTAAGTATGATTCCGATAAAATAGAGTCACACTCTCACTCAATGATCTTTCTATAATAGTACAGTACACTGAACTGAAGCGATGACTGCAAGGATAATGAAAGTGTCCATTTGTATCATGTAGAATTTTATTTAATGCGGTAATTAAAAAATTACCCAATTTTAAATTATGCAGAATAGATTACTTCTATTGTTCTTGCATAGCACTCGTTGCATTAACACGTTATCAACAGTAATTTAAAGCACCTCTAGATACGTTCTATAAGATGTGTATAAACGATACACGTGTAAGAGATGCGATGAAAATAAACATTTACTTGGCATCTGATTTCTTTGTAGTCGTTTTATTTTAATATTATCGCTTCAGCGATATTGTATAAACGAAGAGGAACGTTCGTTTTCAATCTCACGGGAAAACAAATATATCCCGTTGCTACAGTCGATAATAAAAAGGTATTAGCACATTCGGTCTTCTTGTAATCGATTCGATTAAACGAAAAATATATATTTTTGCAATATTAAATAAAAAAAAATAAAAAAACTCAAACTATTAACTTAATATCAACCTAAATTTAAACGAAAGAGTTTCATATACTAACGATAAGAGAATAATTATTAAAGGAACGGTGTATAATTTAGAAAATTAAAATACTATGAAATACAAAATAAATTATATAAGTTGGGATTTTTTCTATAGATCGTTGTTCGAAGGGGTTAATTAGATGATTTTTGCATAAACTCCGTAAGTTTGGGTCTAAATTAGGGTCCAGTCACGCTTAATAAAATATTAAATGAAATGATTACAAGGAAGCTGAACGTGTCAATATTTTTTTCAATTCATTGTATTTCTTCGTTGTTGTTTGTGTGCCTCTTTACGGCTCTCTGTGCGTAGTATTAAATAAAAAATAAAAAAGAAAAAATAAAAAAGAAAAAAGAAAAAAGAAAAAAAAAGAGAGAAAAGAATCGTAACTCCAAAATCCTGCCCGCTGGCCTATCTCTTTCTGCCTCTCTTTATCTACTCGTACGTACGTATCTCTTTTTATAATTACGAATTTTTATATCTGTTCTTAATTAACCTTTCATACTATGTGATGATTAACCTGTGACACCGTTCGATTGCAAATTATTTTTCGAATAAATGACATACTCGACTGTCGATCATGATTTTGCTTTTGCCATGCATTTTTGCGCAAATTCGTGGTACCACCTGTCTTTGTGGTAACACGTTCTTTTTTTTTATTTTTTTATTTCATAATTGATATAAATTCTATTTTGCAATATTTCTATATATCATCAGATCATGGGAACTTTTCTGTTTGGAAATTGACCATTTGATTTGAAATAATTTAATTGAGTCATCGCCTTTGAGACAGTCTGTATATCGAGTTTCTCGTGTCGCGAACATTTAAATGTCTGTTATTTGTTAGCGTGATCGATCCACTCGAACTTGTTCTTTTTCTTTATCTCTCTGCAGATTTTGTCGATCGCACCATTGTTGCGCGCACTGACGATTGTAAGATTTAGACCACCTAAATCTTAATTTACAGGAGAAATACTTAATAACAGTAGAACAATAAATTCTAATTGTAATCATAATTTTTCTGTAAAATTTCCACAATATCTTTTTGACAATTATTTCGAAGAAAAATTTATAACACCTCTGATTTTTCATTTTCCAAATTAATCCGTAACAAAGGTGGTCTGAAACTTGCGCTCGACAGTGCGCGAACCTTTAATCTATTCGGCCGACATTTATTACGCGCTTTCAATAGACAAAAAAATATAACGTTTAATCTAGAAAATATTAAAAAGTGATATTATTGGTTGAGATACGTAGACAAAGAATGCAATTGGAAGGTTAAAATATTTTTAAAGGAAGAAATATAAAATATAAATAAAAATTACAAGTCTAGTTTATTTCTAGTATATTTCGACCGAATGGGTTAATACAGGGTTAATACAGGTCTGCGTTAAGTTGAAACAGCATCCCTGTCTGTTAAACGTTAAAAATATAAAGAAAATTGTTTATATGAAAATTATTATATGGCACGAAGGGCCAAATATACATGCTTGTACCGAGTAATTCCAGCGTCAGATTAAAGGGAGGTCTTGGGGGCGGGGGCTTTGTTATAAGTCTTCTATTTACTATGAAAGCAACGGCCCTCGAACATATTGTGGCAACAAGAAAGATGATAAAGCAATTTATTTTATAACATTTATTCAGCAATTAATAAGACTCTGTTACAGGGTAGTTTGGTTTAAAAGGAGCCAGGCACCAACTTAGGAATGTTAAATTTGTCCCTTCGTATCCATACAGTTTAGCGATATGTATAAATAATGTTTTTTTCTATTTTTAATACTAACGGAATAAGAGAAGTGTGACAGGTTAGCACGGACAACCCTGTGGCGTACTAAATTAGAAAAAAGTAATGAAATCTCGTTGCAGAACGTGGCGTGGATAGGCAAAGCGATGATAGCTCCCGACGCGCGGACAGCGATTCACACCCCGAAAATTGGACAGATCACGAGGCGAACGATCCACCGAATTATGTTCCTGGCTCCCCGCCGAAATCGGAGCATCACAATAAGAGCGAGAGTTCCGACAGACGGAGCAGACTTTTTACTCGCGACAGAGGTGCACCGGGTAGTAATAAGTCGAAAAAACACAACCTGAGCGTTGATTTAAAGCCACCCGCCGACTTGAATAGCTCCGAGGTACATAAGAACACTTCTTAAACTTTCAACAATTTATTTTTTATATAATGTTTCAACTACTTTGAATTGAAGAATTTAAAGGAAAAACGATTAGGTATAGTCCATTTCGTTATGAGAATAGCTGGTTCTAGTTTCCAAACGTGTTTACGACATGTTGTAAAGCAAATGTTGTTTCAGCCAAGGAAGGCGTTAGTCGAGCAATTAAGTCGGGTTTTACCGGATGACAGTTTGCCAGACTCGGTATCGCTGGTCTCGTTAGCTGATCCTGGCGGAGCTGTGCTTGCCACGAGACTTCAGGAAAGAAACCACAGAGTACTGACAACCGCTTCTCCAGCGGACATTCGTGCCACGTTCACGTGCTTGGTCACGCGAATACAAAAATTGTAAGTCTCGTCTGTAGGATATTGTCCCATTAACATTGATTTATGCGAACCTTTCAAATTATTAATCACATCAAAGCATAGTTCGTAATTGGAATTTTTGTCCGACGACGAGGTCTCTTAGTTTTATTAACAATATCAAGTGTTTAATACCTGGCATAACGACATTTCAAAATTATACAAAACTCTGACAATGAGATTCTAAAATAATTTTTAAATAAATTTCATTAAACAATTGAAACTTGTAAATTTTCTATTAAAAAAATAATGATTTTATAACACTTTTCTATGCATTTTCGCTTCCTGTGTTAGATGTAAGTAATGAACACTATGGTCTCGTCTGCACGGTGTTAATAAACTAAGAAATCTTTAATTTGCAGTTGTAACAGCTCCGCAAAGCCGCCGGCGCCCATCAAAGTGGTGATCGCAGGTGGCGATAGTTTTGTAAACGCGGTTCTGCGTTATTACGTGGACCAGCTCAGCTTTCGACCGCCAGATTGGCAAAATTATCTGAAATTTCTGGTCGTGCCGCTCGGTTCCAATACGCTATCTAAATATCTCGGTTCGATAGACACAAAGTACTCTATGCTTTTCGGCGAGGAATGGAAGGAATTGCTCGAGAGGGAAGGAGGTGGCGTGAGCGAGGGTGCCGCCAGGGTGTCGGAGTATTTAGCAGCCGCTGGTACGACTTTACTGCTACCAATTGCTGAAGCCATGGTCACCTACAGGTACGACTTTTAAATCACCTAATCCCATAATTTTAACACATTCTCAAAATTTCTAAGGGACAGGGCCTGCCTACCCTAAAGTAAAATCTTTCTTCATTGATAAGAGATGTTAACCTTGACAATTTCTTGAATTTAATTGACAGAGAGACAGACGACAGCAGCCAAATATTCATCCCGTTCATAAACGACGTTCGAGTAGGCTGTCCAGATAGCAGTTCCTCAGCATCGGTAGATCTCGAGGAAAGTAACGTTACCATGTCTGGTTCTCCACCGTCGTTACCACCCCCGGGATTACCTGTTCCACCTCCTGGTCGATTAACACCACCCAGCAGTCCCAATGTTGGTCAACCTTCGAGAGAAGGCTGGGAACCAGTCGAGTTACAACTTGATTACTGGAGCAAACAGACCCAAGGTGAAAAAGGCAAGAACACGTTGAGACAAGCGTTCAGAGCCTTACACGTTCAGAGACTTCCACCATTCGGAGAAACGCCTGGTCATCATCTGTCCATGAATTACACCACCAAGGAGAAGAAACAGAAAAGTGTGTACAAGCGAGGATATGAGATTTATAATATTGTAGAACCAGCACACTTTATCAGTTAACACGCGAAATATTATTTTTTTGCTTACAGTAATGAGACTGGGCAAAAAGAAAGAAAAGGAAAAGGAAAATGAGCCAAAGAGTCAGACAGTCGAAGGCGTGACGCGACTTATATGTTCCGCGAAAACTCACAACATTCCATTAAGAGGTAACGAGACATTTAGTTTTTTAGAATCTATCAAACAAACTTGCATCCGCAAATTTTTGCATTTCGGAAGGTATCCGGCAATTTACAGGAAATTGACATAAATAATTTGTTGTTGTGCTTCTAGTGAGCATCGACGGTACCGAGCGGTACGGTGTGAAATTCTTCCAACTATCAGCGCAATGGCAAACGCACATCAAGACATTTCCGATAGCTTTGTTGGAATACAGTTCTCAACAACAAGTTCCCAATCCTACGTAAACTTCCCCTTTTTTTTTCCTATACGTGAGAGGCTAGATATTTTTGCCGATTTCGTTTGTGTTCATGGATATTGCCAATTAGGATCATCAGCTTGGCTTACGCGCAGATCCAATAACCATCAAATCTTTAAAACAAAAAGCGAAAAAAAAAAAAGAAAAAGAAAGAAACATAATGCAATAGAGAACGAGTTTGAACAGTGAAAGAAAAATTTGCTTCTTTAAGCTGGATATCGTCGAAGCTGATTCAGGCAAGTAAGTACCTCAGTGTTGTTTCCGTTTTGTTTGATTCTTCCTTTTCTTGTTTTCTTCTTCTTTCACCTGTCGTAGTCTGTTATTAATAGTAATCAAAAATATTGTACATGTATTCCTGAAAGTGAAAAAACGAAAAGAAGTGTACAGAACACTGGAAGTGGGTAACACATATCGTATTACAATTAACATAAATGATGATGATGGATTTCGTTTGGTTATGGAAATGCCGTATTGTTTGAAACAATTTACACGTTAGAACACGATTCTCGGGTGTAAACTGTGTGTGTGTGTGTGTGTTTTTTTTTCTTTTTAATTATAACGTTCCTTTGATATCGTAGTTGGTCTCTTCAGGATCAATCGACTGACTAATTATGGTGTAAGTTTTGTGTTGACTACAAATTAGTAGAGATTTTCTATTAGTCAGCTGACTAAAAAAGTTAACGAAACATAATATTGAAAAGAAAAAGGACTTTGTCTAGACCTGGAGGACATAAATTACACTTATCGCCTAAGAGTATTTTGAAAATTTCATTTTCATTAAATGAGCAGATACTTTCAGACGATAGTGTACGTTCGAAACAATAATTGAAGGCAGTGTAAGTCTGAAAACAATCACGTCTGATATCGCTTTTATAAAAAGAAGAAAACAGAACTGTTCAAATCGGTTGCTCTCCTCCCTATCCTCGAGCCACCCTTCGATGTAAATATAGGATTTTTAAAAAATGGACAACAAGCATAGAGAAGCATCGGTTTTATCGCGAGAACTGATATTGCTAAGATAGATCTTTGTCTAAATTGCACGTCTAAGCGTTAAATTATGTATTTATTTAAAATGTATTCTCTACGATCGCGTGTAAGGAGCATCATATACGAGGTGATGTTATCGAAGAAAAAAGTCTGTGTTACAGGCAAACATTTCTCTTAGCGCACAAACCGTTGTTTAGAGAAATATGTGACTGTGTAATTTGCAAAATTTGGACGATAAGAAAAAACAGCTTTGCGAGTCCTCTATAAAAGAGAAGAAAAAAAAAAAAAAATGATGACGACGAGGAATAGAGCTCATTAGTTGTTACACTCCTTTTCTTGTTTAAGATTTCGACGTACCAGTGGTTGAAAAAAGTAATGGAAACACTTTTTACTCTTGCAAGTTAAATGTTAATAAAAGAATTTTTTCAATTTAATTTCTTATAAAAATATTCAAATTTAAAATGGTGATTACAGAAATGTAATACTAAAGGCATTGCATTAATTTATAGAAATTTAGAAATTTAGAAAATTAAAAATTAATGCAATGAATGTGTTAATTATAATTCTTTCCCTTTGTTGAATTATTCGACATCATCAGTATTCGATACAGTATTGATTCTTAAAATTCTAACCATTTCACAGTGTTTCCAATCATTTTCTCCGCCCTCTGTACATTTTTTTTGTATTCCATTTTATATAGACTTTTAGCCCCAGGCTGCTGCTGCTGCTGCTGCTGCTAGTTTAAATACTCTATTTTCGGATTTTATTATTTAATAACTTTTATTCCTCTTAAAAACGACCTTCTTCCCTGACTTCTACCTAGAAATGATATATATTCATTCGCGATTATTATTTAGAAATAATAATTAACCATAGACGAAAAATGTTGAAAAGGATATTTACGCGTTTTTTCGATATGAAGTCTATAATATACGTAATACAAGTATAATTAAGAAAGAAACGACAAAATTCTACATTTCTTATTATTATTATTCTTAGCGCTAGTTTCCTTTATTTTTTCTTTTTTCAATCAACGATCAGAGTTCAAGCTCCCTTAACATTTAAAAAAGATCATATCACGAGAAACAATACACGATAAGAAACTGAAGCACGTTAACGTGGGTCTTTGAGAGAATGAGAACGTGTACAAGTAAATAGAGGAAATGATAAGCGTAGCAGTAACTTTAATTCCTTCTTTTTTTTTCAATTAACAATGAAAGAAACAGAGAACAATGCACTGTTCTCGGCGATGTGTTAGCCGTCGCTCAGACTGCCTAATGCCAAATTGAAAGAGTATGTGCGCGCGCGCGCGCGTGTGTGTGTGTGTGTGTCAGTGAGAGAGAAATGTTTATTCGATTTGTCCAGACGAATTCAAAGACTTGAGAACAGAAATATTCTGTGAGAAAAAAAAATGCTATTCGTTGGTGGCGATTTTTATCTAATTGACAATGGAAAACTGATTCCACGAACACACACGAGTACGTAATCCCCTTTTCCATTTTCTTTGCTAGTCCGCAATTAGTTTTTAACGAAACTTGTGCAAACGTATATAGTGTTACATTTTACAGTTTTTAAACGGCTCCGAGCAATACCCGTTTCTTACGGATTCCTGGCGTAAATAGTTCACTTTAACCCTTTGCGCTCTGAATTTTCTAATCGAATCGGCTCGAGTATCCGAGACGTATGAATTTTCGACTGTATCAGATAGCAACTGAGTTTCTAAGCAATGTTCGATTACTAATTCTATTTCTCTTTCGTGCAATGTTTGTTATATAAATTAATAATTTTTGAAGATAAATAGTTTTGTAAGAATTGATACTACTGTTTGAGTATCTTGAAAAGGTATTTGAATGGAAATGTGTGCCTGAAAGGCATATTTGGAGAGCAAAGGGTTTAAAGTAGCAGTAGACAGCGTGATGTAATCTGCGATCGTGTTAATTCGTTTATATGTGATTTATATTTGGCAAAAAAAAATGATAAAAATAGGTGTTATAGAAATAGAGTTGTGAATTTAAAGAAGAAGAAAAAAAAAAGTAATTGATTTATAAAAGATTAACCCTCTTGCTATTTACAACCCTGCTCATCCAATGTAAAACCTTCATAATCGAAAGTATCGACAAACATTTTCAAATGAAAATTAAAAATAAAAACATTTATGTAATTATACAAGGATAGCGAAAGGGTTAATAGAGATAGAGGTAGTAAAAAACAAATGGCTCAAAATAATTAAAAATTCATATGTTTAAATATCATTTCTTTTCTTTAATTAATATGTTAAGAAAATATAATTCTGTTATACGTATAAATTATTTATTAACGTTCAGTTTATTTATTTCTTAGAAATCTGATGTTTTAACAAATTTGAACAATTCAATAACTTGAAAATTATTATTTTTACCAACAGATGTGACTCAAATGTAAAGGGGTTGATATTAACAAATGAAAAGTGTTTCATTTCATCACCTCCTGTGTATAAAGAAAAAAAAAATAATACAGATGTTATATTATATTAAATAAAATATTATTTAATCTCTGTTTTTGTGATGTACAATAAAAATTTGAACGGCGCTGAAGGGGTTAAAAGATGCAAAGCTTTCCAACGCCAGCTTCTTTTCGTATTCCCTTGAAAGAGAGGCCTCCGACTCGTCCTAGTTTACAAAAGCATTCGAAAAAGGCAAAAGCTGTGAGCTTTTAGAGAAGTATGCTAGCAGCCTGAGTAAATGACAAAAATCCAACAAAGAGACGTTTGTCGGATACACACGCGCTGTTTACTGTCTCCTCTTTGAATCATCCTAGATGATTCAGCAATCGAACCTGCCATAACATGTATACATATATGTTTATACAATACACGTATAAATATATAAATATTATACATATACGTGTATATAAATATAGGTACTCTCGCATTTGATTATGTACGGCGTTGCTTCGCAGTTTTGCACAATATCGTTGTTTTTTTTTTCGAGATCACGTCTCCTACTTGCACGATTTGGTAAAAATATCATAAAATTTCATTCGTTTGAATTTTTACTTATCGTTAATGTTGAGTTAATTACTTTGATTTGGTATGTATATAAACTGTTACATGTAGATTTCAAATTATTTACAATACTGACTGAGTTATAATAAACATTTCAGAAGACTCGAATATTTTTTTGCTAATTTTTCTTTTGCCAAAAGAAATAAATGGAAATCGATGCTTGTAGGCAACGCTATCGAGAATCGCCGGTGTTGACGATAAACTGGGTTACACTGACAATGAAATTAACATTGCAATCTACAAACGTTTGAACGATACCGTTTCAATGACACCAATTTTCATTGGCGACATTGTGTAATACTATACAGTTGAAAAGTATAATCTTGGTATACATACATATATCAGATGACCAATTTCGAAATGAAGTTTAATACAATTTGGTTACATAAAATTAACGCAAAATACCGCTTATGTTATATCAATTTCAAGACCAAGTATCTGTTGATCAATATTGAACCAACGAATACACGGTGTCAGTGAAATTGATGTTACCGAAATATTCCCTATTTTCATCCAATAATTCAATGCAACTCGATAAAGCACATTTCAATTCGCGTTTGTAGAGACTCGTGAACTTATTCGGTATTGATGACACTGGTTTCGTTTGATGCACACTAGTAAGGTGATAAAGTTGTAATGTTCCTCGATCTTTTCCCACCTTCTCATTTTCATTTTTCCTTTGCTTACGTTTTGTCAACCGTCGTCGAACTTGTGTAACGAATAAGCTTTGTTAAGACTTTTAGAAACACGTAAGTAAAGAACGTGTAAACGACGATAATGACACAGCTGTAACACATGCTCATGGTCCCATTTGATCGATCAGAAAGAATATTATACTCCTTCTTTTTAAAAATACTTCAGAAATTCAATAGAAGAACCTATTAACAACATTTAATCGTTATTAATTCATCTAGAACGTAATGACAGTTAGTAATGAAGGTTACTCCTTTTATTTTTTAGTTACTATTAAGTGTTATAGAACGATAATGCTTATCTATTTCATTTCTAGTCGAAATACGAGCAAGTTGTGATACGAAATGATTTTTAAAAAAAGTAACCTTTCGAATATTTCAAAAGTGGACCGTGAGCACGTTTATCAGACAAGCATATTCTATAAGCGTTTGCTATAATGTATTGTTCTTATCGGTGTATTAGTATGTTTAAAACACGTACGGGCAGCCAGGCCCAAGCTCAAAGCTTACAATAATTAAAAGGCAAAAAGAGGTGATTAATAATATATTATACGCGTGTGTTTGGTACCAGCGAATAAAAACATTTAAAAAAAAAAAAATAACCAAGAAAATGCGATCGATTAGAAATATATGCGAGTCGTTTCGTTATCATCAGCGTTCTTTTAGACGTCCTTTTGTCGCGCTTACGAGGCAGCAGGCGTTTAAAATGTATATGTACATATGATATTTACTTGTTATCAATAATATTGGGGAGTTCAATTAAAAGGGCTGCTGTAAAACTTGTTTCCTTTTTCTTCACTTGATATTCTTCTCATTCATTTGGTAATTAATTAATTATAACGATTTTAATATCTGAATGTCGGGATTTCCAATAGTTTTCTCGCTTCCGATGACCAATTTCAGTACTTTAACTATTCAAGAATAAAGAATAGCATCTCAGCTTTCTTTTAGTATAGATTTCATAAACTTTCTCTAAGTTGTTCAATAATTATTAACAATTATTGAAGTAAGCGTTCCTGTAGGGTCGAGCCGTCGCCACTTTAATTGTTTATAATTAATTAATTACAGGTTAGATCCTCACAACACCTATATTAGAAAGTTGCTCTGGGTATATAAATTAAAAATCAATCATCACATAGCATGAATTGTTCGCCAAAAAAGGATTATTAATGATTTACCGATCTGATATCATATTGGGGTATTAAGGACCCCGAATAGCACATTGGGGTGTCGAGGACCCCGGTTACCAATCTTGGGGCTCTCAGGAACCCAGAACGCAATCGTGGGGTCCTTAGGATCCCAGAATACAATCTTGGGGCTCTCAGGAACCCAGAATACATTTTGGGGTCCTTAGGATCCCAGAATACAATCTTGGGGCTCTCAGGAACCCAGAATACATTTTGGGGTCCTTAGGATCCCAGAACGCAATCTTGGGGTCCTTAGGATCCCAGAATGCAATCTCGGGGCTCTCAGGAACCCAGAACGCAATCTTGGGGTCCTTAGGATCCCAGAATACATTTTGGGGCTCTCAGGAACCCAGAATACAATCTTGGGGCTCTCAGGAACCCAGAACGCGATCTTGGGGTCCTCAGGATCCCAGAATACATTTTGGGGCTCTCAGGAACCCAGAATACATTTTGGGGTCCTTAGGATCCCAGAATACAATCTTGGGGCTCTCAGGAACCCAGAATACATTTTGGGGCTCTCAGGAACCCAGAACGCAATCTTGGGGTCCTTAGGATCCCAGAATACGATCTTGGGGCTCTCAGGAACCCAGAATACATTTTGGGGTCCTTAGGATCCCAGAATACAATCTTGGGGCTCTCAGGAACCCAGAACGCAATCTTGGGGTCCTTAGGATCCCAGAATACAATCTTGGGGCTCTCAGGAACCCAGAACGCAATTTTGGGGTCCTTAGGATCCCAGAATACAATCTTGGGGCTCTCAGGAACCCAGAATACATTTTGGGGCTCTCAGGAACCCAGAACGCAATCTTGGGGTCCTTAGGATCCCAGAATACAATCTTGGGGCTCTCAGGAACCCCGGGTACAATCTTGGGGCTCTCAGGAACCCCGAATTTCGTCTTGGGGTGTCAGCGACCCCAAAGCAAATAGCGAAATATAAGACCTAAAAACAAACAAATCGTGAAACTCACTTGTTTGATGTAGTGATGGGTACGACCTGATCTGTAGCTCATGCGCACTACAAGTATTTATTATAAAAAAACTTATCGGTTATCACAAAATCTATTTATTATTAAAAATTACTAAAAAGTGCTCACATCATGCTGAAATAAAATTGCTAATTACAAAAGAAGTAATTTGTCACAAACGTTAAAAATAGACTCAGAATCAATCACAAACGATTTACAAACGAAATACACTAAGAGTAATTAAAAATAATCATATTTTATTATTCCTTCCGGCTAGCTTCATGTAGGTTCGACTTAATATCGTCTGGGGTGTCAGGGACCCCGACGACTTTCTGCGCGGCGACGAAATATCATCTTGGGGTGTCAGGGGCCCCTCAGCTGAAATGTATGACCCATAGACTTTCTATAGAAAAATTGAAACCTCTGTAACTTTTGACTCCGACCAATTAGCCGCACAAACGCAACGTTTTTTCTAATGATGTATGTATATGTATAAGATTTTGTCGATATAGATACAATTAAAATAACATATTTCTCATTTATCCTGCTTTTATGATGATAATTTATTAAATACCATTAATATCTTATTAATGAATGATGAGACCTGGACAATCGTTATTATTTGATGACTAATTAATAACTGTAACATTATTTCTATGGTACATTTATTAATTATGCAGCAAATAATACGGTAGATTATGTATAGATGATAGAAAAGTAAACTGAATAAAACACGCGTATAAATTATAACATCTCTTTGTATTTGTATCACGTTTAAAGCTAAATACCGACAACAAATAAAGTAAAATACGCGTACAGAAATGAAACAATTGTTAACAATGATCACATTATTAATCTCTTACAACGTAACACGATACACGTTTTGTTCGACCCGTTTTGTCGCACTTTTCATCACATGCGATACAATACAATTCTGTATGTGTGTACATATATTGTAGCACACATAACAAAACCTTTGGAAATTTAGAGTATAAACTGTTATCGCTAATAAGGTATTTATTGAAATATACATAAATACGAAAATAAAGCGTAAAACGGTTTCCCTAATTGAAAGGATCGTATCGTGGTAAGTAACGGAAGACGTTTGACGCTCGTCATTTCATTTTCTACGATTTTATGTCTTTAGCAGGATTTTTTGATTTACACCGAAACGAAAAATCATACGTGCATAGATATATATCTTTCGTTTTTTTATAGAGTATTTTGATTGACAATAAATTAATAGAGAGATAAACTTCGTGCAAGAATAGGCACGGTATACAATTACATATTATTAATTATTCGACTCCTTGTCTTAAATAAATGAACCTCGTACTCTTTGCGGCACTTGGGTACAATTTTTTATTTCCTTATTCTTGAACGATGTTCTTCTATTGCGTCCGATTAAATACCACCAAGTCTACTAATTTATAACATCTCTTTCGAATATGCCTTGACGCAACTTACTCGAAGAATCTGATATAATACACTTAGATACCGCATAGCTGAAGACAGATCAGCCAGTCGCAAAATATTTTCATGCTTTTTAGTTTTTATTCGAATCGTACGTATCGATGTAACAAATATTGGTTGTATTTAAATATTGATAAATACATAATAATGAAACAAGCATATTAAAAATTGAATTTGAAAGCGTATTGCTATCAAGACGCGTTACGGAGCGATTATGTATTTAATATGAATTTTTAATTTTGAAACAATTAGTATAAGTGGCAGATAATGGTATAACTAATTCTTCAGTTATAATATTATCCCTTGATCGACTTCTAATTTATAAATTATTATAACTGATATGTAACGAATGTACAAGTTTTTATTAAACGATCTACTGTTTGAATGAACAATTAAGTATATAAATCAATTTACACATCTTAAAATCAATACGCTCAAGTTTATACAATGCATGATTATTAAGTTGTATTGCCATCAAATGCAATTGCGAGACTACACGATAAATTTAGTCTTTATTCACAATGCGAACATAAAACGAATATCTATGTAATTACTTAATCGAATACCTAACATTTTCTCGCTAAATAAATATACTTAGATCTTTTCGTTCCATTTAATTACGGTTAAATACCTATCTAGTACACTTTGATATTTATTTTATGCAGATATTTTTCATAGACCTCTTTCTTTTTCTTTACTGCGCATTTATTCCTTCGTGCACGTGTAGATGCCCATCTTTCAGATTAACATACGTTTCGCATCACAGGAAGAGCTTGATATTTGAAATACGAAACAATTTTCAAACAGTTCGCTTGCATGTATGTAAGTTAGATATACGAAATTATTATTTACATTACATGTCAGAGTTTAAAGAATGAAATGTCGTTAATTGTTATCATTATGCTTGATAACAAATATTTGGATACCTCCCCAGTCGATGAACGTTGACTAAAAATGCATTGCGAATTGAAACACATGTCACTTAAAAGCGTCACAATTTTACAGATAATTAAATTCCGTAGCAGCTGTGCAAACGTTATGCCTTTGAATATTTACCATATGCCATAATGCGGATATAGTAATATTAATTATTAATAATAATTTCTGTCTTTCCCTGTGATATTAATTACCTACAATTCTTGTACACAATTTTTATATGTATGGATGTAATGCCAATGCCCTACCACGTAAACCTCTCTGCCCTCCGACTCCTCCCTTTGGTATCACGTATCCTCCGGCGTGTCTAGCTGTTCCTTCCTCTTCCAGGTTTCCATTGCTCTCGATTAAATCGCGCAGCGGCCAACAAGCTAAATGACGTGATTTTCCATGACGTGCTAGGACGTGATATCCTTGTCTGAAATGCATATATTAGACGTGTTAGTTTAAATTAAAATGTAAACACAATGTGTAATTAAATGTAACGTACCTAGATGAAATTAGACCGACAAGTAATGCCCAATGAGCTTTATGGCCTCTTTTTAAACATGGAGCATGATTGAAATCAGAATCGTATGGAATTAGTACCATTGCTCCATGAGCCAATGCATGCGTTAACGTATCTGGGCATTGTTGTAGATCTACTAAAATATCTGGTCTATGGTCAGGTAAATATTCTGCTGCTAGTGTGCCCATAAAATCAACACTGTATACTTCTCCGTGTTGCGTGAAACCCCTTACACGTGCCTCTGCTAGAAGCTGACTCACAGAAACAGGTTTTGTGTATTCCTGTGATGCCATGGCAAGTGCCACCAGACCGCATCTGTGACAATAATGATAAAACTGTGTTAAACCTTGCTATTACATCCTTATTTTATTAAAAATAATACTCACTGTGGACCATCTTGCAGGATTGGTTCAACTTGACAAAAATATGTTACTTCAGCATCCTTCAATTCATTTCGGGCTATCAGCTTCTCAATTTCTGCCTCTGCAGATGTAAGGGTAATTTTGGCCCAAGGAGGCAGGGAATCCGCATCGCTTACTTCAGTTTTTTCACACATAGGTGCCTCTGGCAAACTTGAGAGAGGTGGAGGTGGTGCTGGCATTTTTCAGTAATAAATGCAATAGGGACAGCTACTTTGTTCGATTAAGAAATACCTGATTGCCACTATAATCAGACGATGACAGTTTCCACAGCTATGAAATCATCCGTCTACACTTCAGTATTTTCAATCTGAAAATTGCCATTTCTCAGTGGTATTCTTTTCGTTTACTGGAAAGTTTCTTGTTCATTGTAAATTCCTTGTTAGTGTTCCTTGATCGGATCCAAGCTGAAATGTCAGTACAAAGGTAGCATGCAACATATAATCGGAATAATAAATGATAATCAATGAAAAAAAGAAGGAAATCGAGATAACTGTACATGATTTTTAGAAACCGTTAAACTATACGTGTACTTTGAAACGTCTTTTCCCTGCTGTCACTTTATTGCGAAAGGGAAATGAAACACGAAGAAAAGGTGGAAACAAAACTATGTACGTGGATGCAGCATTACTACAACTGCATTTATACATTACTCATTTAACCTTGAGAAATATGCTATACGGTATCTGTCATCGTTCCGGCAGACATGAATTGCAAAATGTATATACGACATCATCGAAATCAATCGTTTGCGTAAAATCGATTACTATACGTAACAACCGATAGCAACATTTTTATTTCGTTTCGAAAGCATTTCAACACTTTTTACCGAATCTAATACTAAAACGAACTTGCTGTAAAAATTCTAATGGCAGCACATTGCACGATCGACATTGGACGGAACAATAATTGACGATAATGTCTGTGTCAAGCAACGATTACTCATCCAATATTGTATATAGATTATCGTTGTTCACGGTAGATCTAATTCAGATCAGACAATCAATCAGACGTAATTTGTTTACCGTACCTAAAATGCAAGAAAATCGCTGAAGCACGATTTTGACGTTTGCACGTCCCACCTATTCACCCTGTGACTCATGCACGTATATTATGTAATTCTTCGATAGAAATAAGAATGAACACTGGAGTGCATTGATGTGACGATATCAAGGGTACGTTCGGATGCACAAATCTCTGACGAATGACAATTACTCGCTCGATACGACTCTACAATTTAATCCTCTCTAAAGGAGATCTCGAGTTGGCGTAGCGCACCATGCCTTATTCGCAGACTTCTGTCACGACATACAGTCTGATAAGAAATTTCTCGCAGGTGTTGCTGCAGCCTCGAAGACGATTCACCAGTTTAGGCAAGTGCATTGTTTGCAAGAACCCTAGTCTCGGGAAATTTATTGTTTATCTCTTTTCACTTCCGTGCGACTCGAGAAACAGGTGCGGGGATTTCGGTATATATCATACATACATATGTATGTACATACGTACATACGTACATACATATGTAGCACCCTCGGTGTCCCTCTAGGGAAAATGGCGGTCTAAGTCAACGGAGGGGAAGGTGACTCCACCGCCGGGTATGACACCAAGACCAGACATGCCTTTGTTTTCAAGCGGTTTTGAATTTGTCCCTTGAGAACGAGCGCCATCTGCTGTATCCTAATACAAAAATGTGATACACCTCTGACTGCAACAGTCTAGCGCACGTTGATGGAAATAGTAAGGTGTGGATCCCTTACATCATGGAATCAAATTTTTTAAAAATGAAACCAAATTTGTAAGAAATTTCAGGTAAAAAACTCATGAAAATGTTTCTCACGTTTGGCAACATTGTTGCTGGCCGACGAGCACTTGCCTCGCAGAATTTTTCGCATTTTATGAGGCATTCGATCTTTCGAGCACAACAATATTGCACAGCATGAAGTCTCACGAGACTTTACTTACATTTACTCGAACCAGTTTTTATAATATAATAATTGTAAAATACAGTACCGGTAGGGTTGAAATGAGAAATTAAATCTTATAATATTATAATTATGTTTATGTACAAATGAAGATTATAAATCATACAATTAATCGCTTCTATATTCAATATATAAAAATAATGAGCTTTTGTAGTACTACAAGTAACAGAAAGGTAATTGTTGTACCTCCACAAGAAATCTTCGAATTAGGGAACATTATTGTCTTTATATTTCAGAGTATGTTTACAAAGCACATACATCATATAACTGTGATAAAATTTAGGATGCACAATGGAGGTACATTGACTATTCTTTTCCTTATGAAAACGTTTCTTATGCACAAATAAAGATTCTACATCTATAATAGAACATCTTTTTTCATTCGTTGAATAATATATTACACCTTTTTACATTAGAGGTACGAATCATATAAATTGACTTATTTTATTTAAATTAAGTAACGATTTTATATAAAAATATTATATAGAAGTGACATAAATAATTAAAATATTTTTTACAAGTTATCGTATGAAATAGGCATTGTACAAAACGAATTGTTTTAAATAATCGTGATATCAAAGTGAAGACGTAAATAAATAATAAATAGATTTTAGGCTTAATATCCTTTGAGTCATATACACACTGCACGTCACTGTTAGCAATATATAATAAATAGTAATTACCCGAAATTTTATAATCATTTTTCAAGGCACCACATTGTAGTCGTTATAAGAAACGTCGCGAATAGTCTACATTTTCATAATTACTTCTAAATTAGAAGAAGTTATCTCTAGCAGTATTACGTAAACGTAATCTGTAAACGTTCGGCTATCTAAGTACCCAAATAGGTACAAATGATTCAATAAATGCATTTTATTCACTCAAAAATAATGCGTCGTCATTCGCAAAAAACTTCAATGCACACATTATGCGTATAATACTATTCGTATCTTCTAAAGGAAAATATTTCATTAGAATTCCATATTTATGACGATTGAAGATGATTTAAAAAAAAAAGATATTACACATTAGAATATTTGTTTTACATAACAGAGTTTACGAGTTGTTATTAACAATAATATAAATAAAAATTAAAATAATTGTTCAAATTCTGTGCATTTAATAACATCTCCGCCGTATATAGTTGTACATGAGACAATAAAAAATTTTCTAATTTGTAAAATAATATCCTTATAGTTTCATGGAAACCGTCGTATACCACAGAGCGTAGTAAAATATTTTCTTTGATGTGCTCCTAAGTTGAGTCATTAAACATATCGTTTCATTTATCTCCGATGATTATCACACATTCAATACGATGAAGAAATAAATGAATATTTCATTCGTGCACTGTCTGCATTGAATGTACGATACGTAAATGCGTCTTTGAAAACATTTATATACAATATTTCACTGTGCGTATCGATTCAGTGAATATAAAAGCATATTTTTGAGTTCATAATACTTTTGTTTCTTTTTCTTTAAGTTCATTTAAGAGACAAACACGTTCTATTAATACTGATGTGTGAATACCCACCGAATTAAAATCATTATTGGGAACTTTAAATGTTTCACGTTAATCGAGATTTGTCCGCATTGGCAGTGACTAATTCTTAATGTATAGGGTGTTTCATAACATCTGGGACGGAGGGTATAAAAGGCAATAAAAAAGTTCATACAAAAGTATTTAGTATTTGACTTTGCTTTCAAATTACAGCCATTTTTTTTCTATTGCAGTAGTATGCTAATAATACGTTAAACTAGTATAATTAATTTTATTATCAACTTATTTTACTATATGGGTCGGTTTACTGTAACAGGAGTTTGTGAAAAAAGAAAAAAAAAAAATATATATATACATATATATAAAAAAAAAAAAAAAAATAGGTGAGTCAACCGACAGTGATTTACTGAAACACAATAATGGCTGTAATTTGATGAATGCAAGGTTAAATAAATACTAAAATTTTCTGCGAACGTATCTCGAATAATGTAATTAGTATTCAAGATTTAGGGGTACTCGCACATCGGTGTATACATTACTAAAGAAAAGAGGAAAAAGAGAGACTATAAATCTATCCTAGTCAGCCTTCTGTATGTTCCCGTTTTGCATGGTACTTGAGCAGTAGCTGCCGGTCTTCCCGGTACTTATTGTTAATGTTTGTTTGGGTTAGAGTCTGAATCCGGTTCAGAACTGGAACCGGAAGACTCCCCAGCATTAACGTTCGCACTGCAGCGCGAGCTCCTTCGGCTAGTGGAACCCGTGTGCCTGCATTTCTCGCTACGATCCACTGTACCTACAATAATTTGAAAGGAAAAATTAACATAGAATCTCTAAATACGCCAATATTTAATATAGTCATTTTCAGACTTGGTCTTTCTTTAGTTAAAAGGAAGTGTAGGGGAAGGAATGTTTCACCACTCTAACTTAGGGTCTCCCTGTCTCTCCATACACTTACTTTTTACTTATAGAAGCCTTTGTTGTACCTAAGTGTACAGAAGAGAACATCATTTATTTGACTATTCACTAGTAGGAGTATCCAAAATTTCATTCCATCTAGACAGAAGTGATTTTAGTCAAACGTTAGATACTTACTGGTTAACGGTGTGTGAACTTCAACCTTGATATTAGCTGTCGCAGTGACCTTAGTTGTGATATGAGATGTTGATGTCACTGGTGACATTCGACTAGACCCACTTGTATCTGATCCGCTACAATTCTGTTAGTTGAAAAACAAAAGCACACACGTTAATCATGCTTCATGGAATTCGAGTACTTGCATCATCATCCGAACAAGATTATTATATTTAAGTAAAATCAATATGAATTCAGAATATAAGCAGTTACACAGGAAGCATATGGCAGAAAAAAAAAAAAAAAAAATCACTCTCACTTCAATTATGTTTTAAAAAAAGTATGATTTGAAAAATGAAATATTTTAGAGCAGTTGAAATTTTCGAACGTACCTGATTGCCACACGTAGACGTTGTTTCGACCTTCAATTCTGGCTGAACTATAATGCAAGATTCTTGCGTACTGTGCCAGGAATTGGGTTCCTCGGTGATTGTGGTCAGCGAGGGTTCAGCGTGTAACCTAGCATTATCAATTTTGTACGATCTTCTCGGAGGCGCAGGTGGCTTCGATCTTCTAACAATCGGCGAGGCAGGAGGAGTCGGCGTTGAAATACGATCCGGATGCTCGTTGGGTATCACTTCTGGAGATGGTCCAATCAACGATAGCAAAATGGGGAAGAAGAACAGCCCGTTTACCAAGCCGATTCCAATAAGGCAGAGTAGTACCAAGAAGAAGTATCTAACGATGAAATCGAACTCCGAGAAGGCTAACATCGCGATTGCCAGTAGTGTCGTAAGAGCTCCATGAATTACTGGCGCGTACATGTGCTCCAAAGCTAGACGAATCCTTCGATCCCTGCTTCCGATACTCGTAACGAAACTCTACAAAAATGAAGGCACAGTTAGCACGGAGACAAAACGAGAACTGTTGACTGGTATCCAGCTAGTACTAACCAGACAAATGTGCACCGTAAAATGTACAGCGATCCCGACGCTGACAACCAACAAGACAGCCGGAACAGCGCTAAGTTTGATGTCGCAGAGGCCCATAATTCCGAGAAGTTGTAGGACAACCCCGGCCAAACAAGTCCCGACCAGCAGAGCTGCCCAGAGGTTCAACAGCAATATTCCAACGACCGCGACACTGGCCGCTAGAGCGGCCAGCAGAGCGATGCCTAGGCAACTTCTCAGATCCATGTACTGTTCCCAAAATAGAAACGGTATGCCGGAGGGAAAATTTGGTAATCCCCGTTCCTCGAACTTCCTGCACAACTTTCTTACGCTGCCTATTAGCTCGGTGATCTCTTGCGTGTCGGTGAGCTTATGCAGATAAAACGGCATCTGCGCGTACGTCAAGGGCATGCTCTTTGGAATCTTCAATTCGTGATCGTTGGTATAGATCCACTGCCTTGGTTCTGGTCTCAAGTTCGCTTGAGAAGCACCGTAGGCTAACACGTCGTTCGACACCCATGCGCTTAGATAGTTGTAAAAGGCACGAGGATTGATGATGCCCTCGGAGTCGACCAATCTGACCTGGGTAACCAGAGACTTGTCGATGGGATTATCTACATGACCAGTTTGCACCAGTAATTTGTAAGCTAGAATCGCTTCGTCGCTGGCATTTTTGTACCATCTCTCCTGTGTGATGCAGCCACTGTTGTAGTCCTTGTCGAAAGCGCTTTGCAGCCCTCTCAGCCAGTCCCTGAACAGACTCAACCAGAACTCTGGAAGACCTCCGTTGTCGTTCTTGATCACGTTCTTTATCCTCATGAAGGCGTCGTGATACTCGTACAATAACTTCTGATTGGTAGGGTACTCAAAATCCCTGCCCGTAACAGCGTACATATTGTAGAATCCAAAGTGTTTTGCTTGAGCGGCCAGGAAAGCGTGTTCATTGGAATTCTGTGGGACCAGGTCAGTTAGTTCGAGACCATCGTTCACTTTGATAGCCTGCCAGACACTGCCCGCTAGAACAGCGATCAGGATCATCATCCCAAACACCTTGGTCGCTGGTCTGGTGACAAAAGGGGCGTAATGCCTCGCGGCCATCTGAGTCAAAGAAAAGCTCAGACAGTCATCCTGACTGCAGCCGGTTAGGGTATCCTCCTCGGAGCACTGTTTGTCCAGATCCACTTCAATGTTCCCACCGACCCAGGACTCGTTCTGCGCGTTCTGCGAAGTCAAGATCTGCGTACAAGTCTCGCGTCGTTCCGGTGGGATCGATCTGGTCATCGTTTGTTTGGCGGCGCCGTTGCTCAGTCGGTTCGCGTACCTGTTCCTCCCTGCGTTGGACGGCAGGCAGCAACAGAAGATGTCCGAACGACCAGATCGACGTCGTCTCAGGTCCAAGCTGACCATAGCTGGGAAGACGAGCAGCATGGCGGCCAGATTGAACAGCAACAGTATTCCAGCTTGCAGACAGAACACTCGAAGCGCAGGAATGGGGATAATTGCAGCCGCGAAGAAGGCCGAGACGTTGCTGAGCCCTGCCAGCAGGACGGACAGACCTGTCCTTTTCAGGACCACACCTGTCTGCTCTCCGCTAGGCACTTCGTTCACCGAAATCTCGGCGTACGTGTGTGTCAATAGGAACATGTCGTGGACCCCGAGTCCCAGGGCTAGGAACGGGACGATCTGAGTGGTGGCTGCGTTGAAGGGGATTCCCAGGAGGGCGCAGAACCCCAAACCAGCCGCCACAGTCGCGCAGATCAACGTTACTCCCGCTATCCCAACGCCTGCTTGCGAACGCACCGGGTCCTTCCATCGAAGAAGCACTATACCAGCGTACAGTAACTGTAACAGAACAGTTACTCGTATGTTAACCACCACCACCACCACCAAACGACATAGAATCATGCAGATTTCCTCTGGCTGCCCAACGAACACGATACTAACCATCAGTGTGCAACCAATGGCGATCTTCATAACGGACAGCTCGCTGTACTTTCCAAGTATGTCGTTCATGGTGGTAGTGCTGAACGCGTACAAATTGTACGGTGCCGAGCCATTCGCGTCCAGATGTTTCTTCACCTGATTACTGAACGCCCGTTGCCAGGTCTCTAGCACTTGGGCAGCCTTCTCCTGGGACCAATCGATGTGGTGCACCTTGTAGGTGCCGGCGAAGAAATCGTAAAGCTCTCGTTCTCCCATCAGCTGCACAACGGTTTGCAGCGCAGCTGCGCGGGTCAAGTGACCAGTCTTATTGTGCTTGGCACCGCCAACCAGCAGCTCCTCCGGCCAGTGCATATATTTCGCCGCGAAACCGTAACAGCCACCCGTTAATTCGGCTCCTATATCTGGTACCTGGCGAAACAAATTTTTCGAATATGTTATTTCCCTGGGTGGGGGGGGGGGGGGGACATAATTTTCTATGATTAGATCAGAAACCATTGGATGTTCGTAGAGTCTCATTAAACAGACACTAATGAATTATAATGCATTCATTACAGAGGATCAAGCTCTTCGGCAGACTATCCTGTCCACGTTATTTATCTTGGCATGATATAGAGAGCCATTGGATAAGGTTCAAGCAACTAGACGGTGATCGTTTAAAGTCCTCGCTGGTATGCTCCTTTTATAGGTCCCCATAAAATCTCACTGTGAGGTCCGTAACACCCTAGGCCACCCTCTGTCGTCTCTCACTTACGATCACGTTTTTTATCATTTCTTTGGCCACGAAAGGAACGCCCGTTCGTGCCCCGTTTCAATTCGGAATCATTCTTTTGACAGCTTTCAGAATTCCTAACGTGACTTGACACTTGGTCTTTACTTTCTGTCATGTTTCGAATATTTTTAGATTCTCAGTTATTTGGTTCGTGAGAAATGATTTAACATCGAAGAAGTTTAATTTTTGGCATTTAATAAAAAAAAATCTGAAATTATGTGGTAGTGAATTATATTTTCGAAAGGATTTCAAAACCAACTTACTTTCACTTGTTTACTAACAAAATAGTTTTAATAGACTAGCGAAGTGAATGAACTTTAATTATTACGAATGTTAGGTGTGAATGAACTTCGTAAACGATAGCCACGTACGAACGTTTAGGATAGTAGAAATATCAAGTATGAATGAATTCTGGGAATGTACGTGATGTTTCGGGTACAAGGAGATATGTGATACGAGTGGACGATACACAATATTAATTCGCGATAATTTGAACAGTGAAAACAGAACTGACACGCAGATTATAACCGTTTGAGATCCAACCACAATATTATATGTATAATAGTGTTACATTATATGCTCTTTGAAAGTTTTATCGAAAAATAGATTTATTATTCAGTTTGTGTAAATTAAAATATATACATATATAATGTTGTGCAAAATCGTTGTGAAAAATCGAATTCACAGAAATTGGCAATAAAAAAAGGAAACTGTAAAAGAACACGATACATACACCGTGCACGTTACTTGCATACTAACGAGCTCGAGTATTAATTACCAGCAATTAATTCGTCGGTTATTACATTGTAATTAAGCAAGTAACCGAGTCACGCGGATATTGCCGATCCGCGTTATTCTCTTCTCCGAAAGCTTGCTAACTTTTCGATTATATTATATTATCGATCCTATAATCGATACGGATAATTACGGGTACAATGTGTTCAACATTTTTCATTAATTCTTGCAGAGGAATAGTTTAAAAGGAAGATAGTACCTATAATTTAATTAAAATTAAATTAAATGTACATATAGTAAGACATAGTTAAACCCTAATTATTAAAAATATAATAATTATCTTATATTTATTATTCTCTTTCTGAGAAAATGATTCCTCCTGTAAGTTGGAAAAATATGATTTCGATGAATGAAACTAATGCAATTTTCTGTTTTGAGAAGTGATAACAGTTTTGCTTGTTATGCAATGAAACGAAACAAGAGGGTCACGGACCTCGTGATGTGACACCCGCGTGCCAGCACACGAAGGCACAGGTAACACTAGAGCCCGCCCACCGCGATTATCGCGTGTCTCGAGTATCGATTCGCGTTGCCGTGATCCGCTACGATATCTTGCTGGCTGATTTTTTTCTTTTTTCAAAGTAAATCGACGATGTTTATCCGGAACAATTTGTTGGACAGAAAGATTACGAACTTGATGGACAGTTCCGGTCAAGTTCAATTCATGAGATCGTAACTGACGATGGTTAAATTAATACATAGAATGATCATTTTAGAAATGGTGAAAAGGTAAACAAATGGTTTACAGATGGCAGCCGGTATGGAAGAAATATCGTTGAAAGGGAAAGAAGGTATCGAAGAAGGTATGGTAATTTTGAATTGCACCCGTTTGTCATCCCTTTTTCGTCGAGTGAAATTCGTTGGCACCGCGTTGCATGGTATACGCATCTTATATTCCACGATCGTATAGAGACCAATTCTCGTTTCACGTTGGCCATAAATTATCAAGGGCGTAGCATCGGATGCTACCGGATATCGTGCAGGCATACCAAACAAAAGCGTCTCGGCGATCGTGATTCTGTGTGTGATTCGGAGGGGACGCGTTGCACGTGGACGTCGTTGCAACGTTATGTAATTCCACGAACAGAAAGCTATGCGTGTCACAAAACGTCAACGTACCTACTGGCACGCTTTTCTTGTTTTTCTCCGCGTGTTCGACTGGTGTCACGAGTCGCTAACGGCGAACAGGTAGTCGCGTTACACGCCGATTCAATCGCTTCTCCCTCTGCACCTGGACACTTCGCCTCACCTTCCTACCTCTTTATCGTAGCCTCCCTTCCTTTACTTCCGTTACATTCATATTTTATTCATCGTACCGAAAGGGTTAATATTTTCAAAATGATACACCAAATTGTAAAATAATAAGTATTTATGATGTTAATTTTTTTAAAACATCCTTCGCCCGCAGCTATACTTGAAATTTTCCAAATCAGCAAGGGCTGACTGCCCCATTATGTACAATTACCTTGAGTACGGAGGCGCATATGCGATATGGAAATAGAAGTAGAAATAAGGGGGGCCACGAACGGAGATACGCGAAAGAAACAGAGAGCAATTGACCGAAGGTAAAAGAGAAGAATTCCTTTCAAGATCGGACGACATAAATCCACGCTTTCAATTATGCGAAATTAATTGACCGCGCCTTGTATCTTCCCTCTGCAATCTCTCCTTCTCTCTTTTTCTTTCTTATCATTCCTCTTTCCTTGTCTGGATGCTTGCGTGCGCACGTGAGCTCTCGGTATCGTGCAACAGGATGTACGTGCATCTTTGTACCTATATGTATAAATTTCATTGTATCTTTCGTCTGGTCTTTTGTGCCCGGTTCCCGTTCTTTTATCGGCAGGATGAAGAGGTAATCTTTGCAGATGTGCTCAAAGAGCGAGAAAAAAAAAAAAAAAAAAAAGATGACGAAGAAATTGCATTTTGTGGGGGTCGTATCTCTGCGAGATGGAGATACATGGGGCAATACGCTTAGTGAGTTGAGCTTTCCGTTGCTTGAAATATACAAATCTGAGAATTTTAATGTGGCGGTGACTTGCAATATTATAAACATTTATTACTACCCTCGATAAATGCTATAAACCTCCCAGATCTTAAACTTTCCTATTATTATTATTATTATTATTATTATTTTTCTTTTAACACCCTGTATGTGCAACATTCGCAAATGACTGTCTGTTTTTGGAGGCTGTATACATACGCCCTATGTAGCAAAAGGGTTAATGACAGTTACACGATGAGTACGTAATGGTGTCGGCAGTGAAAAAGCGTACGTAATGCTTGTGTGTAACGGCAACCACCAACGTAGTGCAATAATGACGCACATCTTTTGATTTTATTATTTTAATGTACCCCTGGCCACGACCCACGCGACTCGCATACACATCGTTCTTCCTTTCTCTCATTTCCTCTTTCAATTTCACGGTCGAAAATTGTCCCAGGTACTGTTTTTTTTACGACACAATATCTTATAAAACGTGGATCTTTGTTTCTATCTGAATTAATAATAATTAAAATGATGAATAATTTGAAAATAACACGACTTCCAGTTTCCAGAATGACAAAAGTTGCGACATTTTCTATTTAAGATAGTAAAAGTGACGCGTTTCAACTATCACATGAAAGCATACATAGGTTAACGCAAGGAGAACGGAATCGACATTCCCCTTCGATTTCGCGCGATGAGAAATTCTCGATTTCGGTCGCACCATACGTATTTACTTACGTACATACGCGCAGTCCTTGGGTATGCTCAATTAAATATTCATTACTGCAGTCGCCGGCTCCGGAATATTCTTCGAACATCAAAGCGGAATCGACGTCGCTGTCCGGGACCTACCGGACTCGCTACGTGCACGCAACCGGTCGTCATCGGGCACAGAATTCCAAGTGGTCTCTTATTATTCTGGACACTGATCCTATGAACGGATCTTAGCGTCCAACCTTTCCTATATTGTCTGATCGCGTCTCATTGCCGAGGCAATTCCATTGCTACCAGTCGCTATTTTCACAGTAATTGCATTGTTACGTTTCCCATCGGTAGCTTTCTCGATAATAGCCAAAGAATTTTTAGCTGACCTCTTTTCTTCCTTTTCTCTTTTTTAAATTTCAGTTTTAAGGTAATACCTATGTTGCTTGATAGATTATTATCAGTGGCCATATTGCATTAGAAGCCAAAAAATAATATGTATTTATTGTACAATCTATTGTACACAATCTATTACCAATCTTATTACCAACCTATTACCAACAACGGCACGTGAAACGTTTCACGTCTCGCAGATATCTAAAAATTCATATAGAATGTTTAAATAGTTGCAACCAGAAAGAGAAAGACCTGAACGTATTAGTACCTATACGATTGGAAAGGCAACTTTCAATCATGAGCCAATTTACGATCATTGTTCCCTTTTTTTTTTTTTTTGCGCAATTTAATCCAAATTTGTCGGCAGCGAACGTACCTTGTTTGATATCAAAAGGCAACGTTACGATCGTGTGTATCAATAATTATTACACAAGACTTTCACCTTAATCGGCCGACACACAAGCTGGTATTTCGGAGACAACGTTTCGATCGGTTAGTTGCTTACCTGTTGGGATTTTTTGTTGGGCGCGGTTTCCGGGCACTCCGGATCCGTTGGGTCGAGGCAAGGTTTGCTTTGGTAGCCGTTCGTTATCCCGGCTCTCTTCATGTAGTCTTCCAGAATTTTGAAGGGAAACATGAATTGAAGTTTTTTCATCTCGTCCAGCATTCCGAATGGATTCAGATTCGTCCACTGGACCGGCTTGTTTGTTTGCGTGCCACTAAATAACGAATAAATTGAACTGTTGGTGCTGATCAATTTCACCAAAATATTTAGAATTTAAATATTAACTGTTGAGGTTTCTTTAGCTACCGTGCGATTGAGTATGGATTATACTCAACTACTAATTTGCAAAGGGAAAAGGTGCTTTTATTGTTACTTACGGTATGTGGACAGGGTATTCCGGTCCCAAGAGTTTACTGCCTTCCCAGAAACAGTCGAGCGGAGTAATGATGGCGCACGGTATGATACTGTCGAATATCTAAAAAAGAGCACTCCGTTGAAGAATTTCTCGAAGGAAATAACTTTATTCCGCGTAATTGAAAAATTACTGAGCTCCGAATAACGAATCGATGATCGTTCGTTATTATTTCACTTTAATGGCAGTTCATTTCATGGAATCTTTAATTCTGGCAATTTTAAATTAACAGGTTACTAATAAGATTGGTCTACTTACAGTGGAAACTTATTAATTAAAAAATTTATTCAATTATTAAGTAAAAATAAGGCAAAGAACGCATGAGATCAGCCATCAAAGTATTAATAAAATTTTCATCTCTGAAGAAAAGAAATTATCCTGTTCTAAGGGTTATTTAATCAACAGGATTACTTAATAGCGAGTCGTGCACGTTCTTGGCTACGATTTACGATGAATATCTGCTTTTCTTCGATAGTGGACACTAACGATCGCCATAACGTTTTTCTTGGTAGCAGGGCATTATGAGAGGCCACCTATGCGTTCTCAGAAACTCAAATAGGGCGGTCTCTCAACCGAAGCGTTTCGTTTTTTCGGCTCCCTTGATTTACGAATAATATGGCTAGAATTTGGATAGAATTCAGGGAACATCGTGATAAAAAGAAACACCACGATCCAATATTGTACATATTTTTAAAGTTATAACAATTTATATGTAATGAAATTTTTAATGGTCCTGGTCAAGATTAATCTTGATTGCGTGCAGTTTAGATTGAGACATTAAAGGAAGCAGAAAGAATTCGTAAATGAAAAGCTTGCATATATGGAGGGAAAAGGGAAAAATATAGAAGGACGGGTAAAGATTAAAGGATAAATGAACGACAGTGTAATTAGCCTGGTGTAATAACGGGTTATTGACACTGACCACAGCACACGGTGTCAGGTGTGGTCCGTGCTGTTGCTCCTCCTTCGTCCTTATTATACGCAAATGCGAGCAGAGAGCAGTAAATAAGTATTTCATGATCTCGTTGCCCTTGTTTCTTCTTTCTCTGTATGTATGTACCTTCGTCTCCGTTGCTTTAATGTTCAATCGATAACCATCCCTTCTAGCAACCTTTCTTAACATGGCTTTCTGAACAATATTGCTAAATGTGCACGGGTTATATAGACTTAAATAGAATGTCATAATTAAAAAAAGAATACTCTTTACATATAAAGAAACTCGTAAACATGGCGGAAGTCGCTTTGACACCCGGTGTGTTTGTTTCAAATCTGACTTTTCTTTTTCCTTCCTTCGAAACGCTTCGGTATTCGGTAACGTGTGTGCTCGTTAGCGCAAGAAACGAAGTAGCCACGCGTTAAGACGCTTTTCAAGTGTCTTCTATTGAATTTTCGACGTTTACGACTGCCAGAGAACTGTTAACGAACGACACAGCGCAGCGGTGACTGAAAATCGAGAAACAAACGCATCGTAAAAACCGGAAATGGAATCGTAGCGACGGAGACGATTTCATCTGACAACCATCAAAGGTATCACCAGTTGAAACTATGACAATTTTTTAAGTTAAACTTTACTTCTCGGCTAGACGTAACCATCGCTAGTTTCAAGATTTCCTAATGGAAAATCGAAAAGTCACAGTGTACGTAGAATAAAAGCGATATCGTAGATCACGAGTCGAATGCTTGAACAGTCACGATCCTGTAACCAATACACGCACACGTTCGCCCATCACCTAGATACAAAGTAGTGGTAGTTTTAAATTACCTGGTCGATGTAGTGCATGTCGAAGTTGGGTATGTTCAGCGCGTAACACATGTCTTTCAGCTTCCACGTGCTGCAAGCGACACGAAACACATGCATTCATGAATACAACTTTTCCATCCCTTAAACCCCTCTGTGTCTTATAAACGACTGGAAGAATTCTCTTCGAGTCGCACTTGGACACTTACGGGGTGTTCGAGAAGTTCGCAGGAAAGAAACAGAAAATTATTTTATAGCACGATAAATCACGATTATTTATGTATGTGATATATCAGTAGCGTAATTAGGAGGGGGAGGGAACCAGAAGAGTCAGTTTTAAATACTTCAAAAAATTTCAAAAAAGGTGGATAATTGTGATTACCTATAAACTTTCTGTTCATATTGAAGAAGAATGGCCTTTTTTTCTTTCCCGTCGAACTCGTCGAACTCGTCGAACTCGTCGAACTCAAGAAGAAAGAAAAAAGGAGGGGCTTACATTTCGAAGAGGTGTACGGTGACCTGCGTCGCCGCCTTCAGGATCGCTAAATGTTCCTTGAGTGCGGCAGGGTGCAAAATATTCGCCCCGGAATGCCTCGGCGTTTGGATGACGAGCTGGTGCGTCGAGGCGGCCGCTTCCCCCAGCGCTTCCGAGGCATAGGTTAACTCTTTTTGCAGTCTTCCACCCTCTACGATGAAATAAAGCAAACGTTAGAAACGAATATGTCCCTATGAATCCTGAGGGGGGGGAGCTAATATCGTACGAATCTAAAAAGGATAAAAGATATAGCATTCTTTTCGCTTGGTGTAATCGTAATCGTTTCTTGTAATTTCTTGCGATTCGTCAAACGGGTGGTGCCGGGCCGTCTAAAATACAGGTTTGGAACGCAGTTGTCTTTCTTCAAAGGGTAAAACCTCGCTACCTGGCCCTTGCCCAGAGAAGCTTGAAAGGAGGAGTTGATGTTTAAGTCACGAGCTTCACCGGGATTGGTTGCTCGCTTTATTCGCGACTCGTGCCACTTTAAGCTTTCGACGGCCTGGTAATGTTTATGCTCCGGACGATTCCTCGAAGAGAAACATCGAGCTCTCGGTCCCAGTGTCGTAACACACGTTTCTACGGCTTTACGGATATACCGAGAAAAATTTTCTGGCAGTCTACCAACGAAAGCGTTCCCAGAACAAGAGACATGGAAATAGCTCTGTTATGATTCGAAACGTCGCCCTGCCACCACTTCCATACGACAACCCCATCGATCTTATCCAAATAAGTCATCAGGAACATTCAACTTTTGGGTTAGGTTGGCCATTTTAAGTCATTGGGATATTTATTGTACATCCTGAAATCTGAAATATCCCCCCATCCCCATCCCCATCCCCATCCCCCTTAACCTAAACCCACGGGACCCTCGAAAGAGATCTCTATCCGAACGGTGAATACGAGCCGTTCAAAATTCGAGCTTTACGATCATCGTCCATGTCCCTCAAATTGGTCACGACGAATATCGAGCGGAAAGGGACCGCCCGTTGACTGTATGTACGACCAGCTGGTTCTCCGTTACCTACCGGAACCCTCGCATTTCCTTTGGACGAACCTGTAAAAGGTAACTTTCGCCGGGAACGGTTGAGAACCTTCTTGATAGCAGGCGACACGGGTGGTCTTCGGAGGCCGCGCCGTGGCGGAACGAGCAAATACGCCGTCGGCATTTTTGACGGTGAAATCTGACTAGGTGGGGTCCTGACGTACCCCGTGTCAGACGTCAGCCTCGTGCCCTTCCTACCTTGCTTTTCGATTAATACACGAAGCATCCACGGTTCGCGCTTTTGCTTTCTCACTTCCACCAGCCAGAACTTGGAAGTTCTCTTTCTTTTTTGTTTTTTTTTTTTTTTTTTTCCCCCAAACACACAGAGCATTTTTTCTTACTTTGTTAAAATGCATTTGTGCCATTTCAAATTGAATTTGGAAATTATTCTTTTAATTATTTTCAGTTGGTGGCCCAGATTAATTTATTTGGTTTATTAATTTTTCCAAGTTATGGATTTTAATTACTATTCGAACCATCATAAAGTACTGAAGATATACCCTAAGAGGGGAGCTCGTAGCTCTGTCAGTGTATAAACATGTTCAAGTTAATAACAGGCTAATAAAATGGTCGATAAAAAGAGGTGTAAAACAGGACCGTTTGAACGATCGTTCGGTAACGAGTCGGCTAATTAATCAGAAATAATCGTCCATATTTATCTACGCTACGATCTATAGAATGTTTATACATATAATGGACGCGTATATCGTGACGTGAGTTAATGAAAGTCGTTACGAAGCATTATGTAATATATAGTTCTAAGTAGGGAGGCGAAACACGTCGGTGGATGCTGGAGGAAAAGATACTGTTCCAAGGTAGAAAGGGTCATCGTGACCGACCTGGGTAACAGGGACAGATACCCTGACCGTAAACCTTCGAGGGACGAACAGTAATGAAGGTGGCGTGAAGAAGAAGAGAACCTGATTGCGCACGTTTCACCTTTTCCTCCTATTGCTCTATCGTGGAATGTATAAAACCGCTATGCGTGTTTCTTCACCTTGACAATATTTCTAAAATTAAAATTCACCACTGATAAGAATTGTAGAGCCCCAAAAAGGGTAAATTATAAAGTCATAAATACGTGACTCGAAGAAACAATTTTATAGCTAAATTTGATAGCTTTGCAAGTTAAGATGGAGAAGCGGAACGTTTCCTTACGAGCGGAATCACTTACAACGAGTTTCTCAACTTCCTCGTACCGCCCACGCGAACCATAACATCAGCCAAGAACAGACCATCCTAGTTCACCGAGAAGATGAATCAACCTGTAGAATGCAGCGGAGAATCGAGCGTAATAAAGACACTACTCTCTACGCTCTACGCAGCAAGAAACACGCGTGTTAACGGAGAGAGAAGGACACGTCTACCTGGACTGGTTAAGATCGACGAAGGAGAAGGAGAAGGAGAGAGATAGAGAGAACGAGGAGAGAAAAGGGTGAAGAGGAGTGATTCAGCCCGAGAGAGTCTGGAAGGAAGAGGAGAAACGGGGGGCATCTTGATTTATCGGCGGGGCGTCTCTGTAATTATTTCTCCGTCCCTGTTCGATTCACCGGTTCCGGACGCGTTCTCGTTCTATCTGCACCCTTCCGGCTACCGTGATTGTACCATGTAAGAATCTCCTTTGCTCTCTGTCCCTCGGGGGCACCCTTGAATGGCCGCGTCTTTTAGCTCTGTCCACTGTCTCATTCACCCGCCGCGCTGCGCTGCGATCCATGAACAACCGCGTAGGACAATGTGCCTACCGGTCTCCTCTTCCACTTTCTTTGCCGATCGTTCAATGAGCCGAAGCTCGCGCCTCTTTCTATTTAACAACGAAATTATCAAGGAAAAATTCGACTCACGAAACCCTTTTTTTGAATTATAAAAGTTCATTGAAGACATCAATGGCCGGTACAGTGGTTACGCTTTCTATCGCCAAGTGTTTAGCCTCGGCTTTGTTGATCAGTGAAACGTGAACGTCAGAATCGAATGAAACGTGGTTAATGAACACCCTCCGAAATTGCACGCATCGCGGAATAATTACGGTAGCCAGAGGGAAGAATCTCTGAGGAATAAAACGAGCTGCATCTCCCACATGCGACAGTCTTCTTCGTCTGGAAGATGCAAGAACCCGACGTTTAACGATAATAATTCGATGCTCGCCCTGAAGGAAGAAGCTCCACCGGACGTGGGGTACACGGGCGAGCCTTGAGTCAACAGTGGAAAAGAGTGGAAAGGAAGAAGAAAGGAGAAAAGAAAGAAGAAAGTAACGGGCGCGCGTGTTGCTCTTCTTCCATCAGGAACGAGCGGGGGACGTACTACGAGGGAGAACAGGTGCAACGAGCGGCTCTTTGGTCGTTCGAAAAACAGAAACAAGGAGAAGGAAGAGAAATAACGAAGGAAGAGAATAGAACGAGAGGAATCACTACCCACCCCCTTTTTCGTCGTTCTCGTGCTTCGTCCTTAAATGCCTGGACAGGAGTAGAAGCAACGACGGTGGCAGCCCTCCTTAACTTCTCCTCCTTAAATTTCAAACGAGCAGGCTGTTAAGCCGGACAAGGTAGGACACGTCCGTCGAATCGTTAAAGGGATATTCCGTCCAATTACCGGTTATACGTTAATTTCCCGATATTACACTAGCCAAAACCCTGTCTTTCCTAACCACGAAATGTTTATACAAAAGGGAGATCATTTGGTGAACCCTGGTGAGTAAAGTTGTGTACATGACAGGCGGAAGAGTTAGCGGTGTAGCCGAAAAAATCGGGTAATCGACTTCGCCGATTCGGAATTAGGAAAAGTCAGACGAATTGTAGCAATTGTTTGCACACGTGTTGCTGAATTGTTCTTAGACCAATGGCCATCATCTGTCGCTGAATAAACTTTCCACGAAACGATTTCCCTTGACACTTTACGAATAACTTCCGGAAAGTGGATTCTTCCGTTTTGGAAGTTGATCCTACCGAGGGACTAACAAGATTGAACGTCTGTCAGCGTCATGGACAGCTTTATGGCGTGTGAAAATATAAGAACCACGTGCTCTCGAAATCTCTCCATCTGCACCGTTGGATTTTCCCGCCATAAAGTATAAACAAATGAAAAATGACTTATTCAAGTGAATCCAACTCGACATTTTATTAAGTAAATTGTCATTAGAAAAATCTGTCATCAGCTGAAGTTAATAATAGCTGAGAATATGTGAATTACACGTAGGTCGTACAGAGTTAAACTGTCCAAGGGGTTGATGCCCATCGGACGGATAGTAGAGACGGTACGAGATGGAAAAAGGAAGGACCGCGAGTGGCCGGCAGGATCCGGATGAAGAAGGTGGGCTAAAGGCTACTTGGCGTAGAAAGCCTCGTAGCCCGTTTGCTGTTACGGTTCCTGACGGAGTTTTGAGGGATTCGAGCGGTGTTAGAGAAGGAAGAGGAGAGAAGAAAACGAAGGGGGCCTCTTGCGAAGCACAAGCTTAGCTGCTCTCTGAGGCTCAGGAGAAGCTGAGACTTGGCTCAATCGCTCAGGCACGCAGGCCCACCGCTGGTTGGCTGGCTGGCTGGGTTGGCTTGGCGCACACAGAGAGCCCACCGGGCCACCCACCGCGACCATTCACCGGAACCGAGCCCCATCCAATCCCAGCGGTGCTCATTCGTTCTTGCCACTGAATCATTTTACGGTAATCTTGATAAGTGGTCTGAGTAAAATTAAATTGCTAACAAAATTTGTTGATATTTTGAGCACTCTATGATTACGTGAAATATTCCACGTAGGTGAAACATAATAGGAGGATTATTTATCGATATATGTAGAAGTATTAAATTAAGTTACACTAAACATCTCCTCGCGATCGACCCATTGAATCCCACAATCAAAGATGTACAATAACTCCATGGGGTAAACAGAAGATGAGACCCTCTACGAGGCCGTTCGTCCGTCCGTCGGTGCAACAACAACAGATTCCCGGTAGGTCTTTGGACGGTGGGTCTTCTGACTTTCTTATCCCCGTTGCGGCCTTACGGAATCACTCTGTTTCTTTCGCTCTTCATCGCGGCTCACACTCTTTCCTTTTCCCGCTCTTCATCATCGTTTTCTTCTTCTCTGGCTGGGTCCTCGTCGAACCGATGCCTTTCACCGTCTCCCTCGCACTCGATGGCATGGGGGCCTAATGAAGATGTAAGCAGTCGGCCGGCCCCTCGTGCACGGTCGTGCCTTCATCCTCTGTCTCGGTCCTCGTCGTACCAGAGCACGCGGCCTGTTTGCCTCTCATCGTCCCTTTGGTACAGGTCGTTCCAGGAAGACGCCGCCTAGACACTTCCGAGTTCTAAGCCGATGCTAATTTATCTCTGCCCCAGAGCTTTTCCTCTCTAACGAGGGAAACGCGTTTTTCTTCTCTTTCCATTGCACTACCAGCCTACTGAAATTAGCGTTGATTTTTTTTGCCAGGCTTTGCCAGTTTCGTCCGGGATGATGATGTCTCTGGTGAACCGCTTTGAAACGAGATTCGCGGCACGGTTGATTATAAGAAGGAAAGTTTAGATTTTAGATTCTACTTGTAGAATGGTTATTTAAATGACATTTAAATTTTACCATTGCGAAAATCATTAACATTCCTGGCCTTTCTAAGAATTCAGAAGAATTTTACTTTTTAATGTAAAATACAAATTCAGTGAAATAGAATTATAGCTCAAGATACCAATTATTGTATACTTTACCCTAATTACTATTTTATCGTTCGATCTTTGAAACGATTGAACTAGCCCAAGAATGAAACGTTTTCAAAGAAGAGTTCTTGTTTCTTGGAATTACCAATATGAAGGTATTATCTTGAGGAGTTGAAGCAAAAGCAGACACCCTTATTTCTCTCAGTCCTTTACCTGTGTGCATTCGAAACGAGACCACCTTCGCCGTGTACGGATGTTTAGCAAGAGAAAGAGAAGGATCAAGAGTAAAAGAGAGACGAGATATTGGCGCGTGTGCCAGAGCTCCTCTGTTCACCGAACCTATCACGCCACGCCGCGCCGCGCCGCGCCGCGCCGCGCCGTATGCGAAAATAAAGGCAAAACGAGCTGAATTAAGTGGACGCGCTCGATGTTCGATTCACAAAAGCGGAACCATCTGTGCGCCGCGCCGTCTAAAAGAATATTCGCAGACTTTCAATGATCAATCTGACAGCATAAAGTTAAACTCTGTCAAAAATAATAGCTATCAAGAGTAAATAAACCAATTTACCACCAAATTAGAAAAAAAAAAAAAAAAAAAAAAAAGAGTTAAGACAATGGATGGTCAAGGCAACAGACCATTCCGCTGGAAACATTCTTCTTGTTTACAATCCCTTGTAAAGAGCTTGAATTTAAAGCACCCGGAAACAGTGCGCACAAACTCGCAAGGCGATCAAACATGAACAATTAAACAATGAGAACCCCCGTGTCGCCAATAAAACCGTTTCGATTGCTCGCCTCGTGCGTTCTCCGTGAGATCAAGAGAACCATAAAGCAACGTTTATCGATCTTTCGCTGGCTGGTGAAATTTATGCCCGTTAGTCTTCCCGGAATATCATCAAATCGCGCCGTGAAGTCGTAAAGTTGAATTCTTTTCCATCTACCGCGAGGGATAGCCCGGCACGAGATGGTCGAGCCTTCTGTCTCTCGGTGCCATGCCGTCGCTTTTTACGCTCGTACGAAACACTGCGCCCGCATATCCCGCCTCGAACGCAGCCTGCTGCAGTCACCTCACGGATATCCGGTACTGATCCGCGTAGCGCACGCATCCACATCTCGAATCACCATCTCAAAAACGTTCTTCCTCCATTTTTTTCTTTTTTTTTTTCTTCTTCTTCCTCTTCTTCTTCTTCTTCTTCTTCTCGCGTGACCACGCAATCTTCACCAACTATGTATTACGTTAGCAAGTAAATTTGCAATCTTTTCTCGATTTTTCGCAGTGGTAATCAAACGATTCGTAAACTTTCGAAAGAATTTCTGAAAAATAAAGGTTCAGAGAAAATCGTTTCTGAAAAATGATCACAAACGCATTAAGGCGATTCATTTTCGAAATTCCCTGATTGGAGACGAATGGGGTTTTAACGATTTTGCCAACACCTTGCTGTTATTACATTTTAAACAGCATCTGTGCGCGATCCACGCTCCGATGAGCGTTCAACTCTCGGCCGAACTTTTATTCCCGCGCAAACACGCGGCAAACTCGTTTGCTCATTAAAATCTCATAAAACGCTGATATATCTTTAATCTGCGAGGAAATCCTATGGCCTTAACTTTGATCTTAGACGAAAGAGCACGGATGTTTCCTCGTGCTAAACGGACCGAGACGAAAGAATCCTTGGAACAGTTAGATGGGACGTGGCTTGCAGAGCATTATTCGTACTTTATACGAAAGAGTTTCTTTTGCCATGGAAGTTTCTTGAAAATCAATTGATTTTTGAACGGTGCATTTAATCGTGGACTGGTTCCTCCATAAAAATGTGAACCTTCATCGTTCTAAAATTTTAAGATTCAAAAATTCCGAAATTTAAAAAAATTTCTAAGTAACACCCCACCTCCTCCCCCAGAGGAAGGGAACACGCTTTTCCAATTTTCTATAGACTTTTACTCACAAGCAATTCTAATTGTAAGTCTTTTGATTTTACCCGCGAGTTTAAAGTTGAAGTTAGCAACGGGGTGTTCGAATTAGCGTTTCGGACCACGGATATATATAGAGGGGCCACCCAGCGTGCAAACTAATGTACCGTGTGTCATCAGCGTGGGGGTAAAATCGAGTATGTATCTCTCTCTTTCTATTCTCCTTTTGTCGCTCCATTCTGACTTCTCTTTCTCTGTTATGCCTTTGTATTTTTTCACCTGATATCGTACGAGTTACATTCGTCGGAACACGTTGTTTAAATGGCCTCGATCTGTCTCTAGGGAGAGATCAGAGACAGACTAGGAACTGACTAACTTAGACACTTCTACCACTTCCTCTTAACTAAAGGAAGTCAACATTGCACCTGAGTGTACATTTCTGGACAAAGAATAAGCCTGATTTATGGAAGAAAAATTAGAGAAACCTTCTTCATTTTTTCTTTATAGACTTCCTACGGTGTTTCACTAACCTTTTTTTTTAACCCTTTTATAGGAAAGTAATAATAAACGAAAAATTGTTTATAATAGAAATAGTCATGTCTAATAGGTTCATAATAATAAAATGGAATATAATTTTAGTTCGATTCACAATAATTAATTTACGATTGCAACTTCGCGGACCCCAAGAAACAATTCATCAGCGCGAAAATTGGCAAAGCAACATTTTTTAGCAACCGTGTTTCTCACGATCAGTTACTTGCGTGATTAATGCGTGAATAAAATTAAAGCATTAAATTAATACAATGATTAAATGTATGGAAAAGTTTTAATCCTTTAAATTTAAATAAATTTTCTTCTCTTTGCGTTTTTGCAAATATTTATTTTGAAAATAAATTAAAAAGGAAGACTAAGATACTTTTGACTTCTTAAACTACTGTTAGATACCATTTTTAAAAAACGCACTTACCTTGAACCCAAAGCTGTTCGACCTTGCTGTGAACTTGAGCGGACTTGAGGGCAACGCAGAACGTAGCCAAAGCGACGATCGCGAGGAAGAGGACCTTGCCTGCGTGCCTCTGCAGGAAGTAGCCCAGCTGACTCAGCTGATCCTGCAGCCTTGCCCTGATCCACACCGCAGACCTCTGACCTTCTGCTTTGCCCTGAAACCAGAAACCAGAAACCGTAATATTACTCGTTCGGTTGTAAGGCAAGTCTTAGATGTGTTGTTAGAGCTATTTTAACAATTGAATTTACAACATTTATAAATTTGATAAGATAACGAATTAAGGTATGTCAAGCTGAAAATTGGAGTTTCATTTAGTTAAAATTAATTAATTAAAACGGTCTAATTCAACAGTGATACAAATACTCGACTGGGTACCACGTGCTGATCGTACACGCGCGGGCGCGAATGAAACAAGGGCAGTGGTTGCCCGCTAGAAGATCGAGAAACCGGCTAAAAAAGCAAGAAGAAAATGAAAGAGAAGAAATAAATGAAGGGAGGAAAGGAGAGAGGAAGAGTCGCAACATTGCGAGCGGCAACGTTGCACACTACCTGGTGGCCGGTCTGACAATGTGCACCAGGGACCACCCGCAACAATACCTATCTTTCCTGGCCGACAGGGAAAGAAAGAGGGAGGAGAAAAGGAAGGACGAGGAGAGGGTACGGATCAGAAGGGAATCGAGCTCGAAGGAGGAGAAAAGGAGCGGAACGCTTTTCTACGCGCCGCTCTCGTTCAGGTACAGTTAGAGGATGGCGAAGGCGGCACACGATAGACCTACAGATGAAAATACAGATTACACACGCTTACGTATCTCGGGGCAGTAGCCAGAGCGTCGAGTATCGGATAGCAAGGTTTTCCAGCCAATTAACTCTCGTGCCGCGGCCTCGCGGCTCCCCAGACTCGGGTAACTCTAGACGTGCAGACAATCCTCGTCGGCCACATGGTTCCGGAGGTACACTATCTGCGGACCTCCGCACGTACATACATACATACATACATGGGGGTACATTTGCATCGAAAGGCCGGCCAAATGTTTTTTTTTTCCAAATTTTGAAATGGTGAACAATTTCAAAACTACAACCACAACGACCGACTTTTCGCAGCAGTGATGTAACAGGGCAATAAATAAAGTAACAATTCGAGATGAAGGTATAAACTGAAAGGGAAGGGAAGGGGCAGGAAGATGAAAAAAGGAAGTGGCATCTATGTGTATAAGAGGAGCAGAGAGGAGGATATTCCCCCTTTTTCCCGTAAGTGGTCCCCGCGGGCCTTATGGGGTTTCTCGTGGCGCGGAGACCACCGTCGTTGACATAAGATCCTGTTATGCTGTCTGCTATCTCCTCGCGAAACTCGTGTCGCGTTGTAAAAAACATTAAAAGTACGAATAACATAAATTTGTTAAGCGTACTTTACCCCCCTCCCCGTTCGACTTTAAAAAGTCGTTCGCTGCTATAAACATAGGTATTGTCAGACTGTTTGTTTCTCAACCATAATTATCCGACTATTAGCACCATTGAAGTACATAGCTATATGTTGCACAGTGATTCTTGTGACAAGTAAGTACTTGCCTTTGAATGATTATGTCATCTGGAATTCTCGATATAAATAGATCTTGCCCTATTTCCTTATGCGGGTAAATGGCAGGAAAAAAGTTGGCCACACGAAGCCGTACCGGGTTTGAAGAAGTACGCGTGTACATACACGCACGCGGACTTGCCGGATAAACGACGAATAGATTGTTGCGGTAGGTACGGCTGGAAAGTGTCCGCAAGAAACCCGATCCCACTGGCGCTCTAATCAGCCGAGGAATTCCACTGTGGATCGGTGTTCGAAAGGAAAACCCTTGCTTTGGATTCCGGTAACGAGCTTCCACCTCGAACGGTCGCGTGGTACAGGTAAGAAGAATCGACCACGTCACCGGCACGGTTCTTCTTCCTATTCGATGCACGATTGACATCGAGAGGCGCACGGAGCGTGATTAATGGCTGACAAGTTTGTTCGAGTACGCTTAATAAAGCGACCAGACGATTCACTCGTGAATGCAATTGTGATCGAGCACCGTGTGAGTTGCGCTTACGTCTACAGTTAAGCGCATAGATGCTTTCAGTTAGTTAATAGAGGGGTTATGAAAAAAGTAATCTCTAAAACTTTGATTACCAAAGCTTAAAAGATTAAGCCCATTCCAGGTAAAACCAAGAAAGGTAAAAGAATCTCACTTATTGCTAATTTCATAATTGTTAGCCTATCCAGGAACAAAGTCGAACGTTTCAGGAACGGTCGAAGCAATATAATATAGGTAGGAGGTAAGGTACATCAATCAGGTACTTACTGACCCTACGCAAAGGACCAAGCTGAAGAGATTCGAGCAAGCAAGGGGCGTGTATCTTTCAGCAAGGATAAAAGGAACGACCGAGCCGACCAACGTTACTCGGTACCCATCCATTTCCTTCTGACTTATTCCGTCGACCTTTACGGCGGATTTGCGCCATTAGAAGCGGAAGAGTGCCGCCGTTGCTTCATCTTCCTGCGTTTCAAGATTTTCCACGCGAAAATCTTTCCTTTATCCCTTCTGCTTTAACCACGATTTGCGACGCTCGAAACTTCGGACTAACGAGAAGCCTAGCCGGGTGGATGGAAAGCGACACAAAGAGCGTTTGTCAGTAAACTTTCGGCAACCGACAGAGAACTGTTTGTTCGAACTGTGACGCGATGCAAGGCGGTGCAACGTTTTCCATAGCAAGAACGATAGTTTCTTTGACGTATGTACTTCATGCCATCTAAATTGTGTTCAATCAATCTTTTCTATGACGGCCGTTTTGTTGATACTATCAAAAATGGCAAGTACACATTGGATAAGAGCAGTGGCGGTTAATTGGAATTTACGGACAAAATTAGAATTCACACTGTTTGTTAGAAATTTAGAAATTCCACGTCTTTTTGTTGAAAAACGCGTTTACAAAAAATTTCCAAGAAATAGGAACAGCGAGCAATTGAACATATGTGATTAAACGTAATCAAGTTTATGCGTTATACATTAAAATCATGCTGTTTTGATGAGTTTCTAAGCTGTATCTTCGTTAGATGCGAGAGGAACGTTGTGGAGAAAAGGCGGTGCTGCTTTCGGTCGAGCATCGTCGCCTCCACCCTCTGGACGGTTACGAGACCCTCTTTCTTTAGGTATTATTAGTGTAAAAGCCTCACACGTAGTGTCGGCGCCCTTTAATCTCGCTCGAAGGAACGGGGCCGACGCAACGTGCGTGAATGTACAGCATTGTGCTGGAACCGAGGGGATTTTCAGCTGCCAGAAATTAAGAGGCGATTATAAAATAGTACGGTACTGAGGAGTTCGTCGTTATCTTTGATCTTGCTCCATTTCATCGCTCTTCACTTTCTTCACTACGGTTTTATCGAGTGATTCTACATATTTGAACGCTGCATCTGAACGATGCGTAATTTCATAGGAAATTTAATGGAATTTATAATGAAAACTTGTTTTTATAATAACTGTTGGTGATGGAAATCCAACTGTCAGTCACCCACATAATTTTTTGAACGCTTAAAGATAAAACAAATCGAATTATTCATTTGATAGCGTAATCAGCAGATATACATATGTAACTGTGAGAAAGAATGCCAGTCGTTCGATCATCGCTTACAGGAAATACGATCGCATGGTTGTAAGTATATGTATGAGCGAACGATTGGTGTATGGGAGATGGTGCAGAAGGGGTCGAGGTCGTTGGCTGTAACTGAATCATCCTCGAGGACGGTAAACAAATTGGAGTAAATGGACTCTATCGATGATGTATAACATGTACATACATACACAGGTGTATAAAACACACGATCGAACCTACCTAATCGATGCTGATTACCTGACACGCGATAAACCACGATCATATTTCTGGTTTACGTTTACCTGCCGATGAGATCAAGGTTATTCTACGAAGTTACGTAAACCAAACAGGGAAAATCAGATACAGTAAAGGAACAAAGTTTAAATTGGCGAGGGCTTTAAATTCCTGATCGCGTTGCCAACCGCGTCACGCGATCCTTTCGAGCGTTCTCCGTCTTTTCATTCATGCTGTAATTCATAAATTATGCATACGTTACGATTGTACTCGACGACTTTTGTGGAGAACCATGAATGAACGAAACGGTAATCTTCCTTGTGTATATGTGACAGACACTGGATACGTGGGATGTAAAACTTATATAAGAAACTTGGAGTAATTCTCAGAAGTATGTACCTAATAGAATTGGAAGTTTTCTATTGACACTTGAAAGAAAATCCTACATTAGTACATTAATATTATATTGACCTCCACCTTTTCAAAAACAGTGCAATAAGAAATACAGACAGAATTTATGTGCAATCCATTTGTCGACAGCATTTACCATTGAAAGGGTTAGAGATACGTACGGGTAGGCCATACACGAAATCGTTAAGGGCAGTGCCCGTGACTGACTCATCCGACGTGAACGCAGGATACACCGACTGGCTCTCCCTTTTGAGCCCGACAAGAAAAGTGGAGCATCGACCCCGAACACATTCTTTTTTCGTATCCTGATAATGTCATCAGTTCGTATAGCCCTGGTACTATAATTGTGTAACCATATGAATGATAAAACAGAAACTGTTGCTCAACCGAACAATTAAAATGATTGGTAATCAGAATGACCCACAATTTCTATCGAGACTATCGAGACTAATCTTTGAATATCTCAAAATGGTAATGAAATTTTAGATTTATTATACTATGAAGATTCTATAGTTTTGGAGTTATAAAACATTAGTTAGCTAATATTACAAATTCCTAATAAACCTTTTAGCACTTTACACTGTATCCTCTTAATACTAGTAGCATTTCTGTCAAGAAAAATTCGCGACGATTATAATAAAATAGACGCATTACTTTCAATTGCTTCGAGACTGGCGAGGAACGGTCTGAGAAAACGTATACCTACAAGTATAATAACAAGCGAACTGAGCGTCAGTTCTCGAGAACGTTTTGCTCAAGCTAGTCTCTCTGGGTGGTCACACGAGCGGTCTCCAGCTCGTTGATGTACCGGGTTGTTCAATTGAAACTATTTCAAAATTAATTTTAGAAAAATTATAGTTCAATAAAATTCAACAATATCAATCTAATAATTAATAAAAAATTAACGTTATATTACTTCAAGTCTTAAATTGCAAAATGAAATGATTCTGGTATTCTGAATAATTGCAACGATAGGGCATTTAAGATGTTAAATGGGCCTGAAAGTGTTTAATCAAAAATATAGTATGATGTTGGCAAGGAGTTTCATTTCACGCCTAGAAGTACCTACGCCTCTCTAAATTCTCTAGCTAGTGTAGCTATAAACTTTCACACACGCGGGTGGTCTAGAGACGTGTGTTTTTTAAGGTGAGATGTGGGGAGGAAAAACGAAAAGTTCAAGTATGTAGGATCAACACCCTTCTTGTTTTCTCTAACACTCTAACTCTCTCCTGAAAAAAAGAAAGAAGTCTTGCGACACTAGATCGTTCCTCGAGATCTTTCCATCTAGAATGCTAGCCAAAATGTGCATGGCACGTGAATCGAGGTCTATCATTTTTCGAAATGAACCACCTTTCTTTCAATTTTTCTGAGAATATTTTTGTTTCAACGTGTCTACTTTGGCAACCAATGTGTCAAATAAATAAATAAATAAATAAATAAATCATCCCAGTGACTTATTAAAATATAATATGTTTCGACGGAAACATAAATCAACAGGGTATAATTCATGTAAAAGCATAAATTGTGCATTACAACTGGATTTATACCCATAAAATAAGAATTTTTCTAACTGAATGGAGGGCTCATATGGTGGCGTGTGCGTTCGCACTATTATCTACGTCTAGTTAGCGTAACCGGCATGTATGTGGAGACAGCGATGCCCGTATAACCCGCAGAGAGCGTGTATTTTATTGATTAGATCGCTCACGATACGAAAAACACGAGCGACTTGAATGCCTGCACAAGACACGTCGGTCCTGTGCGCGAGACTTACTACTCTCTCGTGTTTCTTGTTTTCGTTCATGACCACCCACCCAGCCTATCGGTAATATTATGTTACACAAATTAATCAGACTTTCAGTATTTTATAATGTTCTCTATGTCGTTAAAATAAATAGGATAAGAACGCGAAAAATGAAATTTTAGTATTTGTCCCTACATGAAAAATTTCTATAAATTTAAAAAATGCTTGTTGCATTCTAATATTGTAATTAGCTTTTGCCTCGCCCAAACTTTTATAATATTTCAAATACTTTCTATAAAATACGACTCATAAAATTAAACATACCTTTTCGAGTTGATCTAATGCTATCGCTGCATCGGTCCAGCTCGGCCTGATGTAAAGATCCGATTCGTGTCGTTGCTTCGCGTTCTCCAGACTTTTGGCATTTTTATCATTATGAATTTTCGAAGCACTTCCATTTTGCGACGACAGCGAACCCTGAGGGCACTGAGAACCAGAAGGGCGTCCCGCTAGGATCCCTGTAGGGCCGGACGCAGAAACCATGATCCGTCATACATTCGCCCCGACACAATTCGCAGTATGATTATTTTTAATATTATTCTTCTCCTATATGACGCTACTTCGTTCGGCTTGAACTTGTCGTTGCTTTTCCTTTTCCTTTTCCTTTTCCTTTTCCCTCCTCTCTGAATGTAGAAACGCAACACGAGGCACGTAACACGATTATCACTTTAGAAACATTGGTAATTTTATTTTCCACGAAACACTTTTCACAACACACGTTCGATCGGTCTATTTTGTTTGCCGCGCAATTGAACAATACCGTATTCCTGGGAGGACCACAATAATCGGAATTCGCGCACAATGTACACACAATTTCTTCTGCGCATGCGCTGCTGAATCGTGCCCATCGATGGTATACGTACAAAACGGACCGAGAATCGGTTTTTAGGTTAGCTTCATACCACCGTAGAAGAGTAAATACGTGACTGTTCCCTCTCTTCACTGAATCCTTTTTACTTTCTGTCTCTTTCACTTGTATCCTTCTGTTTCGCTTTTTCCACTGTATACGGGATCCTCCGTATTCCCTCTCTCTTCGGTTATCTCCCTCTAGCGCGATTCACAGTAGTGCCGACAAGCACGAGGGCGCACACGCGAGTTTGCTTGTTTTGAAATATCATGCGACAACCGGGACGTCGTCGACTTTCAAGTGGATCGTTCGCAGTTCTTCGCGAAACTATAGCCACGTTCTTCGTCACACACGTGTCTCTTCTTCTTATGTCATATAAACGTAAAAGATATTCGGATGATCTGGTATCGACAAAGATTAATCGTATCGTGTCTTTCTGCTAGCACAAGTTACTGGCGTGGCACGTAGGCCACGCGCACTTCAGTGTCACTGTCACGATCGTTGTCACTTGACACGGTTATATATCGCTGAAATATTCACACTACGCTCGAGGAAATTAGCCACGGCTACCGAATTCGTATTAGCGCGGCAGTGACGAGCATCCGGTTTACGCAAGCAGGCGTAGGCGACGTGAGAAGACGAGAGTGTTCCACAGTGTCCAGCAACAGGAGGCAGCTGTAAACTCTCTTTAAAGTCTGGTAATATCTCTGTCACGCGTTCTAAAAAGACGACCTCGTCGTCGTCGTCGTGATCGGACACCGGCGTGCACGACCGCCACTTAGAGCAGTCTAAGTCCGTACTAAGCGAAATGCGATGCCACATTTCTTTCGTAGCCTGCCTTCTGCGCCGGCCATAGTTGACGGCTCCCCTCCAGCGGCGCCACTCGCCGAGATCGGAGCTGCACAAACATTCAGGGCCGTGTTTTCGTGGCTGCACTAGAATGAATCTTAAGCCGCAAAGGATGTTCCAGAACCCGGAAATTCGAAAAATTATAAAACTCTGTGAATATACAGGTAATACTTTTCTAATTATAATGCAATAATTTTTGCTATCTCTTAGCAAAGAGATACCGAAGAAATTTATAAACAGCTAAATTCAGTTAAATTGAAAATGAGCAGTATGTACATACAAAAATTATATTTTGATCAAGAGATCCCCTACATATTTTTAAAATGTTTAATAGTTTTCTGAATTTCCAAATTCAGTTTCCTTGTATACATACAAGTAAGTTTATTATATACTTGTTTATTTAATAGATCACAATTTTAAAAGGACAAGTTTCAGTTATATTATTAGAAAATCATGGAAATGCTACTTACAAATCGACGCGTATTTAAATTATTTAAATTATTTAATTTATTATTTATATTAAAGATACGTAAAGAATACAAAGATTTTTAAACAAATAAAAATGATAGAGTACCACGTGCGCTATTTTTTCTGCGACAAGTTCGCAAATCGTGATTTTCGCGGCATAGTGGTACGTCAGTGCAGGTACCGATGACATCGGAGCCGAAATGAGCCGAACTCGGCCGAGGTGATCGGAACTTATTCCTGATTGGCTGAATCGGCGCGGCGTTCTGCGTTGCTAGGTTACGGCGATGTGCCACCAGTAGGGGCGTAGGGGGCACGACGCAGGACCACACACGCGGTACCATTTCCCCTTGAGCAAAAACATTACCCACACTCGGTCCCGGAGTACGTGACACGCACGAGGCACACAAGAGCAACTTACAGATCGCCTCAGCATCTCCTTCTCTCGTTCCTGGTTTCTCTTCTCGCTACTCTCTCCTGATCGTTGCCAGCACACAGTCTTCGGGAAGTTTTCTACATACACGGTTCTTCGTGCCGTGTGGTAGTGGCGAGAGGGGTTCGGACGATCCAAGAAGCGCAGTGAACGCGGCCGACGTGCGGCGTAGAGTCGAAGACGGAGCGGAAGAGGGCCACCGATGTACCCGAACGTAAACACGACTCCCTTACGGGCCTCTGGGAGATCGAAATCGCCGCTGCTCTGGGCAATATTAATCGAGACCGGAAATACGCCGGTTTACTGGCTGAGCCGAGCCGCCGCCTCTTCGCCACTGCACACTAAAGCAAATCTGCATAATTGATTATACGCGTCTCTCCCTTGCCACTGGTTATGATTTGATTGCCGGCCACAAGTATAGGCTTCGGACTGTGTTCTCTCCTGCGTGTATAATCGATCACCTTATTTGTTTTTTATTTCATTAAAATGTAATGAAAATCCATGTCATTGATTTAGCATATGCAAAGGGGTTCGTCCGTGTTCTATAATTTCATTGAAAATCAATAAGGAACATGGTAAAAGTGAAACGAAACTACCATTTCTCATCCATAGAAGAGAAAGAAGTGGGAACAATGTTTTTTGAATGCGTTCATTAAGCCATGGGGAAGAGCGTTAACACCGGACGATTAACTTATTAACCTGTCTTCATAATATCTGCATAACGATGCACTTCATTAGGCGTCGTAACAGCACTCCTGTGCGGGGTCGCGCGTCGTGTGTCCGTTGCACGCGCGTGTATGCACGCCGGAACGTTTATTGGGCAGTCTCGCACGCACTCGAGATTTGTGTGCACGTGTGGGACGTGTGGGACGTGTGGGACGTGTGGGACGTGTGGGACGTGTGGTGTGGAACAGCGTGAAAAGAAGGACAGACAGATCGCGGTAGAACGGGAGGGAACGGAGAAAATTAAATAAGAGGGAGAAAGATAGAGTGAAACAAGCTGGCAGATCGAAAGAGGTAATGTATAAATACACGACCACCCACTGCGATACCGAGTCCGACACCCTGTCCCGCCAAATACGAGACAATTTTCGATTCTGATACGGACAGCCGCGACTTTTTATCCTTTTTCCCCTTCTTCTTTTTTTTTTTGATGGGACTCCTCTCGGAGACCTTGTCGTTGTTTTCATTGAGTATCTTCGAAGAAAGATTGGTGCTTTACTGATGTCTACTTCCAAGTATTTTATTAAATAAAAAAGTATATAGGGTTACTTTGCAAATGGTAGAAAAGAAATGGAGTAAATATTTCATAGGAAAATTGAAATATTACTATGGTACCTGAATATTAATTAAAAACATATAGTGGGTGAAAACAGTATTGGCATGCCCTGGTTTCATTCTGAATCAACTTTGGAATATGTAAAATGTTTCAAAGTCCTAAGATGGAAAGAGAGGAAATGTGATTGCACATTGTCGTGACGGCTTCGACGAATGCACCCTACTGTAGTTGGCGATCCGGCGATAAGGCACAGCGTGCAGTGGGACCGTTAATAATTTTTACGACACTCTTAACTCGCCACCCAGTATTAAGCGGTCTTCCGTAGAAGACGAGCTTTGATCTTTGCCGACGCTGCATCGGCTTAATGAGTGCGAGACAGAGATAGCGGTAAAGCCGAGCTGAAATGCAGCGTATGATCGCGTCAGAGTCCCCAAGAGATCTATTTTCCACACTATATGTTTTTACATTCTTTTTTTATTTCAATAATTTCTGTTAGGAGACGACCAGTTCACATTTTGTAGGAGCTAGTTACATAAGTACATATGTAGGTACATACATGTACATGTCGATAGATAAATTAGAAAAGAGTATTTGGAGCATACCTATATTTGCATATTTATCCTTAGTCAACTTTCGCTATTGATTTTTACTAATGTTTGATTAGTAATCATCTTAGTGGTGGTACCAAAACAGCTCGTATAAGTAAGATAGCGACTGACAAAGGTAGTATCAGCGATAACCAGCTGCGGTATCGACGGGAGACCTTATTTTCGATGGTATCTGGGAAATAGAAACAAACGAATGGACGGACGGACGTGTATGCCGCATTCCGTGTTTATTATTTTGCCGGTGGGTGGTCTGGAGAAGTCCAGAGCCGTCTTGGTGGCCGATAGCATCTCTCGTGTCTCTCATGTGCACGCACCGTTGAACGCGGCCAACGCACAGTGAACACGAACGTGGAGCACCGAGTCGTCTTGCGTAAGGAAGTAGTCGACTACTCTCCTTCCTCTACGACCATTATCTCTCTCCGGCTGATCTTCCTTTATTCCTACCTTGGCCTTATACTTTTCCTCTTATCTCTCTCTTCTTCCGTCTTGTTACGTTGCCCATTGGCGTAACTACTGCTCAGAGATGGGAAGTTTGTTATTGGAACGGTGTAGTGTCAAAAGAAGTATACCATAGGTATAATTGTCCTTTGTTGCTTCTTTTTTCTTTCTCTCACGTATAACACTTTTTTTTCTTTTCTTTTCCTGTCGACTTTTATGACTTTCTTTGATGTTTACATAATTTTCTAAATGTTATATAATATTTGTCTTCCTATTTTTTAAACAATATTATAACATGTAAATTCAGAATATGTGAACTCCAATTCTGAAACTCTTGTACGACATCGTTAAACCCGATCCAAGGATGACTAATGCCAAGGATTACGGTTTATACCAGCTCCGTGCTGAAGAGTGGATCGTCCTTTACCATTGTAATGAGGTGAATCGTTATACCCTTCACCATAGATAATACACCTACTCGATCGTGAAGAGTAGCAAAGAAGATAGACGAAGAAGATGGTAACCTACGGCTATCTGCATCTACCGACCGCTACCGGTGCTTCTCCTCGTCGATGGATTATCTACGATACGTTCGTATTGTTGGCTGCACGGCGCGGCGCGGCGCGGCGCGGCGTCGAAAGATCGCGGGGACATCGACTTCCGGTCTTTGTCGGAACCCTCGACGAATTCCGTTCTGGACGAGGAATTGTCATTATCTTTGTTGACTCGGCGGATTCTTTGTGTCCCTCCTCTTGTCCCTTCGCTACTATGTATGTATGTGGCTGCTAATGATACGATCTATGTCCTGTGGCAGTGTTCGATAGGTGGAACGGTTAGTTGATTGGTAATTATGAAACGATGATACAGAACGTAAATCACGGTTTAATTAAACGGGTATTCCAGTGTATGGTAGACAGCCGTTTTCGATCTGATCTTTCGGAATTAAATCAAAGAAAATTCCATATCGTAATTTATCATAGATAAATTGCTACTATTCCTATAAAAATTAAAATTTTTGAAAAATAGTATGACTTCTTCAAATTTAAAGATCTTTGCTTTATCTTTACCATTGCATTTCCATATGCGTACAATGAATAACAACGTAGAAGCTACTTTATTCGCCATTGTCAAGGGGTACGTGCAAAAGCATGAATAACGGTATGTATACATTTTCGAGCCCTTGCTTCCGAATCGCTTTAAAGAGTCTCGCCCAATAGCAAGCGCGACTTTGTATGCAGTCTACCTTGAAGGAAATGCAACAAATCGTTCCGATGGATTTACGATTTTGATTCGAAGTAACCACAGAGATGTATCAGGGTGTGTTGTGTGCCCTTGGTCGGTCTGCCTTTTCTGACCATATCGCTTTTCGTCATGGCCCGCGGTATGCTTGCGGACCACCAACGTCGTCGCAATTAGTAAGTCGGATATCCTTCACTCTTATTCTCTCGCTCCTATTCCCATTTACTTTGTATGTATCTATTTCTCTAACCTCCTCTTCTAGATACACAAATTAATCTGCTGCTTCGCTTATCTCAATTGAAAATTTATTTTTCAAATTTTATACTAGTTTCAATTTTTATAATATGTTCTCCGTAAGGTACAACAAGTGTTTTAAAACAATGAAATCAATAGTGAAAGGTAGCTGTTGTCCTTTCAGAAAAGGGCAAGGTTTTGGCTTAAAATTGAAACTGCTCGCTCAGCGGGAAAGCCATTCTTTAAGAATTTCCAAAATGTCTAGAAAAAAAGGGCAGCTAGAAAAGAAAGTCCTTTGCCACGTTAAACAGCGTCTCTAATTTCATCTAGGAGAATTATCGTTAACTGGAGTCCCTGACTGGATGGTCCTTCTTGCCCATTGAGCCTGCAACCAGAGCCACTCGACAATGGCTCATTGTGTTGGCGCGCTGCCACCGGAGCTAACCCGTATGTAAATGAGAGAAGAATTAAATATATATATCTACCGAACGATAACTTTGTTTGAATTAGCATTACCTGCTTTTATAAGTGTTGCGCCGCGTACGGGCTACGGGGAACAACGCGTGTATGTATGGGTTCACGTGTTCGTTGCGGGTGAGCCCGATGGTGGTCCAGAGACGTGATACCCGAGAGAAGTTTTGCCAACCTTTTACTTTGTTATTTTCATGGTTTATCTTTGTTTTTTGTTGCACCGTGTCGGGATACTTTTGATGATAGCATTTTCATAGTATCCGATTTGGAATATCTAATATCGCAAAAGATGTTTATGGTATTAGATAGATTGATAAAGTTATTTCTGGTGATCCTACTACGGACCACCAGAAATTTTCTAAACGATTTCCCAGTGAAATGAGGAAAGAGGAAAGCAGCGGTATTATCAATAAATTCGCACGCCTGAGCAGATACTCTTGGTTCATAAATTTCAGATTCAAGTACCATAAAGATAACGGTGTCCCGTTTGTGAATTTTCGTTGCTGCAACGTCTTGAAAAGAAACGTGTACATACATTACACGGTTCATTATGAACACGCCCTCGTAAAATAAGCGGGCACAATCGCATTCGAATCGCATTCGAATCGAAGTTATCGGAGCAACATCCACGTTCGTGGACATTGTTTCCACGCGTCTCACGTTTTCCATCGTCGTCATTCGGGGGAGTTTTGCGGTCTGGCGTGTTCGCCATCGCGAGGGTATACTCATATAAATACGAGGAACATTCAGCATTGTTCCAAAGTCCACCACCCGCCGTTTTTCTCGTTTACAGCACGCTCGAAATCCAGAAAGTCCGTAAATTTTCGTGCGCACTACCTGTTCGGCCAGCGTGTATCCGCTTGTACACTCTGTTTGCGTAGGACGGGGACCACCCAGCTCGACTGACGCCTCTGCCGTATCCTCAACGTGGAATTGACTTAGCGGAATCCTGGCCGAGACAGGGTAGACAAGCAACGAAAAAGAAAGAGAAGGACTGCTTTTTCGTATGTAACCAACGAAACCTTTAACCCGACCTGCTCCACCGCGTTATTTTTCATCTCATTGTCCGTCGACAGGATCACGACTCCCCACGTAGGACATCATATTTCGCTCGATTCGTGAAAAGTAGGCGGCCTGGGTCGTTTTGTACGATAAGAGGGATTTGGTAAAATGAAATTACTTGTAGCGCTAACGAGTTACGCCAACCTGTACAGTTTCCACCCTTTACGCATATTCAATTTCTTCCCTAACGATTTACATTCTCGTTAAAAACCGCTTATATAGTCATTAAGAGATCGACTGCGGCAAAAGGTAGCTCCACGAAATTCTTTCTTTCCTTCGGCGAAACATTTAAGCAACAACGATTCGAAGAGAAAGCACACAACTTATCCGTCGTGCATAAATACTGGAACGTAGTGGTTGTAAAGTTGACACGGAACATACTTGTTACGTTCCTGGCTGGGTCGGTGGGCCACCGGCTGCAGGCTCTTCGCTTCGGTGCTAAGTAAAATGATATATTGCGGTAAAGTCGGATGGTAAACGTGTGCGAGGCTGTATCGCCGGCAATGCGTATACGTTACACGTGGCTGTGCTTTAATATCGAAACGGTGTTGGTGAGTGGCCACCCACGGTGGCCATGCTGGACCACCCAATGAGCTGCGCTATTATAAGGGGCCCGTCTCTTACTTCGCACTTTACCTCGATCCGATACTTTGTTGCTCCCCTTTAACCCCTTCAGCCCCTGACAAACTGATCCTTCGAGCGAATCGAACCACGAGGACCACCTCCTTTTTCAGTTCGTGTCATTTCTTACTATTAATCATCAACGCCTCGTGTCCAGCAACACCTAATTTCTGTTTAATGCCCGATACAATACATAGGACCAATTTATAAGGGATATAAAAAATTATAGGCTATAACAAATAGCCTATGTATTTTACTTATACTAATTTTCAAACGTGTATCAAAATTCGGATGTTATTTCAGTCATAGATGAAAAATGATCGGGGTCTGATTGTGAGAAACGTTAACGATCGATCGGGTCATTAATAAAATTCAGTTACGTTACGTTACGTTACTGTAAGTTTATTCGCCATGACCATCGACACTTTCGTTCGTTCGACACTGGCACGTGCAAGACACGTCCTTGCGAGATTGTACATTATACTGGGTGTTCGAAACATTCATTTTAACCTCTTTACTTTGATACTCGCTTCATGATGGTCATATTTCAGTCGAGTTTCAGTGTTAAAGTTGTTTTTCCACTCGTTTATTTTAACACTTTATTGGTGGATAATTTGTGGATAATTGTGTATAAATAAACAATATCTACTTATTCTATAAGTATTGATATAAATATTGATTTAATTCTACATTAATTTATTGATGGAGATATCATAAAAAAATGATTAAATATGAATGTTATAATAGAGCACCGTGTTATGTACGGGCTATGTATGTGCGCGCGCAAATGGTGCGTGCCAACTTCCGCGATATACAGCCTGGGTGGTCCACGATCGAGGAATACGAGGATTAGATACCTCGATAAGACATACACACGCATTTATACGCACACCCTGTCGCGGTTGTATTCGTACGTTTGCCACGTTATGCGCTTGAAATCGTTAGCTACGAGCTGATGGAAATACGGTACTAACGATGAATTGTGAGTCGAGTCGAGTCGAGTCGAGTCGAGTCGAGTCGAGCCGAGGCAGGCGACACGCACGGATAGAAATGATATAATTGAAATTTTATCTTGCAGCCAGGAGGTATGGGAGTTTTATTGCTATGTAAATGGTAATACGAGATTGATCAGTACGGAATTGACGTTTCCGTTTGCGAGCAATCGTAGGTAAAAGATCCAAGAAATCAGAATAATGATGGCCATTTTAATCATTAGGTAATTATATGTCGTATCAAGTGTTATTACACCATTAATTCCAATACTTGGATAAGTATTAATTAACATAAGTATTATTCATTAGGTACATGTAGCATTAATTATTATTATTATTAGTTATTGAAGCGATAGTATGAAGTAGTAAAATTTCCGTCACGAGTGGACCAGGGTGGTCCGTATCCACAACGGTCTAGCCTTTCCTCTGTTTTTTCCGTTGCAAATTTTCCGAGGAAACACGTTACAAGCCGAAGAAAATGTGGTCTTTTTATCGCGAAACCCTTGATAACACGTTTGGACACAAGCCGAATCGAGAATGGAACAATCTGGTTCCAGTTGCATAACTCGATCTACCTGTCGAAACCGGCCCAGGTTTATAGAACGAAGGGATACGACGAATTATCGATAAACGTTAATTATCGTGTCTAAAGAAAAAAAGGAAAAAGCTGCATACTATTTATATTGTAGAAAAATACAACAACATGTTCGCGCGAGTTGCAAAGAGAATCTGCATAACACAAGGTTACGAAACACGCAACGAAGAGGTTCGTTCGTGATCGTCCGATCGTACGCCGTATCTCTGTGAGGCCCGTTAACGTTACAATACCATTATCGTCGATAAAAGTCCGTCACACGAGAGTACGAATTAATTTCAATCACAGACGACGTTACGATGTTGCTCCGTGCAACATGTTATAAGACTGAAAGATACAACGTTCCACCTTCATCGTGTATCTTCTTCTTCCATTCGATGTTCTTTCTCTCTTTGCGTTTGTAATCTTAAATGTAACGTCACACTGTCGGACGTGTACACGTTTCAGAAGGGTCGGAGTCATGTCAAGAGGTTGCATCGTACTACGCTAAATACTCCAATTATTAATTTACCTTGCTCACAATGTTGTTCGTGTAAGCAAAACCGAGTGCAACATGTTATTTCAAGTATAATGACGTTCCCGACCACGCAACTCTGTACAGCCTTCTTCGTCTTCTTCTGTCATGAGATTAAGCGAGTACACGCGGTTACCTCAAGGCGAATCGTAAGAAGAAGACTTTTTCCTTCGACGGAGTACCGGATGTCGTTTCAGGAATAAAGAGGAGGAAGCTTGATTAACCCTTTGCGAACCAACCACGTTTAACCCTTTTACTAAAGATATTTCTTTTCTTGTAGTTGTATTTTTATCGTTGAAGTTTGATTAGTAATTTGTTTTTAAGAAAAATTTCTTTTCTACTGTGATTTTATAATCATTTGATATTTTGATAGATAGGTAAGCATTTATCATTCGACGATGTATCATTCTTCAATGAATCTCTTACTACCATTCATTTAATATCCATTTACAGAAAAGAGTAAATAAACATACAATTTATGTTACGAATAAATCTTGTTCCACCGAAGGTAGATCCCATTGCGGTCATTAAAGCTTATTAAACGTTTTTCCGGGCCACTTTCATTCAATTATACTTGGACTCACGTACAGTAATTAACTTATCAGATTTCCAGAACCGGTGCACCTGGACTTTTCACAAATTGTCGTAAATCACGGACTTCCTTTCGATCCTGTTCTCCATTCGAAAACGATCACCCAAGAATACGAGATCTCTCGGCAGAGTGTTTCTTTTTTTTCTTCTTCTTCTTCTTCTTCTTCTTCTTCTTCTTCTTCTTCTTCTTCTTCATAGCGAATAAACATTCCAAGATTGCCTCGAGGAATCGACCGTAAACCCCATCATAAAATCCCGGAGGAATTTTATGAAAGCGTCCTCGTTAGACCGGGACTGCTCTTCTCTTCCTTTTTCAGAGCTTCCTGTCGCGATTAACACTCTTCATAATAGTATTCGTTGTTCAGAATGAAAAAAATTATCTTATTCTTCTATTATTTTATAAATATAGTTAAAGAGATTTCATAGATTCTAACATAAATGCATCTCGTCAGCGGTCATTGTGAAAATCAGCGATACGAAGAGAATATTTAAGTTTAAAATATACCTAATTGAGCAAAAGAATAGTAGCAGTGAACCAATTTACATATTTAATAAATCCAACGTACTAATCAGGGTACACATTTAGACTTCCTCTTCTCGTTTTCCCACATCCGGTGTACGCGGTAACCGAGTCACGATTTATCTTCCGGATTCGACAGAGGCATAGTCCGTTTCATGGCAAATTTGTCAGCTGAGGTCGTCCCATTAGCCAGGAAGAGAAAGAAGGGCGCAGTCGATGGATCGGTCGTCCCTGGACTTTTAGATTATACCGTGCTCACGCACCGTACCAGAGAGCCACACAACCGTCGGGTTGCACCCTGAAATAAGGTAGCCCCGACGACGAACGAAGGAGCCGACGTGGGTGGCCCCAGAGAGATTTGCCTTCCGCTAAATATCGCCTTTGCGCCCTCGACGTGGGTGGCCTTCTCCTTCTCTCTCTCTCTCTCTCTCTCTCTCTCTCTCTCTCTCTCTGTTCTGGTCGAGGGGAATCCTCATCCTACTTGGTATGGCTGTCTTGCCCTCCTTCGTCCTCTGTCCAGGAGCAACCGCTCTGTTGTCTCCTGCCCTCCTTCTGCTGCCTCTGATTTCTCTATGTATGCATTCATATTCGGTGGAACGATTGCAAGGTCATTGGCGTAACTAGACAGCAGTCAGAATGACCCAGCCCCTCCCTTCACCAGAAATTATTGAAATAAGAAAAATCGACATTTACCAACTTTATGAGAAATGAATATTTAACCAAAATGCAATATGTTCAGGGAGGGCCAGCTATGGTTCCTTTAGACCCTTACAATAACTTTCACATATTTATGATTTATTACAATTTAAATCACCGACGGCCATAATATCACCCTTTCCTTTAATGAAGGGATTTTCACATCTGAAAATTTTCTCGTGAAAATTTTATCTAATTATTATTTTGTAATTACAGATTATAAAATATGGCCTCCTGTGCTGAAAAGTTTAAGTTATATACGCCAATGGAGGAGGATGTTCCCACACGTTCCATGGAAAGAATAATAATCGAGCTGCTGTCTCTCTCTCTGTGGACGATGAATGGATGTTATTATAGGTAAAGGTAATGAAAGATATTGTTACGCTGTAATAAATAGTATGCGGAATTCGAAGCGGGCCCTTTGGATACTTCGAAATGCTTGCCTCGCTACGAGAATCGGTAATGATCGGTGTTCGAAGCGGTATCCATCGGTTTATCGGTGCTCCTCCACCCGGCTAACCCGTTTCAGGATAGATTTACTGTTTCAGCAAGAAATTAAGGTCGATTAGAAGGAGGAGAGGTTACTTAACGATTGAATTGTTGCTTTATTAAGGCGAACCTTTGTCGTAATTGCGATAAAGTGTATGTTTTTAGAAGGCTGATGGGGTTTAATGCTGGTAAAAATGTTGTAATGTAGGGTTGTTTGAAAATGATCGGTTTTATTAATTGCTGATATTTTATAGCAGGCACATAAGTCAATTTTGAAAAAGTTGTTATCAATTTTTCACAATTCACAAATCATTTTAATCTTTCAATTTCCCCGTGCCGATTCAGTGGCCACAACAATGAAACAACCATAATCTCTTCGCATTTCCATAAGTCCCCTCTCTCTTTGGCATTGGTCTGCGATAAATTGCTGGAACAGTTAGGGCAATCCGTTGGAAGGGTTGAAGAACTTTTAAGTGGATGGTTTGCGGAATCAATTAGCACCCTCGAGGAGTGCTACGCGAAGGAATGCCGGGCAGCTCGCTACTTCAGCTTCTCGCGAGCGATCGCGCGTTAAATTCGAGAAGAAGCATTCCTCGAGAGAAGACAGACGGAAGAAGAGCCAGAAAAAGCCTGGAATCGTATAAATAACGTCGTGCGAAGGCGTTTTTACGCGTGGCGTGGTCGCGACAAACAGAGAGAAAGAGAAAAACGGTTCAACTCTCCTAAAAAAACGACAATAATATATCCTGGATTTTATCTACCCTCCCTTTCTGTGTTTCTGACTTCTTGCAACCCTTTACCAGCCTGTCTGCTCCAGGACGTTGAACCAAGAAGAAAATAATATTTTAAATTATTTGCCAATATTCAAACGAACAGAATTGAAAAATAAAATACAATTTTCTCTTTTGGTCTTAATAAATTGGTCCCTTGGGAGAATAGAGTGGGTTAGCGAGAGAAAGGAGAGAAGAGAAGGGAAGGGAAGGGAAGGGAAGGGAAGAGAGAGGCGACACAACGCGTGTGGTCCACCCCGTGCTGGACGACGAGCAGGACGAGACCAGGACGACGACAGCATCTTATCCGAGACCTCCGGATCGATCGATCAATGGCGAGATCGATGCCTTCTCGTTCGAGACCGATCGAGTACGCGGCACGCTCGGGCGCACAAGTATTTTTCACCCTGCAGGCGACGACCACGACCACGACTCATGTGCATGTGACATCGAAACTGGTATCGTAATATAATGCGATGATGAAGGAAAATTATTGCAGAGGGAAACTCCAGTTGTTTTTGTTTTTTTTTCACTTAAATTAAAGATACCATTCTCAAACGGAATAGGTTGAATAGATTGCGCAATCGGTGGCTGATTAAATAATAATAATTAACAGTGTGTTACGCGATTAGTATTACGTATTCACTAATACACACGGTCGTAGCAGGTATATACGCGTTCTCGCCCAGGAACAGGCTGGCTATCGTGGTTATTAAGGAAACAGACGAAGGAACGAAACGAAGGAAGAAGCGCGTTGGGTGGTCCTGCCCCGCTGTTTATGGGGCACTGCATCTGCTGGCCCCGTATAACCCTCCAACATCGACCTGTGTGGTCTCACCTTACGTCTGACTTTACATTCGATTCACTACTTGCTAATGGTAGTTGCATTAGCATTAGGCGGCAGACTGTGTCTCTGCTATTATGCGCCCCGTCTATGTACATACACGGCCCCTACTGTTACGCGATTTTTCCACGTCGATATTGATCCTTCGACGTTCCTGAAAAATGTTTACCTGCTGCCCTAATGCCACGGGAAATCGCGTTGACTGCTTCAGGGATCTCGAGGGAACCGATTTTCGACAGGGACGATTAAGATCTCTCTAGGTTCTTCCAGAACCATTATTTTTTACCCTATTTTTATCAAATACTAATTATCATGAGTCAAGAGTCAAAGAGATTATCAATTAACCAAAAAAAGCCTACGTTGCATCCGAATATACATATTTCAATATTACAGACACCAATAACCAGTAGCTTAATGTGGAAGAAACTTTTTTACGATTTCTCAGTGGCTCAGATAAAACGAATGATTTTATGTATCCAGTTTGTGTACGATGTCACGCATTAATTACGGAGTCGGTCGGGCCACGTGTGGGCACATTCGAAACTGGCTACCTGTCTTCAATTGGACACGTGTGCACTTTCTCACAGGGCCACTTTGTATAATGCTGCGTCAGATTGACTTTCCAGAAGAGATAATGACAGTCGGAGCTACTTTAGTGGAGTAACGATCCTTGTTCCTCGGTTCTGTTCCCTATCGAATACCGTGACAGCGTCCAGTACGGTTTACATCAAAGATGCGGCCAACAACGGTCGGTATTTTACAACTAGATGGAATTCTGCTTGATCGTACGATTATCATCATCAACGGTCCTTGTAATCTATCGCGATTATAATATCAGGTGCGCAAAGTCTCTTTTATCAATTTTTACTGTTTTTTACTATCTGTCTGAAAATTATACCCCCTTTTTGTCTTGATTACCCCCTATATTTCATTATTTTAATTATTTATTTATTTATTCATCTTAAAACTATATTTGATCGTTGGCGGGCATTAAAACGTTATAGCCATCTACAGGCAGACGTATGAACCAATCGACGCGCTTCCATAAGAAAGAATTTTGAAATTTATAACTTTTATTGATAAGTTTAATAATTTAATAAGAATCAAACAATAAAATAATTCAAATTTTTACAAAGCTACATACAAAAGGACAAAAAATTTAACATAACAAATGTTTAAGCTGTAGTTTATTTCTAAGAAAATGTTGCAGATGCATATTGTATAAAGAAATTTACATGTTATTTTACATATCAAGGTATAAATACATAGTATATAATTATATGACATATTAATAATAGATTTTTCACAGAAGTCTATAAAACACATTCGCAGTCTAGAAAGATTTTTATAGTAAACAAAAAGAATATAATTTATCGTGTACGACTGTACGATAATGGTAAAATCAACCAGGAAATTAAAACAGTTTTCGGAAGTCTCTGATAGATGGCGAAACCGGTTGGTTTATTTTAAAAAGAGCGCGTTCTTTAGAAGGAATTATATGGCCAAAATAAAGAATACACGAGCTACCTGAAAGAAATGATTAAAAAGGGGAGGCATGGTGGTCATCTCTGCCATAATCCTTTCTATCTATGCGGAATTCAGGTATCGTGCATCGAAAAAAAGCTATGCCAGCAATAAAGTGTTCCGAAGAGTTCATAAAAGTCGTCGGTTTCGTTGTAAATGCGTTTCCCTGTTTATTCGGCATCCACCGGGCAGCCACCGGGCAGCCACCGGGCAGCCACCGTGGTGCAGCCATTAAACTTTACCGTGCACGCGATTCCGAACTCGTACGACGTCTTTTTTTTCTTCCTTCTTTCCAGTCACGTGCCTGTTATGGGTCAAACTCGTGTTCTTCTTCCTCTTTTTTCCCTGCTCTATAGAAATCATGGACTTCTAAGAAAACAAAAAAGGATTGTCCTAGGGATCTGACCACCCACGTGGAACGAGGACCTTACAACCTCCCTGAATATCCGGATACAGGATATTTTTGGTAACTCGAAACCGCAAAATGTAGCACAAGATTATACAGCATCTCCACTTACCTTTTTCTTTTTTTTTTTTTTTTTCACAAGAGAGAAAAGGGTGAACGGTAGCATCTAGAAGCTCCTTCGTATCACTTGTCTCACTTTGGTGGGCCAGGAATTTGAAAGAAATGAGTAATTAGTTAAATATAATCCGATGAATGAGTTCTTGAAATTTTATCATGAATAAGGGTTAATTTAATAAGCAAAGTTTCTATTATTCATACATATTCATGATATATTTGCAGTTGTCATAAAGAAGTTACAGTGTATCATTATGTTTACATAAAGCACACTTAAACAAGCAGCACATCAAAAGTTAGTCTATAGATTTCTCTTTGACTCGGTTTTCTAAATAACGTTGCCTATAGGCACCAGTTGGGTCGTATTTCGCCTCGAGGAGACTCCAATCTTCAACCCTGTTATCAATTAAAAAATGTGACACCTTATCAGCAATTGTTTTCTGCTTCTCACTGCAAGCTGAACAGTCGTGTTCCAAAGCATCGGGCAGATTTTCTGTAATTTCAATTACAGATAAAATTTTAGTTAAGATTTTGATTAGTGCCGATAACATTTCAGAATAAATAAAATACTCACTTTTAAGTTCAGTAGCATCTGCGGTGCAAGATCCACGATCCAATAAACAATTCACATATCCGTTCAAAAGTCTTTCGTTGGTCAATACCAAATCAATATCAATACCGTCATACTTTGTCGTATACTTGTCTTCAGCAAATACGTTCATAAAGAAAATACAAACTGCAGATACGAAAACAATTGGAATGGTCTTCATTTTGATTACTCGAAGAGATTCGAAGCTTGCTTGTTTGATCACTGAACGTTGAGCTTATTACGGTGGACGTTATATATCCTTAGAAAATGGCTCGTTAGTTGCATGAAATTGTAACCGCAATTATTTATTATACTTACTTCAGGGTAATTGTAATTCGTTGGGCAAAATAAGCACGCAAGCAATTTTCCTTTGTTAGATGTTGTAACACGAATGAGCAAATATCTGTAACTAGGTGTATATATGCTCTTCAAAGTTTGATTTGAGTCTCAGAAATGTTTAGCGAAGCTTCGTTGCACGTTATTTCTTAAAGGGCTCTTTTAATTGTAAGAGATCATATAAGAATTTTATTAATTGCAAGTGTAGATTACAGAATGCAACAGCATATGTACATATACATATACTTAAAATTATACTTTAAATGTTTTCAAATTTATTTCTATATTTCTTGTAGTTAAAAATTAAATACAAGAAAAATCTGTTGATGCATTCTTGTCTTATTTACGCGAGCAGAATTCGTTTAACTGTGAAATTGCATGATTCCATTCTAATTCCATTCGATTCATCGTACAATCACAGCTTTTCCTTGAATTACATCAAATAAGCATAAATAATTCTGTCCCTGGAATTCATTATAGTCTACTAAGAATCTCCTTGAAGCGACATTGGCTACGAACAATCGTGTGGTACTTGATAGGAACGTAGAATCTTGAAATCGATAAGACATTGTAATACTAGAAATGATTCTTCCTACACACCATTTTGTATTCTGTTAAGACGCTTCCTTGTACCTTGTTTCAACTTTTTATTACTTCCTAATGAAATCCGAAACTTCTTGTCGACTTTACTACGTGAGATTTACCATATATGTATGTATTAAAGCGACTTACTTATAGCATTTACCGAGTGCCATCTATCCAAATATGAATTAAGATCAAAAATCACTGCGTTGAGTATCGTATTCTTCTGAATCAGTATCCGATGATATCTCGGCACAAGCATAACATATTTTCCCTACATCTCTCCAGCATTCAGAACAATGGACAAAAGGGCAACCAGGTGTCGTACATTGTCGATGCTTTGGTCCTTTTCTAGGCTCCACTTCTTCACAGATTAAACATCTATCTCTGGCACAAGCGAAATATTCCAGCCATCCAAAACGATCTGGCCATTTCAATCTCAGAGCCATCCAGAAGTCCATATCGTATTCCAAACGGCGTGTTCTAACCATAGTTCTCACTTTAGCCTTCATGAATTTCGCATAAGTGATTCTACGTCTTAGAGTCTCGTTATAGAGATACAACACTCGTCTCTTCTCCCTTTTTCGATAGAAAAATGAACAGATCCCTCGACGCATTCTCTCAGTGTAGACGGACGCGAATATCAGAAGGAAAGTACCGAAAAATGTGCCGTAGATCTTGAGGATTACGTAGGTGGGAAGTTTCATAGGCCTTGGAAGGCAAGCTTCGTTTGTAACCACCGTTTTAATGTGTTTCTTTACATTAAAGCCGCGAATGGCACTTCTGATCAGAGAGGCTATCACTCCTGTGCCACGGATTTCTAATAACAAATCATGGTGACCCGCCTGAAAGAAGGAAATTAACATTTCTTGCTTTCTGTAGCTCATTTCTTGTTATCGTAGTAAGTCTATAACTTGAATGAAAATCTTACTTGAGTGTATTCTATGTAAGCATGTCTTCTAATTAAATCCAACGCTTCAAAGAATAACCAATCCAAAATAACAAAAACACTCGCTGCAATTAATTCAAGAAGTAGCTTCACCAATTGTCCAGCTAAATGAAATCCTTCAGTCGAACTTGGCTTCCAGCTATAAGGATCAACGAATTTCTTTCTTTCAATTTTCTTCAATGGCAGTAAGGTCATACTACCGCGTACTTTTCTTCTCGCATCAATCCTCCGGAAGTAAGGCGTCACATAGATATTATCGTGTTCAATTTCCGTCAGATACTTGTCATGGTATTTTTGAGCACTCAAAATGATCTTTAGGAACACGAAGGATAAACATCTTTTTATGATGGTCATTACGGATTCGAAAAGTCTTCTTCGTACAGCAAATTCGTGCATCACGGCTTTAGCAGCGTACGCTGAATCCTGAAGATCCAAAATTACCGCGGGTTTTTTGATTTTGTACTGAAGTTTCGCGTCTTTCAGACTCCTGCTGAGCTCATCTCGAGTACCTTTGAATGAAGAAGGATCGTTTCGTTGAATTTTAATAGAGGAAATTTTTGAAACACGTACTTTTCAAAGCAGCATATCCTTCACCAATACCACTATCTATTTTTCCCTCAGGATCACAGATACTAGAACCTCCAAGTGCTTGAACCAGATTACAAACGAAAGTAAGTTTCATGGGCCAGCACAACAGCCAGGCAACGAAAATGGTCACTTTTTCGTAACATTTGTTGTAAGCATCGCTGAACATATCCCTTTAAATCGTCAGAAATTAAATATTTGCTAATAGATAATACTAAATTGTAAATTGATTATTGATTCATCGTTTGTTCCGACGAAAAATCAATCAATTTATATTAAATTTTTCCCTTTTTTAAGACACACCTACACCTTGCTGAACCCCGGCTAAGTTGTTCCTCGCATCTGGCTTCGATCTTCTTCTTGTATTTAGCTTCGAACACGTCACCATCCGATTTAGCATTCTCGATCTGTTTCTCATGTTTATCCTCGATTTCCTTGCTTCTCATCGTATCACCTTGTAATTCATCTAAATAATCGTTTTCCTCCTTCAATCGCCGCATTTCCTCTTCTCCTTCTATTTCTTCCACGATTGGACTCATTAAATCCCTCACAGACGATAGAGTATCTTTTATTTCATTAGCATCCGCTTTCATAGCAAGAATGGCCTTTTCATTAATGATCATAAATACAGTAAGATTAAAATTTAGAAATATATAGAGTGTTTTCTATAAATTCTACAAATTCTATTAGAAAAAAACTTTAATTTTGTTTTCTTCTATGATTCAAATTTGATAAACAAATATATAAGTTAAAATACCTGTTGAAAAGGCTTGAACATCAGATCAAACCTTGTCTTGGTGAGATTATACGTTAATTGTGAGGTACAAGCAAAAGTCCTCATTACTTCTTTTGTATTATACACTAAATTAAATAATGGTCCAGCTATTACGTATCCGAGAACTAACGCTCTCAACATGCTACGACCTGAACGACCAAAAAATGCTGGGATTGTTAAAATACAAACGCACCTCACCTGTTACAAAGGCAGTTAATTTATAATTAATTTTTATTGTGAATGACGAGGTAAAATTTAAAATATTTATTTTCGGCTAGGGGTGAGCATTCTTGCAGAGAGTGGTAGCTTTTCCCTTTAACGAAATGCTTGTAAAGGCTTAATTTTTAAATTAATAGAGAAAAACCGCGCGCATTCAGTGCGCATGCGCGGCCTCGGGAGTGGTGGCTACGAACCGACGCGACGCGTCGTGTAGTTTGTTCGCGACCGCGGCTGAGCATGCGCGTTGTGCGCGCTTTGATTGTTTCGTTGTACATACATACATCATTCTAAAAAACTTACGATTAGCTTTATTATGGTGAAGGAAAAAATTGTTCTAGAGAAATTTTATTCAAAAATTAAAAATTAAATGTACCTGAATCGAAGAGGCACATCCAATTGACATCATCGATACGATAATGCCAGCAAGGCTCAAGCTAGTATATCGATCAAAATTCAAATCAACGATGATGCCTTCGTATAAAAGTACACTCATAAAAAATCCAAGAAAAAATCCAATAAGAGCACGTGACTTCTTATGAGTGCCTATGGGGTCGTAGCAAATATGGAACAAGCTTGGACACTGTTGCAGGTAATACTTAAAAAAATTCTTTTTAAACTTTTCCACTCGAATGCCCAAATTCGTTGTTTTCTCTAAATCAGGCATCTTGTTTCTTACGTAAAACAGAATTTTAATACCCACAAAATCGATTCGTACAATTTATGTGAATCGAGGTATTGTCACCTTGTTGTTAGTTAGAGAAGAAATCCTTGACATCTATATTCAGATTGTCACTCTTTTTTTTTTTTTTTTCCTATCTACAGTCCACTTTTCTGCTTTGCTATTAGCATAATTTATCACCGTGATTCCTTAATCGTGGTGTCATGAATCTCTAATGAAACCCTGTTCGTTACATGTTTCGAAATACTCATTTGTCACTTATCGAGAACAAACAACGATTCATTCGTCGACCATTTGACGTCACTCGAAACGATTTATTTCAAACTGAAATAAATGACACTTTATGGTTACAGTGTTATTAGATTATCATAGATGGATAACTTCATGAGAAATTAATTAAAATATTCTCTACAATTTTTCAAATGGCAGACAAAATATTTGATCAATCTATTTTATCAGTTCTTTTTCCGTAATTACGAAACACTGATTACAAAACAGTGTTAGAAGTTAGATTTAATAAGAAGGTGGTAGTAGTATCAAGAGAACGTGGATCGCTTTCAAAATTACATAATAGTGGTCAATATTTATCGGTATCCAGAAAGGCCTCGGCGGTTAGTTAAAAGCCGCACGTCGAATACTAAATCGCTGGAAATCAAGACGTGTTCACGTTCGCGACGTCGAAAGTAAAAGGAGAGTACGAACGAGCACAGAATATTACGAAACTCGTGAATTTGACGAAATCTTTATTTTCAAAACAAAAAAATCAAAACAGAAACAGCACAGTTAATGTATTTCTAGTTTTTTATTACACACTCGACCACTTCGGTTGTTATGCACATCGTTGTATTTTTTTAATTATAGTTTGATTAAGAGAGCGATTAAAAACGTTGATTGCCATTGGACGATCAAAAATTACGTTTCTTTGAGTTTTTTTCATTGGGTTTAAACGGAAACGCCAATCTCCTTAGCTTCTTTTTCGAATTTCACTCTATATATCTTCTCCGGGTCGTATTTGTCAATCAGTTTCTGCCATAAGTCGGGTTTGTTGTCCACTAGGTATTTGATGACCTTTCTCGTAACCTCCCTTTGCTTTTCCGTGCATTTCTTGCACTCGGTGGCCAGGGCATCAGGAAGGACTTCTAAATATTGGGAAAAAGATAATTAGTTATACCAAAATTAAAATTCGAAATGTGTGAATAAAGGACCGACCACAATTGTTAAAAAATCATACATTTAACTTTAGGTTAATATCCTTGTTCAAGGGTTAATTAATTAATAAAATTAAATATTAAAATTATACAAGTACAAATACCTCTAATTCATTCGAAGTTTTACATTTCTAATTTAAAGTAACTTACAATTAGATTGCTTTACTTACTCTTCAGTTCAGTGCCTTCAGCTGTGCATCGTCCTTCGTCCATCAAACATTTGAAATAGTTGTTCAATAGTCGTTCACTGTTAAGAATTTGATCTACATCGACGTTGTCGAATTTATTGGTGTATTTTTCTTCCTCAGGACGAGCGGCGACATAGGCAACCGCGACGACCAGGAGTAAGCAAAGCACTGACACTTTCATGATTTCTGTTAATAAAAATTATAATTAGAACACTTTTAATCATTTATACAGTTATTTTATTATTTTATTATTTTATTAATGTAAATGTTCTATTAAGTTCTAAGAGGAATCAAATTTCATTTAATCTAATAGAAAATGTTTTAATTAGTCAATAACAAATATCGAATGAATATTCAAAAATGACAATTAAACATAAAAATACATTGTAATGTCAATCAGGAATGAACCTGACGTGTTCGATACGTTAAAAAGCCATGGGGGTAGTCAGACACATTAGATGGTCCGGAACACTCACCTGAATGTATTAAGCTGCGATTAGATGCAATTGTACAGATTTCTTGGATCGCGATGCTTATATATGTCCGAGTGTCCAGGTGGTAGGATCAATCGCAGATACCCAAGGTGGACGAAGGTGGGATCAACGACGATTCATACAGGCTGAACCCCACTTGGAAACTTATACACCTTCACCTTTGTTTTGTTGGGTCTTCTGGAAAATATTCGACTTGCTTGTTGATCCAATGATGACGCACATTTTAATGTCCTTTTTTTTTTTTTTTTTTTTTTCAATTTCTCATTAACGTTACTCACGAGCTCAATTCTATCGTGAAACGTATCTCGAAACGTTTCCACTAATTTACTAATGCACATTTTTTGGGGGACACCCGTTTATACATTCTGAAATGAGGAAAATATACCTACCCTGATATATTTGTATCAAAGACACAAAAAGTATTTAATTATTTTAATATCTGGTTTAGAAATTTTTTGTTCATTTTGAGCTGTTTTTTTTTTACAGAATATAAAATTTAAATTGGTATATTTGAGCACATAAATGTGATAGCTTTTGTTTTTATTAATTTTGAAAGAATATTTAACACTACGATTTCAAAGTTCAAGAAAAATCGAATGTTTCTATAATATCTTCTTCAGTAATACATATTTATGACGATGTAATTAAGTTTTTGTATCATACTTATAGATATGAATGAATTTCCTATTTATGTATCATTTTCCAGAATGAAGTAATCAGATGTTTCATTAAAGACGCAGAGAAAATAATTTTCTCATTAAAGTATAGAATCATCGTATTAACAATTTAGTAACGATGTGACATTTTATAGTTCTAGATTCACATAGCGCCCTTTCGTTCTATTATCAACGTGTTTTCACTAAAATTCTTAAAAATTTTATTAACCGAAATGATACACGATTCGTGAAAGACAGGAAGTACTAAGTGCTCTGTTTATGTTCACCTTCTCTCGTTCAATCTTACAGATCAATTAATCATACGATTGCGTCATGAAGTTTTTATAACATGTTTGCAAATAACGTTTAATGTAAATTATAAGCAGATGAATCAGTACCTTTTTTACAGTTCCTCGTGTCTACACGCAAAAGTTATTTCGCGGAAATAATTAAGATGGTGCGTATTCAAAAATACATTATCATCTACTGTGCCAGATTATTTAAGCAAGACAGTGTATAAAATGATTTGTTTAAAATAAAACTGAATTGTTTCTCCCAGGATTATGAAATGTTAAATTTGAAAAATTGATGGTGACGGTATAGTTGAATACCTACTTTTTATAAAAGGAAATAAGTCATCTGATTTGCATCGTTGTAATATTAACATTGAAAAGTTTCCTTTCCATTATTCAAACAATGTTTAGATTTAAAAATCAGTTGATTTTTAGTAAATTGTAAATATTATAGAATCTGTTGAAAAACACTACATATATTTTAATACTGATTTTGTTTTCAATTAAATAAAGAACTATTTTTAATTATATTAATGAGAACTGGCACATAGTAATATTAAATCAACAATGAAATTATATGAAATTAGTTTCCTCTTAATTTTGATGATATTTAAAGGCAAACAAGGAAGATTCCAATTTTGTCTCAGATACTGCACTATTATCCGATTTTTTGAGCCCCTGCGAACAGACTATTAAATTTCAGACCAATCCAATTATCCAATTACATTAAAAAGCAATTCAACTTTCTTGGAATTTTCAAACATATTTACAATAATTATACAATTATATTTTATACATATGTCGAGGGAATAAGCAGGTTGTCTCGGTTTTTCTCGAAATCGGTCAAGGGTAATCCAAGAAATTAATCAGTGACACTAAATAAGAACAGCACGAACACGTGTAACATACGTTGTACAGAAACAAAATGAATAAATATGCGTGAAACGTAGAAACCCTGGTGAAATAACTTGAAGGATCAAGTTATTCATTCGAGGATCGAAACACGAATTATACTGTCCAAAAAACTTGGACTTTTTGTACGTGTTTCCATATATCATCCGCTGAATAAATTTCTGTAAATCTTTTTCTACCGATTGTTAGTTTTTAAAAAGTTTGATTGTGAAAATAATTCACATGTTTGATATTTAAATTAAATACAGTAAATTAATATGGAACAGACAATTCCGTGATTTATGAAAGAAATAAATCATTCGATCATTTAATACAAAAAATTGAGAAATACTATGTGCACAAAAAGACTGACTCAAGAAGCAAATATTTGCTCAGAAAAGGAAACAGAAATGTTTTTAAAAACGAACAGTCTTTACTAAATATGCTAATAAAAATATTCAATTTCAAGTGTACAGTGCAATTTAACAAATCAGTGATATTTACTATTTTTAGGTAGAAAATTTGGACAGTGAATCGCGGAATTTGATGAAGTAATTAGATATTAATTTTCTTTTTTACGACGAATATTCCAAAAGAATATTAGTTTACCTTGACCATTGATCATCGATCAATTTATTATTTATTTATTTATGTAGAATCAAAAAATCTGATTTGAAAAAACAGGAATGGTTGAGGAAACAAATAAAAACACGCTAGTTAAGGGAAAATACCTATTTTTTTTACAGTTTATTTTTATACATTCAACGACTGTTTGATTCAAGTACAAGAATGAAAGCCATTTTGCATTCGACGTGTTTAATTCTTTCGTTATTTACAGAACAATGAGGATTAACAAACGAGTTTGTTATACAGATTATTCGAAAATTGTCATATTAATTTTCAAACTCAATACGCACTTATCTCTATCGTCAACGATCTTTTTTCTCTTGACTGAAATTATCACGAAATAAAAAAAGATGAAAAAGAAAATAACAAGCGTTAATGCGTATAATTTAAAGAAACTTTATAAAAATTTTAATCATGTTGTAGCGATACGTTCTAAAAGATCGTTGCGACGTTTTCATTTCGAATCTCTCCGTAACATTATAAATTACTAGCTTTAAGTAACTACAGGAAGGCGTACGGACCTCTTCGTTCAAAAGATAACTGTCTTAGGACAAACAGCCTATTTCGTAGTGGACCACTTCTTATTCGAATATAACAGTCAAAACGACTTAAAGACAAGTCGATTCTTGCAAGTTGCTACAATGATAAAAGTATCGAGACATTTCTTCTTTTCATTCTCTACAAATAATTCGTTTACGAGGAAAAAAAACAAACTTAAAGCGCAATTGAAGCTATTGATCAAAATCGTATAACAAAAAAAATTGAACTCGCATCGATCACCTTTCGAGCCACCTCCAAATAAAAAATTTAATAAAAATTAATGCTAAAAAGAGTTTTTTTAATTCGTTTAACCTTTTCACTGCAACTGATTTCGGTATATCTTCAATGTTAACAACCATTCATTATCTGTTCGATGATCTGATTGATAAAATTTGCGAATTTAGGACGAGTCTACTTATATTGCAAATTAACATAACTTAGAGCTCCCATCGTACACAAGTAAAATGGATTTTAAAAATTTTCAACTACACCTTAGTTCAGTAGTAAAGCATGATAATAGGAACATTAATGCTAATAGCAATGAAAGGGTTAAAACTGCTTGCATAGTTTGCAAGAGGTTAGCCAGAAAATAGAATACATAGAATAAAAGGGACAATAGTCTTCTACTCTCCATAAAAAATATGAGCAGCTATTTCCCTATTCCGTTACCTAGCTATTACTTTAAGCAATACGCCATAATAAGTATTGTTTCTAATAAAAGATACTTTAGACTTTTTTCTTCTTTTTCTTTTTCTCTTTCTCTTTCTCTATACATACGCCTTTTTTTATAACTACTCACAATTATGAGTAGTGTCTCTTTTATGTATTTACATATATATCTATATTTTCTTTCTTACATTTATACGATGATACAAGTTAAACGATAAATAAACTATGCTTTATATCTCTTTTGCTTGAACTGGAAAAAGAAAAACAGAAAAGAGTTCAAGTCTTCGGTAAGCGTGACGGTTCTGGGAAGTACTGAATTATTCTAAAGCAAACGACGTTAACTTCTTTTTTCTCCCCCTGTGTTTAAGTTTTTTAAGCGTAAGAGACGTATAAAAACCCTCGATCAAGTGATTAAACTTGATTACCCTTCACTGTACAGGTTTAATAAGATAAGTAAAAGCAGTTAAAACGTATTTTCACACGAATCTAATTGTAAGAATCGAATCAAGTAGGATTCTGTTTCTCTTTGAAATGCACACGTTCCGTCAGGAAGTACATGTTGTCCCTTTTTCGTTTCGTTTAAAGTTTATCGACTATACAAGCAATAGAAAATAATTATCTTCCTAAAACGTTAAGGTGTCTTTTTTTTTTTTTTCTTCTGCAATACGAGTTTTGGTTTAGAACACCACCATTATCACACTATACGTTTAATGCCTCGTCACATTACACCACCATTTTGTGCTTTAAACGTAGTATCACTAGGAAGGTACTATCTTTCTTTCTTCAGTATGTACAAATATTACACAGGTAACAGAGATAAATTACCTAGCATTACTTCACGGTAATAACAAATGTCCTTATGACCTGTTCTTTGTACCATCCTTCGTCAATAAGGAATTCTTTGAATGGTTCAAAGAAAACCGATAATCCGTAGTAGAATAAAATGCATTGGTTTGCGCGATAATTATGCATGCTTCGATATTTTTAATAGAAAAATTTCAATCGATTATACGTTCAAAAGCAAATATTTTTGAGTACGTGTAGGTGATTTTTAAGGACATTATGTATCTATTATTAAATATTCAATACTTTCATGAATCTCAGCTATACAAATATTTTTTAAATGTTTTTTATTTAATATATTTTAACACATCCAAACGATAACTTTTAAATATTGTTATATATATTATAACGATTAATAAAGCTTCCGGATGGATGTGTTTTTCAACCGTTTAAAACGTTGCATTAAACAACGATTTAGAAATCCCGACTATAACGTGACTTCTATGTATTACGTTTCCTTATTGTCAAATATGGTAACAAATCACATTCGAAACAGATAGAAAGGAGTATGTGCAACTAATAGTCTGTACAAGAAAAACATCATAGTGGAAGAATTAATTGAGCAATATGTTCAATGGCTCTATAAAGGCAGTGTAAGAGATGTCCTTGAAATAATTCCTACTTGTACGTGAAATTCAACAGAAAACCTAAAATAACGACGTTCGTTAGAATCGAATACGGCTCAGCATACGAAATCATTTCGTGCAATACGGCGATGATGATTTAATATCCGAATTCTTAAACAGCGGTAAAAATATCGATGATTGGCGAGTGAGTTGTTACGTGTAACACTTACATTCTAAATTTTAATATAATAAAACAAAAAAAAATATTCATAACAAAATTTGTATACTTATCATTTTTTTACTTACGAAATTGATCTCGAATAAATTAACAAGCAAAACAAAAAATCAACTATGTTAGAATTCATAACAATTTATTCGCCAAACACGATTATCTTTTTTTTCGCTGTTTCAAAGTTTCATGAAATTCTATAGTAAAGAATCAATATCGTTACTTGTCAAACTATACACACGCACACGCACGCACGCACGCACACACACATTCTCTCTCTACCTGCCCTATATGTTTAATTAAATCAGACTCAAATTTCAATTATACCTAGGACTTAGTTTGCGAAATAGACAGTGACTTAGAATTGAAATGGTCAGTAATTTTTACATGTTTTATCAATTGGCCGCGATCCAGCCATTTGCTACCAGATAATGTAGTATCTTACTTTCTGGTTCCGACTGAGGTACAACGCCCGATCTTCTATTACCATTTAGATACTCCTGCAATCGGAATATAAATAATATTATTTCAAAGAAATATATGATTTTACTCTTTAATAACTTTATTTGTAGAAAAAACTTACTTGCAACAACAATGTTTTCTGTGTCAAATACTGCGTTGGCTTTAAATCAAGTTGAAGACATAAGGACTTTTCTTGTTTCGTTAGCAAATGAGCTGCAGCCTCCATTTCGATATCTCGTTCCTCCGAATGTCCCATTGTTGAACAAGATTTTCCAGAAGTTGTTGCAGTATAATTCTTTTCTGCAATAGAACTCGAGCTTGTAGTATGTTGGTTGGAAGAATTTGGATTGTTATCCGGCTCCGCCCACGGATTGACTGGAGTCGTCATCCGATTGACTTGATTGATTGAGGAGCTGCTGCTGGGAAAGTCTTTTGCAGTGTACTTTCGGTCGATGGAAGAGTAATTTTTTTCTTCTTCTCTGCAAAATACAGTTCAAACGTTCACCTTCTAACGAAAGCATTTAATTAGGTGTAATTAATAATGCAACTCCGCAAATAAAATGTATTCATTTAAGCAGATTTAAAGTAATTCTGTACCTTCTTTTTGAGGTGTGGCGGTGTATTGGTGTGGACGGCCCACTGCTGCCCTAAGTGAAATGCAAACTGATACAATCTGTTCACAAATGCCTGGCAACACGCACCACAAACAATGAAATTAGTTAAAGGAGAAGCAAAAGCTAGTGTGTACGGTATAATAAAAGTTGTGGTGTTTCATATTCGTGTCTTGCCTAATTTTAAAGACTGTTAATGTTTGTTATGAGACAGAAATAATAATCCAAGAGCCCTATCGCCAAGAGGGCATATCGTTTGAAAAGATTACAAATATAATTGCAATGTGGGAAAGATTGGTAGATATGTGGATACGAATACTTACAGATTTCTTTTCATTCCAATGATCCGTAGCATCATTTTGTCCCTGAGTTTGTGCCATCACTTGCTCGAAATGAGCGCATTCTTCGTGCCTCGTGATGCCATGTTCACGATAACGATATAATTCTGAAAGACGTAACCGCAGTTCTCTTTCCCTTTCGAGATTCGTCAGAAACTGCTCATACTCCTGCGCTGTATAAAATTGGGCAAACGCTCGCATTCTGTCCCTAAATTCTCTGTAAACAATAGAGAGATTTCAATTGAAATAATAAACACAAATAATTTCCCGCTTGTGTAGATAACAAACATACTTCTCCTCTTTTGTTTGCTTCTTCTTCACTGCTTTATCTTTCCTGGATGAAGAAAAGAACGCGGATACAAGCTGATAATCACGCACCACTCGCTTCCGTCGCGCTCTTTCCCTTAAATTGTTGGTATACATATCAACTTGGGCAAGCTTGAGTGCTATGTCTAAATCATCATCCTCTGCTGGATTCAGGAATAACGAAGAAACAAGTGATTCTGCTTCGTGGTTGTAATCCTGCAAAATACATTTTTTGAATTTTAATCAATATATTCAATAAATAATGGATATTGAATTACATACCCTTTCAAAATCATCTCGTTGTGGCATATACCCCAACTGTGCTGCTTCTTCTGGAGTGATGTCCAAAGGTGGTAACCGAGATGTGAGGTCAGGTGATAATGGGCCATTATCTGACTTAGTTTGATCTGTGAGATTTGGTTTGTAGCTTTCTGTTGGTGGCCATGTATGTTTGCCAATATTACCATCAAGGTATCTAGCAATATATTCCTCTTTTGCTTCTGCACAAAAATATATATATTATTGTTAATAAATCCTTCATCTTTTATGTTCAAAGTGTTTTTCTAATTATGTTGTATTCTCTGATTTCTTAAATATTTATTTTTTAAATGAAGTATGTAGTAACTTTACCTTCTGGAGTACGTGTTTCGATATGTTTACTGATATCTTCCCAATTTCCAAAACCAAATTGTTCAATGGCATCCAAAAGTCTAAGCTGTTCTCTAGCAGTCCAATTTCCTCTACCATTAAATATACTAATGGTACCAGAATCCTGTAAACAAAAAAATTATTTATTTTTTATATCAAATCCTAATTAACTTCATTATAAAATACATTAATGAATCAACACTTACCATAAACTGATAGGAGTGATCATTTTTGTGTGGACCAATTTCAGCTCCAGCGGAAAAACACTGTTAAATTAAGAAACAATTATAATCTTCCTTATAAAATGATTTTCTTATTTCAAAATTGATGAAATTCGCGCGCACGTGCTCTCACAATCAACAGTTTCATTCAATCGTTAAGTAATAAGGTAGTTACTCGAGTAACTTGTCGACAAAAAGAGGGGTGGGGACTGAAAAAGGAATCACAATACGCAAAATCGGGTAATCCCAGAAGGATAGACGAAGATGTGATAAAGAGGAGAGGGAGGAGAGGGAAAAGAGATACGAACACGTGACTGAGGAATAGGCGTTCCCTCGTCTCACCTGCAAACAGAGGTCGAAATCCGGGCATTCTACGCATCTTACACGTAAACCCGAGATATCCTCTTGACAATAGGTGCAGTTGTATTTTGCATACAAATCTGAAAGCGAAGAGTCGTAATACATTATGCTCCAGACAAGGTGTTCGTCCGACTACCAATTGATGCGAATACATACCCGCCATTATTGTCCTGCAGGGTTCTTCCAGAACGATCCGGATGACGTCACCGCATGCCAGTAACTCATAAGTTTACGTATCACGTACACCGAGCCTGCGATATCGACTCCATTTTTTTCCGCGAAATCATATGAAAACGCGGAAAAATCGTGGTGCGTCCGCCAAGACGCTCTATTTAACGTACAAGCGTAAACTCGTGAAGAATCTGAATGGAAAAAATGTTTACGACTGTTGCGTTGGGTAGCAAATGCGCATGCGTTTTTGTCTTACTGCTTAAGTAAACTTCCTTTCCACGTTCGCCAACTCTATAACGGCGAAAGATAATCGCACACTTTTTCGATTTCGTACTGCATTCGCGCGAATGAGAGCAATTACGATTTGACGTTCAATTCTTTTGTTTTGCATAAAATAAACGTTTTCTGGATCTTGGTCACTCCTATATGCTTAAAAATGTTATCCGTGAGTAAATATTTTTTTATAATATTCAGTATAATATTTACCGATTGCGAGACTAAAAATTATTGCTAAATATATACGTATGAAATTAATATGTAGATCCCACGATCAAGACTTCTTAATAAAATTTCATTACGTCGATCAATTTATACTGGACCCCCAAATTTAGTTTCAGAAAAAGCATATCAGAAATTTAAACTCAAACAAGCAAGGATGCAGGTATACATGACTTTTATGAATATATAATATAAAATATCCGTAACAATTTGCATTTCTTTTAATAGCGTGAAGACGGTCGGCCTACATATTTAAAATGCGGTATGCGTGATAAAATAGTATACTGGTTAAGTTTGACTGTAACTATATGTAGTGCAATTGCAAACTTTAAACTCTTTTGTAAATTAATGGATGAATATCACTAACATATTGACAAAAATACAAAAAGTGCATTAAAATCAAAAAGAGATTTAATGTTAAATATTTATATTTTTAATAAAATTTGAAATTACAACTTAATATTGATTATAATTAGTATACTTTTAATTACTGATTGATAGTAACATGGGAATTAATGTACAATTTTTGTCATTAAATATCTTTACTTATTGTAAAATATTTATACATAGTATGTTACACATACATATCTTTCCAAAAATATGTTTTACAACAAATTGAATTTGGAAGAGATTTAAAGGCACTTAAATGCTCTGCAGGTACCAATATGGAAATGAATGTACTTCCTGTTTGTGATAAGTTCTATTTCTTTTTCTTTTCTTTCTTTGATGAAAAAAGCAATACAAAATGTATTGCTATAATTTAACTTTGGTAATGAACAAATAGCAGAAAATATAATAAAGCAGAATCTAAATGCAAGGACATAAAAGGGAAATAATAAGACCACTATGAAATAGTAGCTTATCAATTTGTAATATCCAAGGATGAATAATAAAGTTATCATCTTTCTAAACATGCATTGATAAATATTAATCTTATATCAAATAATATATTAATTAATACTTTAACATCTAAATATGTATGTCAAAATTATTAAGACATTTTTGTAGTAAGTAAAACAATTGTTTTATCTATCATTTGAATTGTTTCTTTCTTACATCGATACATATATAAAGTTATTACATTTGTGGCACGTTTGTGATACTATATATTAGACAAAATTTTTCTTCTGTTTTGAATGAATATTCTTTGATATTTTAAGCAACAATATAGGAAAAATAAATTTTGATTTTTCCGTGTTGGTAATGCACGAGCATGGATTAAGACGTACAATGCTTTCGTTATCACAGAACAACGTATTTACATATTACTATAATTAGATAACTGTTTCATTAAAAAAGCACAAAACCGCGAATTATTTCTAATATTTAATCGTTTGAGCTATTTTCAACATTCTTTTGCGTTTCCTCGTCCTGTTCACTAGAAACATATTGTTTTAGTATATTATTTGAAACAGCATCAGTAGACTTCTCAGCATTTAATCGGACGTTTTTGTTAGATGCAGATGTTGACAAATATTTTTCTTCAAATGCTTTATTTGAACTCGGATTATCGTTTGCATTTTGCATATTTTGTGTGACTCTTCCTACTTTTTCTTCTTTATTATAATTTGGAACTTTTAAAAATTGAGCATTTCCTGTAATTACTTTTGGCTGAGTTTCTGATTTAGATATGTCACTATTACTATCAATATTATTTACAGCAGGTATTGTACTCTTTTTTCGTCGTTGTATTAAATTTTTTAAAGCTTCACTAAACTGCATTAATGTCTCGGCAATTGGCCGATCCATATATGTAGCTTCAATCCTATCAAATTGATCATCTTCTTCAGAAGTTAATTCACTCTTTATTTGTTTAAATTGATTTATTATATCCTTTAGACTTTCTTTGGCATCTTTGATCATTTTTGAGTACTTGGTTTTTGTGGTAATATCTCCTACATTTAATGAATCCTCGGACATTTTTCTATTTATTTCCATAGGTTCTTCACTATATTTAACATCTGGTTCTTTTTTAACTGTTTCTAATTCTTCCTGTACAAAATCTTTTTCAAATTCTCTAAATTGATTTATTATATTTCTAATACTTTCTTTTACATTAATACTTTTACGTTCATTAATTGTTTCTTGATTTATGGAAGGTTTTTCTTTTATATTCTGAAATGGCTTTTCTTTTATATCTTGAATGATTGTAAGTTTCTCTTTTAATTCGTGAACTGTTACAGACTTTTCTTTTAATTCTTGTATAACAGCAGGTTTTTCATTTAGTTCTTGCTTTGATATAATCCTGACTTTTTGTGGTGTCTCTATTTTTAATGGAACTACTCTTTTTAATTTGGCACTAATTTTTGGTGGAATTTCAGCTCTTTCATCCGTCGTATCCTTCTTAAGTTTAACTGCTTCAAGTTTTTCTTGAATAAGTTTCTTGACAACTTTCTTTATAGTACTACCTTCTGGACTGTTACCAAGTTTTACTTGTTGCTTTCCAGTCATTACCTTTTCATTTTCTTCTCCATTTACATCCAATTCCATTTCCCTAACAACAGAACTATTTTCCACATCGTGTTGTAGTTTAGTATTATTGTTAGTAATATCATCTTCTATTTCAGATATATTTTGTGATATTTCTGTTTCAACTGATGTTTCTAAAGGTGATACATTTCCAGATAAGTTAGTAGATATTTGTTCTACATTAAATAATTCAATATCCTCTTTGACATCAGTTTCTGTACTACCAGATTTTAATGTTTCTTTTTTTTCTGTATCTACTATGTTCATATCATTAAGATTCAATGGTTTTTCAAATTGCTCTAATGATTCCATAATTTCATCTAATATTGGCTCCATATTTTGAACAGTACCGTTTATTATATATGTACCTTCTTCGCTTTTCCGTATATCATTACCATTCTGCTGTTTTACACGAATTTGTGCTTTTGCTTTTTTCAGATCATACTTTATATTTGATTTTCTTTTCATAATAAATATTATTGGTCTAGTTTTTATTCGTATAGGTGGCAACATGTTATAGTTTAACGCTATGTGAGAGAAACCGTCTACAGAATCTAGAATATCGTGGGTTTTAAGATACGGTTTTATATTTGGTGAGTATTTACTTTTAGCCTCCATTAGAAGGTGTGTAAATTGAAGCATTTCAGGACAGTCAATGGTTAAATTTTCTTGTTTTGAATAACTGGAAGATAGTTGACAATAAATTAGTTATAACTTGTAATGACTTTGTTTCATTTTTATCTAATATGTACATTTATTTATACAACTTACATCCAAGAGCTATTTGTTTGTGTAAATCTTGAAACTCCTGTTTGTGCTGTCAAAACATCAATGTGTACATGTACTGGATTAACAGAATCTTTTTCAAGTCTATGTAATTTGGCAATAGCTAAACCACCAGGATAGTTAGAACCAGCAACACATAAAAGAAACATAGAAAATAGAGCATTTAAAACTAGATGACCTATAATGATCAGTGCCAAAAATCCATTCCATGGACTTTTTGCTCTGTTTTCCCATCTAATTTGAAGGAAAAGAAAAATGCATAATTATAATTGAAAATGTGCAAAAACGAAAGACAATTTATAAAACTCATTGATAATAGTACTTACATTCTATGACAAACAACAGCAGCACTAACATTTAACAATGGAAAGACATATACGATAAATCTCAATTCCTTATGAGGTAGAAATGAGAATAAAAGAACAAATGCAATACCAGGAACTGTTAATGCTCGAACTCGAGCATCCCATAACATACCCAAAGGTACTAAAAAATATGACAAAGCCAGTCCACGTGGGAGTGCTGAATAGAAGTACCATAAAAATGGTGATGTCTGTTTTTATGTTAAGATTAGTAAACATATTTAAAATTTACTCTTTCATATAAAGTTGAAAATAACATTAACAAAGGATACACCCCATTCGCTACTTTTATTAAGTACAGTATTAAAATAAAACACCTCTCCTTCAGGCCATACTAATCGTTTCCAAAATATAGAATCTATTGCAACCGTTAATGTTAGAAAAAATATACCAGCTGGTATTGCAATTTTAAGTAATCTAAAAAATTATTATATTTATAAATTTATTATATACTAGATTATTTTGATGTAGGCTTAACAAACTTTAACAAAGAAAAGTATTCTATATTATAAAACTATTCAGTTCTTTCCTTTTTAGTCTTAGTAGTAGCACAAATTTTATTGCAGTTTAGGATCTATGCTTGATTTAGTTACTTTTTAAAGAAGAGGGATTCATTATGTTAATAAGTTTTATAAGCAAACAAAGCTTACAAATCAGTGCAGTTTTGCAGAAGGTCCCTTGATGATTCTAATCACTTCTGTATGTAATGTTACAGCCATACTAGGAATCAATGGTCCACAATATAATATGTAAATACCTTGATATAGTCAGTTTCATGTTGGTTATATCGTACAAAAGGAATAAGCCCAGTAGCATAGCAAGTTCTGCTCTGAATATTATTATTGCTGCTGCAGATGACCAAATAAATATCATGTGATTTTGCTTCAACCACCCATATAAAGCAAGTAATACTAAAATATATGAATAATCCAGAGTTAATATAAAGTATAAAGTAAATATAGTAATATTAAAATTAAAATTACCTAATGGCATAGCCATGATATTTGGCAATGGACGACTTAAATAATACATAAAATGATATTGTGTTACAGTTATGGCAACAAACCATTTTGTAAATTGTGTTCCAAAGATACTTTGTAAAGCATCTCTATATAGCTTTAACATACCTATTACTAACAAACCCAGTATTGCTCTTACTGAAAACAATAATGTTAGTTATTCTTACTGAGGTCCACAAACTAAAGAATTATTCTTACATATGCATTTAAGATTAATAATGAATTAAACACAGTCATGAAATAATTCCAATGCAGTTTACTTACTAATCAACTTACCAACATACTGAGCAAAGAATTTGTTAAGTTGCAAATAATTAATGATTGCTATTAGAGGTGATGCCAAGCCTGATATTATCATTGGTCCCACGAATGATCGTGGCACAACTCCAGGAAATTCATGGTGATCATACTATCAAAGAACAAAAAAATATATTGCAAATAATTACTTTTAATTTCCATTTTTTTTAAATAAACATACATTTATTATAAGCTAACAGAATAAATGTTTGATTCAAATGTCATACTAGATTATAAATATATCAGTATTTGTAGTGTAAAATTCTGAACTGTTAAAAATTTGTTAACACTTTACTTTCAGCTGTTTTTTTAAGCATAAATTATATCAGCTGATCGTGAGCTTATAAATACATGCATCTGTTTCTAAATATAATATCTAAAATTTTGCGTAATATCTCTTCGATTATGTGTCAGCAACCTGTCAAGAAAGATAAATATGTTCCTACAACCTGTCCATGTTCATTTCATGTTGAAATGTTTATGTCTCTACGGTTTTTGGTAACTGCACCACGATAATTACCTCGGACAGGTCAAAACTATGGTATAAGATATCATGCATAGCCTGCAGATTGAAACTTTCTTCCACTTTTGTGAATGGACAGTACAATAAATGTACCATAGCCACCAAGATAAGTAAGTGATCCATATTTCTTTTAGATATTAAATAGGCGTAAAAACATCGTAAGACTTTGGAATTTAATCATGACAATATACGATTTTTTAAATTATCCTTCCTTACACCGGGAATACCACGTCGTCTGCTATGTTGGATCCCGACCAATTTACGCATGCATTTTATCGCTACCAATATCATAGATTCAATAATTCCTAGAATTTGCGAATAATTTACTATAACTCATTATCATATTGAGAGGTATGTACTCTCGTTTCAGTTTATCGGCGGAGTGTCATCTATGCTCAAACTACTCAACGACTTATCGATCGAATTTCTGAAACGCAAGACACTAGCGCCAACTATCCAAAGGCAGTGGAAACTTCTTGAAGAGTTACCGACTTATCGACCCTTCCTTCGGCAGTCGGTAAGTTGCCTCGTAGTTTTCGCTACTTCCCGATAGAGGGATTAAATAACAAGGTTCCCCTTTACAACCCTGTGTTCATTACATCCCTGAAAAATGATTAAAATAATTGTTTGATAAACTTGTATTAACTTCATGCACCTTGGTAAATAAATCATTTGAAAAAAGCAACTGAGTTATTATATAATTTATCCAATTTCATTTTTGAGTTATTTATATAATTGACGTAAATTCTTCTATCATTTTAATTATTCAATGTACATACTTAAATTCGTTGGGGTCCCTAACACCCCAATGCCATAATGTCGGTATGCAGAGAACACCACTGATACAAGGGGTTCTTGACAGCCCAGATGCCATAATATCGGTATGTAGACCGCCATCCGTGTTTCGGGGTGCATAATACCCCAAGATGATATGAGGTCGGTATGCAGAGAGACCTACATGAAGCTAGCCGGAAGGAATAATAAAATATGATTATTTTTAATTTTTCTTAGTGTATTTCGTTTGTGACGGTCAAACCCATCACTACCCCGAACAAGTGAGTTTCACGATTTGTTCGTTTTTCGTTCTTATATTTCGCTAGATCCGGTCAAACCCATCACTATTCCGAACAAGTGAGTTTCACGATTTGTTCGTTTTTCGTTCTTATATTTCGCTAGATCCGGTCAAACCCATCACTATTCCGAACAAGTGAGTTTCACGATTTGTTCGTTTTTCGTTCTTATATTTCGCTATTTGCTTCGGGGTTCCTAAGAACCCCAAAATTGTATTCTGGGTGCCTAAGAACCCCAAAATTGTATTCCGGGATCCTGAGGACCCCAAGATTGTATTCTGGGTGCCTAAGAACCCCAAGAATGTATTCTGGGATCCTGAGGACCCCAAGAATGTATTCTGGGTGCCTAAGAACCCCAAGAATGTATTCTGGGTGCCTAAGAACCCCAAAATTGTATTCCGGGATCCTGAGGACCCCAAAATTGTATTCCGGGATCCTGAGGACCCCAAGATTGTATTCTGGGTGCCTAAGAACCCCAAGAATGTATTCTGGGATCCTGAGGACCCCAAGAATGTATTCTGGGTGCCTAAGAACCCCAAGAATGTATTCTGGGTGCCTAAGAACCCCAAGAATGTATTCTGGGTGCCTAAGAACCCCAAGAATGTGTTCCGGGATCCTGAGGACCCCAAGATTGTATTCTGGGTGCCTAAGAACCCCAAGAATGTGTTCCGGGATCCTGAGGACCCCAAGATTGTATTCTGGGTGCCTAAGAACCCCAAGAATGTATTCTGGGATCCTGAGGACCCCAAGATTGTATTCTGGGATCCTGAGGACCCCAAGATTGTATTCTGGGATCCTGAGGACCCCAAGATTGTATTCTGGGTGCCTAAGAACCCCAAGAATGTATTCCGGGATCCTGAAGACCCCAAGATTGTATTCTGGGATCCTGAGGACCCCAAGATTGTATTCTGGGATCCTGAGGACCCCAAGATTGTATTCTGGGTGCCTAAGAACCCCAAGAATGTATTCCGGGATCCTGAAGACCCCAAGATTGTATTCTGGGATCCTGAGGACCCCAAGATTGTATTCTGGGATCCTGAGGACCCCAAGATTGTATTCCGGGATCCTGAAGACCCCAAGATTGTATTCTGGGATCCTGAGGACCCCAAGATTGTATTCTGGGTGCCTAAGAACCCCAAGAATGTATTCCGGGATCCTGAGGACCCCAAGATTGTATTCTGGGTGCCTAAGAACCCCAAGAATGTATTCTGGGATCCTGAGGACCCCAAGATTGTATTCTGGGATCCTGAGGACCCCAAAATTGTATTCCGGGATCCTGAGGACCCCAAGAATGTATTCCGGGATCCTAAGGACCCCAAAATTGTATTGCGGGATCCTGAGGACCCCAGAAGTGTACCCAGGGTTCCTGAGAACCCCAGAATTGTCATCTGGGTTCCTCAGAACCCCAGAATTGTAACGTGGGTTCTCAGGACCCCGGGTTGGCAACAGGGGTCCTTGGCACCCCAAGAGGATACTCGGGGTCTCTGAAACCCCAGATACCATAATGTCGGTATCCAAAGAGAGTCATTGGTGCTTTGGGGTCTCCGAAACCCCAGATACCATAATGTCAGTATGCAAAGAGAGTTATCGTTGCTTTGAGGTCTCCGAAGCCCCGGATAATGTCAGGACCGTATGAAGAGGGCACAGCCAGTATAAGTTTTTTCCAGAGTTAATTTAATTTACTTCATTTATTTTTTTTTGCTTATTAAATAAGCTCATCGAAGGGGAATAACATTTATAATTGTATACCTCTTCTTGGCCTTGGTCGAGGACCCCTTTTATTTCGTTTTTTCTAGTTATTAATTATTTTATCTTTCCTTATGAACTAAAATCCACCCTTTTCAGTTATTAATTATTTTATTCTCCTTTATGGGACAAGTCCACGCTTCCTAATTATTTATTATTATTTTATTTTTCTTTGTGGACCTCGCGGGGACCACTCTTCCCAGTTCTATTATCTGTAGTCAGGGATGTGAACTACGTACATTTCGTACGTACAATCTTCTACGAAGATTTCCACCACGTAAAAAAAAAAAAGAAAATTGTTTTTATTAAAAAGTTAGTTTATTAGTTACAACACTTTTCATTTATTAAAGAGACTAAGCGCTATAAAAATGTTCTTGTAAGACGATCTATCGCGATGGAAACTTACAAAATAATAAATCACAATATTCGTGGTATTAATCGGTCAGCATTGATCCTTGAATTCTATGTGATTTTCAGTATTCGTATGGAGGTGATATCCTTTGGGAGAGTTGATTATAAAATGACGAACGTTCGTATAATCTTTCATTAATATTATAGTATAAAAAGTGTATAAATACGTATAAAGCAATTGTTCCAAAGTTCTGAAGCTTCTTACAATAGAACATTGTATATCCTCCAAGTCTGTTTCATAAATATCAGTTTTCAAATTCTTAAAAAAGAGAAATAAAGAATTACTCAAGCTTTTTTTGTAAATTTACCTTCACAATCTCTTTAAAAAATGACCATATATATATATAAAATTCATAAGCTCCTTTCGCTTGATACATACATATAAACTTCATAAGGTAATTGAAAAATCCATTTGTTTCAATATCACGCAAAAGAACTGGTATATAACTTGGGTCAAATTGCAGATGTAAATCAGTGTAACTTTTTTTACGTATAAAAATTGCATTAAAATATGTATCAACGGCGAACAAGACTTTACGAACAATTTATTTTTAATACATAGCTTTAACGTAGAATATTTTTGTTATCATTTTAAATAAATAATTATCGTTTCAATTTGATTCGTTGAAAAGCTTCTTTCGCGTAAGATAAAGTTTCAATTCTATCCTGCTAAAAAATAAAGGTGTTCTTCTCGGCAATGATGATTAACGCTTCGGTTTCGGTGCTCGGGAGTGTACCGGCTTATTGTGTAACATGTTTTCGCATTTAGGAATGTGACGCTCAGCAGCGGATTGATTGAATTTTCTTCCGCAATGAGGACACTGAACGTAATCGCTGGTATCACTGGCTGGTGGTGGCGGTAAATCGCTGAGTTTCCCTCCTGCAGCCAGGTGCGCTTGCACCTGCTTCGCCGATCGTATTGCATTAATAAAGTCCTCGTGTTTGCGGCGCCAGTTCGACTTCGGTACCGGTTTCTTTAATTTCTGAAACATTACAAGCGACAACCGTTCCATCCCTTTAGAACGATCCACGTCTCTCGTCCTCTTATTCATTTGACCATTTAATTTTCTATATTTTTCAAACGAAGGCATTTAATATTTATCAAATAAATAATATACCTACACTATTAACATTTAAAATTCGGTAAATTTCGTGTATTGAATTGGAAGGGAAGTTGCGAAGGATTAGGACGAGGGACGTTTGTGATCGGAAAATGAGATAAAGGAATACTAACCTCGGGCTGCTTTTTACAGTGTCCTGATCTGACAAATTTTTCGAGATCCGTGCCTTTAACGCGATACATCATCGCATCGAATTGTTTTCTTTTCTTTTGCGCCGTCTTCGTGCAAATCTGTTCGTGAAGGGTCACTCGGTCTTGAGCGAAACGTCGACCGCATATTTTACAGGCTACCAGACTGTCGCTGTAAGAAGATATTTTTAATAGGAGATGGTTAGTTATAAACGAATGTTAATTAATTTCTTTTTTCTGTAAAATAATATTATTAAATAAGCTGTTTCTGAAAGATTTATTCAATGTTCGGATACACTTTCTAACATATTACATAAGCGCATCATCTTATAAAAGTATTATTAATAAAAAAAATGATTAATGTTATATTATTATTGTACTTATTCAGTTAAATTAGAGTTTGCATTTTTAATTTCTAATTTAGTACTACTTTAGAAATTTTTTAATAATGTTCTAATATAGAGCATTAACAATTTTAATATAAATATTAGAGTTTTTGTTTGTTTAAACATTTAATAATGATTTTAGTAAATAAAGTTATATTGCATTGGAACTTAAGAATATTGTTAGATCTGGTAATTCGTCTTATATTAGTGTTAGAGAGAATATTCAAACTTCAGACTGAAGATAATTAACAGTAATTCATGAAAAAATACAATTTCCTTTTTCTTGAAAATTCAAGTTTTAATATGTCATTACAGAAAGAATTCTTACGCGACTACGCCATTTCCTCCACATTTGGAGCTAGCTGATGTTTTCTGCGTAGCTCCGGAAGTCGGTGTCTTCGCCTTTGAAGCTATTTTTCCTTTGGAACCGGAAACTTGACCCTGCACGGAACTACCGGTACAGGTGGACGACATTGCCGAAGGGGATCGACCAGTTTGAGTGGAAGGTATTTGTTTCTAATCCAAAACATATATATTCAATTTTAATAGATATTCAAAGAGAAAACAATTATTTTATTATCAAAAGGTAATACGAAATACCTGTTAAATTCTATCGTTTAATTTAAAAGCAGTAAAACTCGAAAATTTCGTTTGCAAATATTTCGGTTGATTAGAAAATAAAGGAAAAGGAATCCATGTACTGTGAAATATCTGGATTAACCGGGGTTAATCAGTGTCAAAGAACGGACGACATTTTACTATGCTAATTTCCGTCGATTGGTTTTCCGTTTGCTTCTCTTATTCCTAACTTCGAGTCGTCGTGGAAAAATCGCTCACGATGCTCGATTGAAAATGTTTATACAATATAATTTCAATTGATTACTTTAGTATAATATATTATAATAATATTTAGAAAAATTAAAATTTGAAGCCGATGGGGCGTCGTGTAAATTTGATTTTTATTCCAAAGAGTTATTCTATATCTATGTCAATGCCGAATTAAGGAAAGATCTATTCTAAGCTTTTCATTTATGTACTATATCAAAAAATATTTAATGAAATTTTATCTTACGATAAGAGCCCAACTTTCACTCACGTCGGTCGATTGTTTTCTCAACAATGATTTCCTCGGAAGTGAAGCATCGTTTTCCTTCGGCGGTTGCTCGTCGAAATCGATGACAAAAGCATCGCTCCTCTTCGACGCGGCCGAGTCGTTATCGTATTTCGTTTCGGCAGTTTGGTCTCGTAAATGCACACCATTTTCGAGAATAGCACCATCGACGACATCCGTCGATTTTCTCCTACTCGTGGTGGTGGTGGTGGTGGTGGTGGTGGTGGTGGTCGTCTTCCTGTTTCCAATTGGCTCTGTGCCTTTCATAAGAGTTGGTCGTTTCGTCGATCTTGCTTCTTGCCCTTTCATCTCGATAGACGGACGCTGTAATAAAAACATTCGTTTTTGGATTTGTTATTTTACCAGACAAAAAAAGATTAGCAAAAATTCCACTAACGATAAGAAACTAAAAATATTTTCTTCTTTTTTTTTTTTACTAAATACCAGAATATTCTAGTATAAAGAAAAATGAAGAAAATTGCACTTAATATTATCGTGATGCCATTAAAGAACTTTCATTACCCTCGCTACAGTGTCAGGACTCTTCGACGGTGACGAAAGGACGTTTCTTCTCGCACGGCTGCTCGTTTCCGTCGTTTTCGTCGAATCTGGACTCGGACTCTTCGTTACCCTGGAGAAACGTATCGCACATTTTATAAAAGAACGTTCTGCATCCCCTAAAGTGTCGTTCTTTTCTGCGAGATTCTCTGATCGCCTTGGCAATCGTTTCAATTTCAAGGTGTCATTTGCAATCGCTGACTTCGTCGACGTTCCTTTCCTTTCGAAACAGGAGGAGTCGATTGATTTTCGAATATCCTCGATCGATCTCAATTGTTTTACAGACAAAGAAACTTCTTCGTCTCTCGATTTATCTTTTTTTCCCAAAATTTTCTCATTTTTCAAATCTAATTTTTCCAAGCTGTACCTCGATCTAGAGCTGCCAGTTTCAGTCTCCTCTTCAGAATCGTATTGGAACAGTTTTCTCTTACAAGCGGGTGTTGTGGACCCCATCGTGATTCTAGCCATCTCTATGGAGTCTCTAGCTCTAGCAGTTTTCGACTCGTTTTTCTCAATTTCTCGGGAAAGCGTCGAAATACTTTGAGGAAGATTTGCATCGATTTGATTGAGAGCTTTCAGAGAAATAGCCTTAGCTTCCTCGAAGGTTTGTCTTTTCTCTGTGCTGCTTTGAACTGATTCTGTGCCGATGGAATCGAAACGTTTGAGCGCGGATTCCACCGAGTCCGTCCTTTCGTAATTCTTCCTCGAACATTCATCGTTTATGTAAACAATCGTGGAACTTGACTTTCTAGTAGAATCACTTTTCTTTTCATTAGAATCTATTGTTTTATTAATTACTCCTTTATCGAAGCTTTCCCCTTTGATGACTTTTCGAACCAATTCCATTGAATGCAGAATTTCAGATTCTTTTGTCATTTGAGGCGATTTGGAGCTGTTTTTCTTTTGCTTCAATTGAATAGGACTTGGTGTTTTTCTATGTAAAATTCTCTCGTTTTTTCGATTTACAACTTTAACTTTTTCAATTGTTTTTCGTTTTGAAACAGGAATAATCAAATCATTAGACTTATTTCGAATTTTCTTTTCTTCTCCAGAATTTAGATTCTTGACTTTATTATCTTCTTTTGTAATAATTTTACTTGTTACATTTTTTGAGCTACAGATAGTAGAGTTGCTCGTTGGAGAAGGACTATTTGTTGACAAACAATTTTTCTTTGTATATTCAAAATTATCATGTTTTCGTGTACTATATTTACCAAAAATCTTTTCTTCTCCTAACGGGCAAATTTCAGCTTCGATTTCTCGATCTCCCTTAATTTGACACTTCTCATTTCTTCTAGTGTACCTTCCGAATGTTCCTAGACGATCCGTCTTTTCTTCATCTCTCTTCGATAGCTCGAAAACGCTCTTTCTACCAGGTTTGCGCACCGAATACGTGAAAAGCTCTTCCATCCTCGACCTCCGTGTCTTATCAGGCGATTTCGAGTTAATGCTCTCTCCTCGCTGATGCTCCATGTATTGATCAGGCATCGTGATTTCCTGGATCTCCGCGTCCACTTCGACGGAAGTGGAACTTTTCGGACTCGATTCGGCCGCGGCAACTTTCTTCTCGAAATCAGCAGCAGTTGATATTCCTTCCGTGTTTCTACAATTCCTCCTCGATCCTTCATCCTTTTCATTTTTATCATCATTATCATTCTGACGCTTTATAGCGTCACGAATCAATCTTGTCGATCGTAAAACGTTCACTGTTCCTCGATCAATTTCAGGACTCTTTGATTTTGACTTTTTAATGTTCTTCTGCGATATTGATTTAGATTGTTTTAGTAAAGTGTTTTCAGTGGATTTTCGGTGATTTTTGTTTTTAGGGAATTGCGGATTTAGGCTTTTGCTGTTTCGTCTCGACTTTGGTGACCAGTCACGACGAATGCTATCGATACTTGTCGCCGAGATAGCTTTCTCTGAAAATTCTGCACACTTTCGACTTGTTCCCATGTCTTTTAGCGACAATGGAGACGAATCACGCGACCAACCACCTTTCGCTGATTGAACGATGTCTCTTGTACCGTCTTCCGAGTTTCTGGATACTTTCTCGCATTGGTCGGAGAAGAATCGGGATACTGAGCTTCTTATCCTGTGTTTAGAGCTTTCATCAATGATTTCTTCAGACATTCTCCTTCTTGGTTCAATAACAGATGTATCAATTTTACAATTTTTAAAGTTTACATTTTTAGTTTTGTCAGATTTTCTTTTGATGATTGTTTCTGGGATCACTAACATGATGGTAGCTGATTTTTCAGAATCTGAAGTAAAAAATAGTGGACTTGAAGTGGATCTTCCACTACGTTTCTTTGTTAAATTTGGTGATTTTGAGAATTTTGTATTTTTCAGGTTTGTTTGCAGACATTTGGGGCTTGAACTGCGTCTTGTTAGACGCTCAAAAACATTAGGCATTCTTTTAGTAGTTGGTTTTGATTCCATTTCACTTTTAATTTTTTGGTAAGTTTTGGAAGAGAATGCTTCATCGATGTCTTTAGAATTGTCAATACTGAAATTTGATTTTATAGATATATTTTCTTCAGATCTTGGTTTTATTTTTACAAAATCAGGAGATGTTGATCGACTTCGCGAGTCAATTGCGTAAGTGGTAGCAGATTTCTCAGATTCTTTACAAAAGAATCTGGGACTCTCGCTTCGTCGAGTCCTATCTATCAATTCTTCATCACCCTTCAAATCCCTCAACTTTCCAGTGTGTTCATAAAAAAACTTTGGATTTTCATTTGTTCGTTTGAAATTCTTTTCAGAATCCAACGAAAATGACATGTCTTCCTCAACATTTCTAGATCCTCTTTGAATCCTGGTCTTGCCTTCATCCTCGCTACGAAATCACAATCAACATAATTCATCTTATTCCTAAAACTCCTTTCATTCGTGTTAATCCTGCTTTACTATCGCGGTTAGAGCATAGATAAAGCATAGAAATGATTCTGCGTGATCCTTTCAGCAATACTAATAACAAGCTAGGACATTCTCTAGTCCTTCTTAAAATTGATTAAGCTGGTTACAAGCCGTGAAAAGAATTTCCTTTCTCTTTTTATTATTATTACTTATCTTCTTCACTGATCGCTGAACATTTGTTCTTTTTCCTTTTCCTTTTCTTTTATTCAAGTCGCTCCACTAAATTCCGAGGCTTCATGCTTGGCTAGCAATTGTTATGCTGATGGAGTGTTTAATATCCTTCGCCCGATTATCCTTTCTCCGATAGCGATTAAGGCAGAACATATAAATTAGAGCGGACATCTTCTTCCTTGCGACAAAACCGGACACGACTGCGCCTTCGCCTTCTACATACTTTGCCGGAAACGCGTCATTTAGTTGTTCTTTCAAGGGTGATCGCTTCCAGAGAGCATGTATTGTTAGGCTACTACGGTTGCGTGGCTTTTATAAACGAGTCGAGCCTAGTCAGCGATCGCAAATTATGCAACGAGAAATTAATCGGTGAGGCAGAGGGGGGTAAAGTGGGGGGTGGTTGTAAAAGCAGCGACGGATTGTTAGCACTGATTGCCAATTAGCGGCCAGAGAATTCGTATTTGTCAAAGTTCCATTTGATTACTGCCAGATATCTACTTTTAACGTATCGTTTTCGAAAAATAATAATTGAGTATTTTTTATTAAATTAACACGTTCATATTTTTAATATTTGTGAAGTTTTAATTGTGAAAATGAAATGATTGTAGTTTAAATTATTATTATTGTTATAGAATGTTCTTCTATAGGCGTTGTAGTTGTAAAATGTAGAAAATGAATATAACACGAAATAAAAAATTATTATAAATAAAATTAGGTTTCTCTCCATGATAATTTCATCTGGGTTCTCTTTTTATATCAATGTTTACCTTACCTGGAAGTAGATTTAGCTGGGAATATCGGGTCTGATCGTTTCTTTAGAACAGTGCTTGGATTCTTCTTTGTAAGGCTGTTGTTTCGTTTCGCGTTGGCGTTTTTAAAACGTTCCAACCTGGCTTCGGCTTGGGACAACTTCTTGGTAACACTTTGTTTTGGAAGTTTATCGGGAACGTCTACCATGTAGTCCTCTGGGAATTCCTCGCTCTCGAGGTCGTTTTTAACACGATGTTTCAACGTCTCGTCGTACTCCATCAAATGAAGTTTCGCCATCATGCGATTTCTTTCGATCGTGTCTTCGTCTAAAACCTCCTCGATGTGTGTCTATTTATGAATAATTATGAAAAAAATAAATAATTGAAGAAACAGTAATTTAGTTAGTTTGAAGAATCTGAAAAAAATGTTGAAATAATTTACCTGATTTCCATTCGCATATTGATTAATATGATTTTCATCATTTCCAAACTCATCATCGTCAGACGGTTGGCGACCAGAGGGTCCATACGATTCTCGAGTTATCTCTTGGTGATACGAGACGATAGGTTTGCCACCATTCAAATTGCTGTTCACGTCAGCGCGAGCCACTCGCTTTACACTCACGGATTCTCGGTTCACCGTCAAATTTCCGTTCTTCTGCGCGACATTTCCGTTCGTTTGCTTCCGCGGTTTGTTCTCCAGCGGCTCTAGCGGGTAGCTTCTGTCGATGCCTTTCACAGTAGTCTGCCGTCTCTCGTCGAACATCTGCCTCACCTTAATGCCAGCACACAGGTGTTGCGATTAAATGATAATATATCAATTTTAAGTAATTTCTAAATTCTAAATAATTAATAGATACACGAATGTGTCGGTCTATCACGCGAATCAAACCAACCGCGAACGTAAATTCGTTGTTGTACGAAGAAATGGTTAAATACCAGATATTAATCCATTGAAGAAAGCGTGAAAGACGATTTGCACGCGAAGAATCACTCACCTTTCCTCTCTGCGAGGTCGAGGTTGTATGGCTGGTGGTGGTGGTTTTTGTGACGGTGTGTTGGCTGATCGAGGAACCATGATTTGACCCGTTTGAACCGGCGCTACCACGTTGCACCACCTGATAAGCTCTTTGCTGTTGCTGGTCGTAAAGCTGCAGCAACTTCTGCTCCTTTTCTTGTAGCTGCTTCTGCTGGAAACGAGCCTGCGACATTCGCATATGTTTCTCTTTAAATTTCATCATATTTTTTGCTTTCTTTCTTTCTTTCTTTCTTTTTTTCGTTGCTTCAGCGAGTTGAATGTTGAAGTGATGATTGCTCGACGATTACATTTATTCAATAATTTACAAATTTTGTACTCCACATTTTTTATAATAGACTAATATAATTAGATAAATTTTATATAACAATTCAACAATTTAGAAAACATAGACACTTGATATAAATTTTAATTCTTCACTAAAAACATATTTAAAATCGATCTTCTCACTTTTCCCGTAACTCTACGTAACACGATCAATTTGAAACTTCTATAGTAATAGAACCACGCACGATCAATGTTTCTTGGTTCTATTCAGCCAATCTCCCTAATCGTTCAGGAGTTGTTTCACCTTGAAATAATTAAACGAAACCACGATTCACAGGTAGAATTAACGCCACTCGGTCTGCGACTTCTGGTTAACCGAACCAACGACGATAGTTGCATAAACTATAGTGGAACTGCAACCGATGCATATGCGAAACTCGCACGCCTCGTGCAGTTGCATCGATTCCTTATAACCTACATGCCAAGGGGTTAGTAAACTCGTTACCCTGCTACAACCGATGATTCTATCCTTAATTTTACATCATCATACGATTATACTAGTTCTGATTATACCCTACGAAATTTCTACTCTAATCGAAGCAAAGACATACCGAATCTCTAACTGAAAATTAAACCTTTCAATTTGGTAACTTGTATTATTACTCGATGAAAGTTATCACCGATCGAAGACAAACAGTTGAGTAATGGCGATGCTTATCCTGTACAAGTCAACCAGCACTATCTATCTTTACCAAAAGATCAAGCATTGTTTGATAATCAAGAGGAAACTGCTAATTGGATAGCCGTCGAATCGGCGAGTCCGCAATCAGCCGGTCCGTTAATTGATTTATTCCTAATGAGCCCGTGCAGCTGATCGCTTTGCCTTGTACACGTGGCCCCGTACAAATTCATCACTCGATCTCTATCGAGTAATTCGTAATCATTACGAGACGTTGATTGAATGCGTCCAAGATTGTTACGGGGGTGCAAAACATTTTCCTTCTTATCATTCTTTTATTAATTAATTGACAGTGAATAATTCATGAAAATACAGTTTTTATGCTAGTTTAGAATATAAAACCAGATATTTTCATTTTTGAAAATGACCCTGAAGAGCAAGTGGCCGAATATGTTCACCTTGCCCTTAAACAAGCCGCCGCGTATAAGAAGCGAAGATAAAACGGAGGCAAAGGAAATAAAGAAAAAACGGGAAAAGAGAATACCAGAGAAATAAGAAACGACTGAGAAAAGGAGGTCAACATTGAACGTTTCGTAAGAAATCGTGCAATGCCTCGTAATTTTCGTTTATATTTATTAAGGATAGGTACGTTCAAGAAGAAAAACAGAATCGAAAATACTAAAGCAAGTAAAGAAACATCTGATTGATAAATTTACTGCATGAAATGATTAGAGAATCGAGTATTAGATAAATCTGGAAATATACAAAAAAGTTATTATAGTATTCATTTACACATAAAAGTATATTTGGTCAAAATGATCGTAACTCAACAAGTTCGTTTTTTAAAAGTTAACTTAAAGTGATCTAATAGATAAGATAAATAGAATTCCGATTTAATAAATTGAATGAATTTTGCAACAATAACGAAAGATAATACTCTTCGCTTTGATTGTTAAAGAACATAGTATATATTACAGTAATATTTCATCTTCATTACATCAAATTTACGAGAATCCTTCTACAGTGTAATAAACAACGGGCGAAAAACCATCACGGAAAAACAGTGAAATTTATATTCGGATGGCATTCATTGGATCATGATTTATAGTATTGTTTTTCATGATGTATAGTTCAGGATCGAAGCACTGTATCAACATCTCGATTTATTTACACGTATACTGAATTCTTTCAAAATTTCGATTACAAATTAATGAAAAACATACTGAAAAATTGGTATTCAGAGCATCATCCACTCTAAAAATATTACCAACAAGTTATTTGCATTCAATTTAGTATTCTGCCTCTTATTTTTGGTGCTGTTAATAAAAGTGTTGCGTCCAATAAGTTGTAAATATCCAATTTACAAGCAAATTAAAGAACATAAAAATATTCGTTGTTAAAATAACAAATTTATAATTTTTAAATTAATAAGGAAGTATGATTGAATCTATTCGTTGAAGCTTTAATTAATTAATACACAGGTAATTAATTATTAATTAGGTTATTAAGTTAATTCTAATTAAAGTGTGTCCTAAAGCACAAAGTCATTTTCAGTATAAAAATCAAAATCTTTGTTAAGGATCAATTATTTTTTACAAATTCCAATTGCAATTTGTACTCGTCTTACTTCCAAAAATTAATTCATAAAACGCACAATTATTCCGTTTAGAAAATATACAGCAGTGTAGTTTAAAACGCACAGTTGATCGTGTATGGTAATCAAATCGAACCTTGACAAATGCGAATTCTCTGGTCGCTAATTGCCAATCAGTGCTAACAATCTGTCGTTGCTTTTACCAATTTCCAACCCCTTGCCCCATTCACCGATTAATTTCTCGTTGCATAATTTGAATACAGACTAATTGATTTGTACCGAGGATAACATCTATTTCTAACTGTAGTAAATGGCTTCATTTATATTTGATTCTCTTAAAGATCCTCTTAAAAGTTAAGACTCGTTTCGAAAACACAGTTTCGATTTGAACTGCTGCCGCGAAAAGGAGAAACTCGCTGTCATATGAATGACACATGAACGACACTCGGACAACGTTCTGGAAAGCAAAAGGAACAGCTTCTCTTCTGTACATGGTCATATGTGTCAAAGCTAATCTGTTGAATATTGTACAAGTATCATGATTTATAGAGTGCCTACTATGAAATTTAAGCAATATGTATATTAAGAGGGAATTTAAATTCAGAAATGAATGAAAAAATTTGTACATTTGAAAATTTGAGTATTTGAGTGCAAGTCTTTTAAGAAAAGGAACAATACCATGTTATCCAAATCGGAGAAGGTAGATTTCAACTCTTGAGCAGCCCAGGAGGTTTCCATGTCCATGGATACTCCACGAGCTTCCAGCTGTTTCGATCGAATAGATGTATTTTTATTTTCTTTCTTTTGCTTATTTTGTTTCATCCTTTTTCTTCTCTTCTTTCAGCTACATTGACAAACAATACTCTCTTCTCATATCCTTCCACCTCGTTTGTTCCAAACGAAAGCATCGATTTTACACCTGACACTTACATACGTCCTTTTTATCTTACGTTTTATTATAATCTCTTCTTCTTGGATAACACTCGAAAGATAACCGTCTCTCTATTTTGTAGTCCATTGTTCGCAGACGTGACACAACGTTCGCAAAACTCAACACACGTGCAACGGGTTCAACTTCCTTCAAATTACAAGTTTACATTCCCTGTGCTGGATGAAGATACTAGAGGTGTTCCAGAAACAGATGGTCAGGCATCAAAGCTGTGTTTTATAGTGTTAATATTAAAATAATTAAATTTGTTTTAAGAGAAATTTATTAAAGGTAATTATTCGTTGAACGCCTAATTTCAATACGATTCTGCGAATTAATTTAATAAAAAGTATAAACATGACATGTGTAATTCGCGAAATTCGTGTAAAAAATGAGTATTCAAACGAAAATATACCCTTAAGATTCTTTGTCGAGATAAGGATTCTACTTTACTTTCACTTTTAAAGTAAGTATAAATACATTTAAAGAGACCGTGAAGAGAGCCTCAATTTCAATTGAATTTTCTATTTCATATTACTTTCATTTCCTAAATTTTACATTGTTCCTTTCAAAATTATTCTTTTAATATATGAAACTTGTTCGTTTAAAAATTATACACATAATTTATATTATACAACTGGAAAAATTTATAAAATTCCATAAAAATCACATAGCAAAAAAATGTATAAAATTTATTTCATCAGTTTTCACTTACTATTATCCTATGACAATAATTCAATCCATTCGATAATAATTCAAATTACGTAGTATCCTTTTATCAAAGTGAAATGTTGAATATCATTTGTTTTCGATCTTTCGAGGGAACTCGTTATTTTTTTCTGACGTCAAATAGCTTCTGCGATCAAAGGTGAATTATAACCTGGCGACAGAAGAAAACGGCACTGCGAAGGTTACTATCACAACTGCGTTGTTACCAACCCCTGTGTGCTTGCCTTTTATCGAGGCGCATGTGCGACTTTCCTACCCTTAGAATGTTAATGACAATCGTGTTATTATCGAGTGGCAAGAATCTAAGCGAAGGTAACTTCTGTGCCGGCATTCGTGATCGACCTTTTTTACAGGGTGTTAAGAACGAGCACCAGGTCATTTCAGAACATACACACGCGTTCGATGGAGTAACTCCTTTTCTGAAGTTGGTTCAAAAAATAAATCGAGAACGTGTAAAATAATAAAATACCATCGGTGATAGCTCGAAAATTTCAAATTTGAAATGAAATTTTCCCAAGAGAAAAAGCCTTTCGTTCTTATTCAAAAATTATTATTTTTTTTGCCTCGCGCAACCCGCTGAATTGTCAAACATTTTATTCAAAATAGCGTATGCAATATTACAGTTGCTTTCACGAAGCGACAGCGATCCATTTCAATTTCAGCCGAAATGTATCTCGCTGAAAAACATGCTCGAGTGCACCAGAAGTTCAAGGGAATCGCGTGTAAGCTGGATTATTTAAAATTTCACTTCCAACTGCATCGGAATTCAGAGTTCAAGGTTTCTCTGAAGGAATTTACATGATTCTTTTTACGAATAATGTGTTGTGTCGTAGAAATTCTTCGAATTTTATATCGTTAAATTTGATTTCGCACCATAAAAGAGTATCTTGAATTTTTCATCAAGACGACACACGTCTCTCATCGATCGCTACCTTCTTCATTAAAGTTTCCAACTTGGGAACGTTCTAATGCATTCGTGACCCAGAGTCCAGTTCAATTTCGTCGCTTTTATTCGTGAATGCAATTCACAAATGAACAGGGAATTCGAGGCACTTGAATTCTCTGCTAACGTAGAGATTCCAAGTTGCTCGAGTGCAGAGTTCAAGGTTCCTCGAGAGTATCGTCGGTCGTGCGAAATGATTGGTTTTCGGTCTGTCGACCGTCGCGTCGCGTCGTAACGACTCGAATATTCCGTGGAGGATTGCTTTCTCTTCAACCTGCGTCTGCACACGGATTTCTGCATTTTCATTTGGTGCCAGGATGGACAATGCGATCGGGACTGTTCTATGATATAGGTACACGCGTTCGATTCTTCGATTCGATTCCATCGACCAATGGATAAAATCATGCATAAGAAATGCATCCATCGCGAAGACATTCGATCACTAAGAAATTGCATTTTCTTTCTTATACACTATTATTCCTACAGATGTTATAAAAATAGATGAGGAAGAACTCATCTTTCATTTTCCTCATCGGGGTAAGTTTTATACCCGGCCGAAAATTGTTTAGAAAAGTACATAATTACAGGTGATGAGGTAACATGTTCTCTAGGCAGATTTTTTGTTTTTTTTCACACCTTCCCAGCAGCGTCGGAAGGTCAGGCGTGGGTATGGAGAAGTAAACGTAGCGTGTGTAGTTATGGTCAAGCAATTTTTCGCATTAGCGTCGCCATTCTACGCGAGAATGCACTTATCTAACTTCCTAGGAACGAACCGCTTGTTAGATGGAAAAAATTTTTCAACAAAATGCTTTCCGATGGGAAGCCTCTTTAATGAGGGTTTTTACCAGTATATGGGATTATCCTTTCAGAATTCATTAAACATGCAAAGTGTATAAAATACTATTTTGTATCCTGGTGTTCTGCTTTATTTTTAAAATAAAATTTCTTTTGACATTAATCTTAGGACCACATTATAATGTTGACAACTGGCTATCAGGTAAAAGGGAAAGAACGCAGAATTGTGTTATTAGCGTTGAAACACGTGGATGAATCTGAAATGTGGGTTTGGAGCAAGGAGGTCCTCTCGTGTTAACGGTGATCCCGTATAAATAATTGATGAGCAGCCTCGCGGCGATTTGTAATTGTAATTTCGCGGAATACTTGCCCAGTTAAGCAACGTAATTACGGCTCGTGGACTCGTTATCCTGGCGACTCACGGAGACGTCTCTCTATTCTCCAGATGTGCTTCTCTTTTTATGGGAAACTGTGTTGATATCGAGAAAAATCTAACGATTGATGTGTTGAAATAAGAGAATTTCTTTATGGATAATTATTGTGTTTATTAATTTTGAAGGTAGGTATACGTTTTTTGTTTGATCTCGCTGAGTTACTTATAGAATTATTTAAAGATAAAAAAAGAACGTGTCACAGGATTTAGGCCAACGTGGGTAGGTGAAAAATGGTAAGAAACGACCTACGCCAGCTTGTTCTCGATATGCAGACGTTTTGTGCGTTATTTATGTATCGATGTATCGATGTATCGAAAAGACGAAGAAAATTCTTTCCTTCTTGTCCACCCACGAAAAATTGTTTCAGAGGCACCTTGAGAATCTATCGAATCCTAGGAAAATTATCTGCTCCACTAATGAGAATAACTTACAAGTATTTCGATGACAGCAATTACGTGGGTGACAGAAATATGTACTTCCGCAAACATTCCGCCATTCAATCGTCGTTCCTTCCCTTCAAAGCGTTGTTCGAAGGGGTCAAGAACAAAGTAAGCAGATGATCGGTATCTACGGCAAAGTAGGAGGTATAGGGACCGTCTGATGACGGGACGAAGACGGAGGAAATGACGTCACGTTATTATAGTTGGCTGGTGGTAGCCGGTTGCGGTTGACAAGCCAAGCGCGTCTACTACCGACTCTTTCGATCCCTTTCGTACTCTTTTCTCGCTTTACCAGAATGTCCGTTTCTTTCTTCGTTCAATCAAGGGTCTGCGCCCTTTATTCTGTTACTCGAGATTTCGTCCTGGTCTCTGCATCGTGCAATCGAAACTGCAGTTCCGGTTGTGAAACGACAAAATGAGAGATTGCGTTGTGGTTTTCCGAGGAAATTTTAATATAAGATATTTTTCATAATTCTTGAGAAAAAGCATTATTGTCTTGTCAATTTACACTTGAATTGTGTTGTTCATTTGACTATACTTAATATCCTAACGATGTCCTCTCCATCATCGAAAATTCTATATTATCTGAAATTGCCATCGTGTCATGCTTTCTCATGTTACAAGATGTCCAACGATCATCGTTATCGTCGTTCCAGCAATAGCAACGATTTGGCGAGCACCGAATGTTGGAGCGAAGTTTGCTGGTCCCCGAAGTTACAAGCTGACAAATCAGCTGTGCGAATGGTGCCCATTCGGCAACATGCGTACGGCCCGTACTCGTCGATTTTGGCTACATCTGTACTTACGTGGGTCGTTAGATGTGTGTACACCAGCCGAGAACAAGATGCCATATATGCGTCCAGTCAGCGCACATGGTTATACATACACGTGGGCCAAAGGAGAACGCGTTACAACGCCGCCTTAACCAGCTCGAGTCGAGAGCATTTCAAGATTACGGGGCTGGCAAGGACTCGAAACGAATATTTCTGTTCAAAGTATTTCAGGTATGATAGTTTTGCTGACGTCTTTGGAACGTTTTAAAAGATTGTAGGAAGTTGTGGTGATACAAGAGCGTAGGAATATAAATATTTTAAATAATTGAAAAAATTTGCTATAAAACAGAATTTCTTCTTATATTGCTGATTTTAATTGAAAATATCGATAAATCAGGCTTCCTCAGGAAAAATGATATCGTCAAACACGAGTGTACATTATTCAAATTCACGAACATAATTCACTGAGCAATCATTATTTCAACATAAAAAAAATTACAAGCTTTCATGAAATATGCGGTGGTTAAAGTATTAATAATAAATTACATCGAATCGTTATATAAAAAAAAGGTACTAAAACATCAGAGAGTCAAAAGTGACCGTAATTCAGAAAGCAGGTCAAACCGAACCGTATCTTCGCGAGAACCGTTTTTTATTGTCTGTAAAAGTTGAATCGGCTGCCCGAAATGGGTGCCACCAATAAAGATACATTCTGTATTGGCAAGAGAAGCAAATGCATATTCATACCTGCAATAATTCCAGTCGCGAGGAAGCCTGTGGTGTCGCCATGGTTGGTTAAATCCCGATCGTTCTGCGACCACTCGACGGGTGATGCTCCGTTTTTTTTCTGGAAACCAGAAGGTAATACGAATTATAAACACGAATTTCTCTCTAATTTCATTTATTTAATGTACACTACTGCCAAAAAGTATGGATACACACACGGTCAACTTTTATTTTATATTTAACACTTTCGGTGCAATATTGCAGTGTACCGAAATTTTTTACCAAGATTGTACTTTTATTTCGTGACATTAATGTCTCCACGCAAAATACAGTACCGTGACAAATGGATTTCTAGTTTTCGCAACGACAAAAATGGCGACATTTATCGTTAGTACCATAACATCAAATATAGGCTCTCGGACGACCTAGCGTCCGTCCTTTAATGGTTAATAGAAATTCGAGGCTACCTCTGGGGTCAAGCACTCGGAGAATCGTGTACGAAGAAGGTAGAAAAACGATTGTATGTATGTATGTATGTACGAGGAAACGTAATTGCGGCAAAATTGAACTCGCCCACTCGTTGCCGATTCAACCACCCACGATTGAAAACGTTCGATCTTGATCCATAGCAACCGGTTGAAAGAGAAACAACGGATCGATTCGCACGATCCACCTTTCCTCCCACGCACTATCCTTTCTACGGCCATTACATTTCGTGAACACAACGATTGGTAAACGATACATGTGTGAACGATACGTTAATGCAGCTAAATTGGTGAGGAATCACCTGTTCCAGTGATTTCTCTTTCTTTCGTTTAATGCCGGCCGTGATAAATGATAATATATTTATTTAAACAATATATGTATAGTATAAAAAAATCGAATTATTCATTTTCTTCTTTTTTTTTTTCTACTGACTGAGGAGAGATAATCACGTGAATTACAACACGTATATCAGACGCACGTGCTCTTTGGAGAGCACGTTTTGTTATCCACTGTGGCACGTATAAAAACGTTGTCGTGTATATTAATCAAGAAATAGCATGGTGTAATAAACCACGCGGTTTATGTATACTGCCTAGCACGGTAAGTGAAACACTGTTACTTCCAAAAGGGTAGATTCACCCCATTGAAGTTGTAATTGGCCTTGACGATGCTCCCTGCAGGAAATCATTGACTCGACATCGTTCGTCGTTGCAATAGTGTTTTTAGGCCAGCGGCTATCGTGACTCACGATTCATGACGTAATCCTGACAGTCTTTTATGGTTAAGAAACTGAGCGACACCGCTTCTTGTTTTCGATGTTCCACAAACGATGGAACCTCGTCCCGTTCACGCTCGAATTAGAACTTCTCCGTTCGTTTATGGAGAAAGCATCGATTACGACCATGTACATACCTACATGCAAGCTTGCAGTCGAATCCTGTTCGATTGCTCCATCGAGATTAACAAACTCGAGACAACACCGGGGAACAAATGCAGCCACGAGCGAATCCGCTCAACTGTAGGTATTTAACGATTCGAACACTAAAGCTGTCGATCGTGATCGATTTGCATCTTGTTTGCCGGAGAGAAATGTAAATTTTTGTATTCGACAACTGGAAAGAGCCTTAAGCAACTAAATTAATCAAGCAATTGATTGATCTAAAATTCGAAGAATATGAATGGAGATTGTTTAATTAAGTTTAATTAAGTTTAATTAAGTGGATTAGAAGATATTTAATATGGAGAGCGTAAATCTAACCGTTTAAACCAGAACGTCTGCTGACCCAGGTATTCGACTCCTCTTATTGCCTGGATTATTTATAGTTTTACTTAAACTTACTTCGCTAGGATTACCGTACGGCGTACGCTACTCCCATGAGCATGGTCACCTCAGGTACACGACTTCATTTCTATAATTAAACGCGGGCACCCGCGAGAGTGCGAGGCCATTTCCGATGGAATTCCATGCCTCTCTTTCGGACTCGATTCTCAGGTGTGCGTAGAAATTCTACCCCCTTTTTTCTTAATGCGAATAACACGCGACGGCGTGATAAGAGTACAAAAGATTACAAAAGTATACTTTATTTTTGAATTAATGGAACATGTTGACTTTTCTCAGTATAGTAAGCGATAGAGGATGGTTTTGTGGACCCCCCTCTAACGTAAACACAACATTCGTGATCCGCATATACAATTAGCCACGCATTCGCACATGGCACGCACGTGTTTGCCGAAAGCGGGCAGAAAACATTACTCTCCCTACTGCGTACAACAGAATCCATTCTATCTACCCACTGTTAATTGATACATTATTCTAATCAATTTACGATCGTTTATATTCACTTTAATCGGTTCTATTCAAAGTGTACCTTCGTTAGTTATCCAAGCAAATCGTAAATGTTTCTTTTTCAAATTAAATGGTATTCGTCAATGAAAAAAATTGTTTAAAAGTACCTATATAAATAACAACGATCAAAGCAGAGTGTATAGTTTTAGATCTTAAAAAGAAGATATTGAATAATACCGAATGTTGTAAATTCATGTTAATATTGCCATGGACGGAACCGTAAGGACGAAAAATTTGCCAAGCTTCCAAAGTTTCAGTTAAAGGGAAAAAGGAGATAAAATCTGTCACTCACGTGGCAATATAACGAGAGTCCACTGTACAACGAATCAATCGAGTAAATTTTAGAAAATCCTCTTCTTTGGACGAAACACAATTTGTTCCTTGCCAAAAACGATTAATCTCGGGAGTCGAAGAAAATGCTTCTCTGTTTACAAAGCGGCGCGCTCCATAAATTACCTACTTACAACTACCGAATCCGGTGCAATTAATCTTGCGAACAGTCGGGAAAAAGAACACTTACCTGGTTGAGAAGAGGTGTCCCGACGAGAGGTGATTCGCAGGTGATCCTTGTGGCTCGTCCTTACGTGAAGAGGACCGATGTAACACTGACAGTTCCGCCGTCCCTCTCTCCTCGTTCGCGAGAAATCCCACCTTTGCTCAGCTCCCACCATTTTCGTCCTTCTCCCACCAACCTTCTATCCCTACGATCGGACAAGGACCGAGCGAACAATTCCAGGTGTCCAGGTGTCCAGGTGTCCAGGTGTCTGTCAAATCGAATCAAAACAAAGCGAATTAAAGGGACACGTTCAGTAAGAAATTTGAAGAAATTCTATTTTTGGATTCGAATCCTTTTTTAATATACAAGATTTTCAAAATATTTATTGTTTCTTTTTTTAAGTTATTCAAGTAACCTATGTAGTTAAATTTAACAATAACAATTACGCTTACAACGTGATTTGAATGCATCCTACAAACGGTAGAAGAGAAGAAGATAGTTCCCGTTAATTGTAAACGTAGGCGTTCCAATGGACAGCGGGTGTTTGTTTTCAAGCCACGAATCACCCTTTTAAATTAATAATCGCGACGTGAATGTAATTTATGGTAGATAGATGTTTGAAATTGAGTCTGGAGTGCGACTTTAGGTTTCACAGAGATTCACACTATGAATTCTCACACAGCAACCCCTGTAAGGCTTCGTCTCTAGGAACTGAAGTGGAAGAGACGAACAGGTTGCACGTCAAAATGATCGATTGCGAGTCTGTAATGAGTATATGTACATTACAATATGCCACCTTCAAATCTATAAATGGCTATAGCTTTTCAAAATACGTAAGTAGAAAAAAAATGAAATAAATGATACGTAGGATGAGTAGGTTGAGTAGTTATTTTTCACTCTTTTTCTTATAAAACTTTTATCAGGATATTTGCGACATATTTCTGATTAAAATGATACCAAAGACGATATAATTTGAATTACATTTACTTGTTAAATTGGATACAGGGAGGCATAGCGAATGAAGAAGAAAGAGAAACCGGGAACGATGTCCTGAGCGTTTCGCTTTCATCGAATCTTTACTGTAATGCGAGGGTTAATGGTTTAAAAGAAGAAAAATTTGTTGACCAACTGTACAGTTGGTACAGTTATGACGAATCGAGGATACTTTCGCTGCAGTGTGAACAGTGGCGGGCTACGAATCAGGAGCACAGTGATACATTTACGGTGGCCGGTTAACGAGCAGCAATTACAATTTCCTTTCGTACGTACGCGAAATCAGCGCGATAACCATAGGCGTGCAGCGAGCTCAGCCGGGCGTAATTTTAATTAGCGTGCCATAAGATGCTGGTTTCGGGCCAACGTTGTAACACGAGGCAGCCCATGAATCAGGAAACCGGAGGTTTCCTGGTCAGAACGTGCTCGAGATAATCTTCTCTTCGTTCTGTGAAATACGCCAGTTTCCTTGCGCCTGTCCACCCACGTTGCTCGATGGATCACCGTTGCTTTAATTCAGCCGGCGAAAGGTATTCGTTACTGTCGCATGATAATTTCATAACGGGCTACGTTGGGAAATTTCAGCAGCATGGAAATCCTTGTAGTAGGGAACGTTGAAAAATTTGCCACCCTTATTAACGAGTACCTATTCCTGCAGACAGCATTTTCAACTACACAGAGGTATGTTGGAAGAGATTGTCAGCAAGTACGGAATATTCCTGAGTACTTTGGATATTCATTCCTCTATATCCAATTCCTCTAATAACTTGTCAAAATATAATTATAATTATTTTTAAAATCGTCTAATCACTGAACCATCATAATTCATTCGTAATCAGAGTCTATTCATTTACAAAATAATCCGCACTTAACGACAAATTGATTCACTCTAGATGTTCTTTGAAATCGACGCTCTTCCGTGACGAAGAATTTTTCTTTTGCTCGACGATCTTCTTTCATCAGCTTATCAACAGAAAATAAAAGATGCTTGAAATAAAACGATGCCCGCCAACGTCGGATATAGTGTTTCGAGGCGGAAACATCGTTGAAACGCCACAGAAAGGGTTCTAAGCGTGGGTGGTAGCGAGCCATTAATTAAAGGGGATCGAATTAATGCTCCTGTGGTAAGAGCTTAGCATACTCGAAGTCTGTATTTAAGGAGAATCGAGATCCTACAGCCGCAATTTCTGAGGTTGCTCGTACATACGTAAGCATAAGCTAAATATCCTGTATCCTACGAAACTCTTCCTTTAGAATTTTGTCACTGAAACACCTGGTTAATCATTACCTCATTCTGGTTTTTGCTCTATCCGATTTTAATGCTACTAGATACAGGAAATATTTCGCGTGTAGAAAAATGCAGTTCTCTTGTAATTTAGTGTTAACGGTAACACGTCTATTTACTTGGAAAAACCTCTGAGGATCCCTTTTCCTTTTTCCACTTTTATTTTCCAAACCGAAGAACTGAATCCATTCGAACGTGGAACAAGAGAAAAAGTCCATTTCGTAATTACAACATACCGGCTTTTCGAAAGCACCGAACGCTGACTCGTTCTTTGCTCGAATATCCCAGAAAATTATTCGTTGAAAAAGAAAAAAAAAAGAGATATAGTAAAGAAGTCAAAAGCATATGGAGCTTTTATTTTATACAAAACACTGCTAAACAAAAACGGTTTTCACGGAAATTAATTTTTAATTTCTTTGAATGAAACAACGTGTAATTAGTTGAGGATGTAATTAGTAAAAGGAATTGTTAAAAAATGAGGATGAAAACTAATTTAAACTTTAAATTAAACATTGGGTCAGTGAAAATTCGAAAAATATAAATAATTATAGACAGTTTAAATATTCTACTTGTATCAATATTCATGATTGATGAGCGTACTAAACGCTCTCATGTTCCATAAATATTCAACTTTTATTACTTCTGCAAAGAACCATTATCAAACCTTTTCCGGTGTAAACAACGTTAACTGCAATTCGATTGGTTTGAATTGCAATAAGAAATGAAGGTTGCCGTTTATTTTCAATTTCACGTCATCCGACGGGCTCCTCGTAAAATTACAATTTACATTTCAGGTGGGTGGCAGGAAACGAGTTAAATGACTCACCTGCTTCTTCTGACATCTTATATAATTCTTACCTGTTTTATATAATCGATCTAGTACGTGTTTCATTCAGACATCGATAAAAAACAATGCTGATGTTTCAATAAATGTGTAAAGGTTGTTCCGAATAAGCTTTTAACTAAAGTTTTATTTATTTTAGAAAATAGAGGTGACTTTGATAACGAGTTAGGTTTTCGTATGTTTCGGATAAATTTCGGAACAATACATTCGATCGGTTCTCAGGCGATCGGAGGTGGCCCGGTTTTCCGCGATTTCGATCGTCGGAATTGCGGAAAGCTGATTCGAAGCGACACGCTCCGCTCCACAAAGGCGTCTCTCTCCGTGCGCCGACTTCGTTTTCGGCCAGAGGACCGAATAACGCGCGACGTGACTCCGAAGATTGCATTTTCGCGAGATGAAAACTGCAGAAATAGGAATAAGCGGGTGTCGTTCGTGCGAATAAACCGTTGGGGCGTGCGGGAATTCAAATAAACCCCGGCAAGGAAGCGATATGACGTGCTCGAACTGGCATTCCAACGATATTACCGTAGCCTTTCGTGGCTCGAGACCGATTGAAAATAAAGTCGAACCCGGTGACAGGGAACCTCGTGATTGCTACTTCAACCTGCCCGGAATTATATTGTACCGTCCCGTCAGTTGAAAACTCTTTGTCGGTCGACGAAAAATTCCCATCTTTCCAATGGGAAACTTTTTGAAAATTTATTTCCTTCATTTATCAAGCTGTTTCATAACATATCATCAATCTAATGCATAAATCGTTTTTTGTACATAAGAAGGCAGAATATTAATACACTGTGACTAAGAAATTATTGAAACATGCTAAAAACAATTTCAACAAGCAACGACCTACGCAAATATGAAGTCATCGATGTTTGCATTGTCAGCGTGACTCGAAAAACACTTATTCGTCAGTAAAATAGATAAGGAAAAGATTCCATGTAGTATTAATATTACCGCAATAAAGATTAGAGTTTTATGTTAATAAAAATTACATATTTTTACTATCATAATTTCAATACCTACATAGTATTTTGCTGAGAAAGACAAAGTTGGAAAATAAGAATGCTTATAATGGAGTGGTGAGGTACTACACGCATTATACTATAATAATAAAAAAAAAAAAAGAGAAAAAAAATGTATTTAAAAAATTACTTCATAAATGGTAGAATCGATAGAACAGGGAAAAGTGAACGGCTCTTTATAGTTCTTCGATTATGACTTAGATGGCAGTAGAAGACAATGTCTGATCATTTTCAGGCTCGTTCTACTTACGAGTAGACTATGCGTTAAGCATTGATCCTCATCACTTAGGAATTCCTTACAATCATTTTCTTATCGGTCGTAGATTTCTTTTTTGTTCTTTAAAATTGAATTCGATATTGGAAAATCATAAACTCGAGTTCAAAATCGAATATCTTTTAAACATATAAGAATCTGATAAAATAATAAATTGACGCGATAATAATAATATTGCTACTGCCTAGGAAAGTTTTTAAACTTAAGATGCTAATTTCATTTTAAGCATAATTAAAATCAAAAGATACATTCAATCTCGAGTATCTTGCTTCCAACATTTATACCAATAGAGCAGCAAGAAATCGGGAATTAAACGTAGCTTTAGACCGCTTTTAGAGCAAGTTGTGTATTTCGATCTCTAGTGATCAAACTTTCCATGCTATGCAGTCTTGAACTTTGTGAAACTATTTGAACTCCATAACTCAAAACTTTAGAAGAGCTTTTAGTTCCCTGAACTCTATCTCTCAGTGAACTTATTCCTAATCATGTCAAAACTATGAATATCTGCAGAGGCAGCGCAAATACCGTCTAAAATAATCCTAGGAGAATATAAACAAAACTTGCATCGCCATTATATTTGTCCAAAGAATAAATAGTATTATTCATAAATAAAGTAAATTTAACAGTAAGTAAAAAAAAAAATGCAAGATCAGGCGTTCGTATTTTTTAAGTATCCAGTGAATGTGCACCTATGTATATGTATACCGTAGGAACGTAGCTAGAAATCTGTTACAATCTAGCTTTAACGTTCGTTCTCACGCGAGCTAAAACGTGGCTATTTCTCGTTCAAGGTTCTATAGCTGCACAATCCTGGATGTAGAGCACCGACCAAGGACATGCTTCGCAGCTT